TGCGCACAAAAAAAAATGAGAAATTCGAACATTGACAATTTTATATTATGTTTTTGTCGTTCGATCTACGTATTTTTCTGCTTAAAATGTATGAAAATTTATCGATGGCAAAAATAATGACTAAAACATTCTCATGTGTGCACAAGTGTATTTTTTTCGAAAATATTTTCGATTTCTTACAACCTTAGCATTTTCTATGTAAAAAGTTTCAACGACAAAACCGCACAAGGAAAACCCCGAAATTTCAACAACCCTCCCTCCGCCTGGGAAAAAGGCTGAAAGTTTTAAAAAATTTGGTTGGCGCAATTTTAAGATTTAACAACTACCAAGTCAAAAACGAATTCCAAATTTGTGTGGAATTTAAACCGTTTCCAATAGAAAAGCTAGAATTTTTTTCATTATTTCACTTTTCGAAGCAAAGTTTTAGGGATTTAAGTCGGGGAAATTAGACTTCAAGTATATTATCTAGAATGGAACTATAACATATACAATTTTCTCGAAAAAATCTGTGATCAAACTTATTTTTTTTAAGGAACCCCACCACCCCCCCCCCCCAAAAAAAAGGGAAAAATTACACGTTGACCGTAGTCAATTTCTAGGTTACTATGTGTGAGTGAGTAAATAGGCAATGAAAATATTTCATTATATTGTTAACAACGATATATATATATATATATGGGTTAGTATAGCAATACATTTATATAGCGAGACGACAGTAAAGTATTTAAGACGAGGGGGGGGGGCGATCGCTCTGTGTGGCAATTTTTTAGAGGCGCCATCAGCTTTGTACATAGCTCATTTTCTGTTAGTGAATCAATTACAGAGATGTGCCTGACACTTAAAAATGAAGACCCTCCAAACCCTTATGTAAATATTGCTCTGAGAATGTATCTATGTTGTCCCGTACATCAAACTGCTCTTCAGAGCGATCATTTAGTGCATTAAATAAACAGTATAGTTATATTATATATGATGACATATCAATCGATGAGTTCCTCTAAAGCTTGCAAAAAAATAATGCACATTGTAAATATTTATTGCTTTGTAATTTGTAGATAGTAAATAAACCTATTTTATATTTGTGACTAATTTATAAAGATTGTAATAATGTTTAAACTCTGCTTTCGTTTTTACTTTTGTTCAACTCCTTGTGGAAGCAAGTACTTTAATGTGTAAAGCCCTATGTGTAATTGCCATTTAAATGTATTGTAGTATGTTAAGTATGTAATCAGTGAATGTACAACTAACAAACTGAGAGCATTTAATTTTTTAGTAGCTCTTACATTGTAGATTCCAATATAGAATAGAGTGGTTTTATCTAACGACTAAAAATTGTTTAATTGAAATTTTTTATTAAATAGTCAATGTCAACTGGTTTCACCAGAGATAACAAAAAGTAAATACATTTAGAACAAAAATGTAACAAATGTAACCCTAATTATATCCACCCTTAATTTAAAAATTCATTTTCAACCACATAATTGACATTAAGGCTCTTTGAGGCCCAAATTACACAATTTTACTATTTTATTTAGTAGCAAATTTAGTAATAATAATGATTTAATAAAGAATGATTTTGTTTACATTATTTAAAATATAAAAACCAGCAAAATTTGGAGTGGTATATTTTGTTTTTTTTTAAACATTTAAAACTACATTTTATATACTTAAATTAGATAAATAACACAAAACTACAAGTATAACTTGTAGGTAAGAAGCTAACACTAAAAGAATAAAGCTAGGCGATAGACCATTTTGCCGACTAGAATAACTTAAAGTGGCGTTGATGCCGTATCACTCGATTCAACTACGAGTAAACAATAAGGAATAAACAAACACCTATGTATTATGATTTTATTTATTCACAAGCAATATTCTAAGCAGTATTTTAAGTCAATGGAAGACAGAAAAAACAACAATAGTGTAAATAAATTAGAAATACAAAACGGTAGGTACTCACACAATAAAGAACCGTAAACCGCTGTGACCCGGGCTGCTACTATTAATTTATACTAAATGAATTACAGGCAAGACAAAATTCAATTGTAACACAAATACGTTAAGTAATTATCACAGAATTCGACCAAGTTATTATGAATAAAATCTAGAGATTCTCGCGAATCGGACCCGTAGCAACAATAATGAAAACAAACTGTTACTATGGCGCTAAATCTAATTTAACTATTAATACTTCACAGAAAAGAGAGAGCAAAAAAGAAATCTTAATTATTTACGAAAACCAAACTTGAATTTAATAATAATTGTGATTTTAATGCAAACTGCACGACAACGCTGAAATTTTCTTGACTGATTTGTGATAGTGTGTGTTTGTATGATAACGAGTGATTGCCTCAGGTGGAGGTAAACTGTCGCGCATTTATGGAGGCAAACAGATCAAATGGCCAACTCTGGTTTCAAAGCTTATTGTAAATTTGCCTTCATCGACATCCTGTAACATGTATTAATATACGTTTACCTAATTTTTTATTCGTTATGGAAACAGCTTTCGCCGACTTGAAAAGTCGGTATTTAATATTATAATTACAAAAAAAAAATTGTTTATTTATTCGTATGGTATCAACAAAAAAAATGTAACATTTACAAAATAAGTAATAACAAAAAATATTAATAAGTATTAGACATTAAATAGTAACAGCAAGGTGTAAGTACGGTTCAAAGACTTAGTGATTAAAGCTCTACTCTCAATTCCGATAACCACCGTACTGCGTTTCCTTCTAATAGAGAGCCTTAGGTATGCCTCCAGGTAAAGAATGAGATGTACCATGTTCAACTATGTGGCTCATCGTTTGTATCATTCCGTCGTCTTCACATAATGGAGAATATTACAGTTTCCATTTAGTCATTAGGTAATTGTGTGTGTGTGTGGAGGATGACAGCTTGCGAGTAGCCCACACTGCATACAGCTTATCTTATTACACTGTATCAATGTCATCGATTTGGTACTGCACAGGTCTCGTACCATCGCAGTCTTGCCAAGGTACCAGCAGCAATGATGCGGTATTTATTCAGGGAGAGAGAGAGAAAGGTAGCTTAATAACTACTTAACAATTTTATATATTTTACGTTTCTGTGATTTGAGATTGTTTTTTTATTTATGTTGGTGGCTGACGGTTTGGACATTCATCAACTTGATTATAGTTTGCTTATTAGATTAGGACGCCACACCAACGCTGTTTCGAGTACTAAAACACCGCTTCGGACTTCCAATAGTACTCAGAAACTATTAGTCGTAGAATAAATCTAAGTACACCAAAAGAAAGCTTGGGATGTCTACTATGTGCGTATAGAGCCATATATAGGACCATATAAAAAAAAATTTTACTTATAGTATTTTCAAAAATAATTTTTCCAAACGTTAATAGAACCAATGTCAATAAAGTTATCGTAAAAAACTCTCTATAGACACGTAGAAAAAATGCTGGTCTTTCATATGGTACAATAAACGGTTTTCTACGGTAAAGATCACATTGTATAAACTACAGTGTGATTCGTCTAATGTAAGACATTGATTTTCTCAGAAAATGAATTCCTTTAAAACTGTTTAAACAATGTTAGTAATTTAATATTTATTGTTCATCAATCTGTCCGTTTGCTATGACTGTAAATTTTTCCTTATAATTGAAGACCTTGGGGCAACAACCAAACATGTCCTTTTTTCCAAAAAATATTTTTTTTTCAAAACATTTTAGTCCAAAAAAAAAATGTTTAGAATTTTTTGAAAACAATTTTTTTTGGAACAAAACGTTTTGAAAAAAGGACATGTCTGGTTGTTGCCCCAAGGTCTTCAATTAATTTAATGTGTCTTCGGCTTTCCAAAATCCAGAAGCCTATAAAATTCATATATATATGTATATAAATAATTGCATTACCCGATAGACGAGACCACTAATAACCAGACACAATGAAATGTTTTGAGATAATGATATAGGAGCAGATCTTGTATGAAATAATCATATAATCTGTGGTGAATACAAGTCCGATAATTTCGTTCCGGCTAATATGGTCACACTGGTCTAGGTGGAAGGCTTATCAGCTCATTATACCCAAACCACGGACTATAATACAGGACTGGAAACGGACGGGTCGGCGGAGTGCGGGGTGTGGCCCCATTGTACAACGCTTCCCGGTTCAATCGCGCCTTGTGCGCCATCTATTGCTAAATAATTTAAATAAAACGTTTTCAATAGTTCAATAAATTAACTATTATAACCAGTGGTATTTTAATTTAATAGAATATTAAGATCCGTGGACTCACCTAACCTAATACGGAATTGGCGGGAATAGGGCCGACAAAAATGAGAAAATTTAGTAATATTTTTATACATTTTCGAAAATGCCTCGCAAATGTAGCGTGCATTTATGTAAAAGTGTTGTTTTAAAACAATAAAATGCACTCTATTTAAATGCCCCAAGGAAAAAAATATTTCCAAATTTTGTGTGTCAAAATCATTTTTTTACCTGACGATTTAGTGTAAATTAATATTTTTAGGAAAGACTCATTCAAGCAAATCCGAAGCTGCGTTCACCAATTTAAAATCCAGGGGCAATTAATAAACGAACATTTTCATAAATTAACAACTACAATAGAAAACTCTTTTTTAAAACATTGTACGGAGGCTAGAGGTGTCTTTCAAGACACATTTGATGATGTGTTAAACAATAACGCCAGTGTACTTACATGACCTTGTGATGAACATAAGAATGAAGTATTGATGTTCATTCGTAAATATTATACCTATTACTACAAGGATGAGACAGTTGACAAACATACAAAATAAAAACCTAAGCAAAATTAATTCGAAGAGGAAAAAATTAGCAAAATTAGTTACTTTGAATATAATGTATAATAGTGAAAATTACATAGTATTAAACGTGTTTTGTTTAGTGTTTTTGTGTGCAATTACTGACTGATCTATAGATGGCGTTAAGGGCGTCTTTGTACTAGCAAACGTTGTACTTCGGTTCCATTGGTATGAGTGTCGTTTCCAGTCCTGTATTATAGTCCGTGACCCAAACACACACTATCACAAATCTACCTAGAAAATGTGTGCGTTGTCCTGCGGTTTGCGTTCAAAAACCTACAGTAAATACAAGTTTTATTATTGTTAACAATTGAGATTTCTTTCTAGTTTATTTAGATTTTGCGACATAGGAACAATTTTTTTTCAGCATTGTTGCCACGGGTTCGATTCATAGAATCATAGGTTTTTTATCATAATAACTGGTCGTGTTTCCTTAATTCGTTTTAATTTGCGTTACAATTAAGTATTTTCTTGCCTGTTAATCGATTATTATAAGTTTATAGTCGCAGCCCTGGACAACAGTTTACGGTTCTACATTGTGTGAGTACCTACTATTTTGTATTTGTAATTTATTTACACTATTGTTGTGTTTTCTGTCTTCCATTGCTTTAAATTACTGCTTGTGAATAAATAAAATCATAATACATAGGTGTTTGTTTATAACTTATTGTTTACTCGTAGTTGAATCGAGTGATCAGGGCATCAACGCCACTTTAAATTATTCTAGTCGGCAAAATGGTCTACCGCCTAACTTTAATCTTTATCGTGTTAGCTTCTTACCTACAAGTTATACTTGTAGTTTTGTGTTATTCATTTAATTTCAGTAAATTCAAATTCAGTGTTAAATGTTAAAAAAAAAAAATATACCACTGCAAACTTGGTTGATTTTTATTTTTCTAATAATGTAAACTAAATTATTCTTTAATTTTTTTTTTATTGTATTCAAGCTTCGACAATTTAGGCCATTAGTTGTCTTATATATTTTATCGTTATAATTACATATATTTCTTATGAAATAAAATTGTTAAAACTGTGTAATTCAGTCGTCCTATTAAAATCTCTATGCATTTATGGCACAGAAATACAACTAATGTTAAATGTATATTATATAGTTTGGAAGATGTATAATATGTTGAAAATTAAACTTGAAAATGATGAAACAGAACAACACTCCTCTGAAGTCATTGCACCTAAACCGTTAGATGCGCAGTTCAAAAACAATGAAATTTCTACAATAGAGGACTATTTGGTAAAGAATGAAGTCGACAATACTTATGAGTAAGGCAATTTTCATTACCATTTTTGAAAAAATAAACTAGACAGTTAAGCTTTAGTAGTTAAATTGTTTTCCGTAGTTAAAAGAAAATATATAATTAATGATGTCCTAATTAATTTTCAAAATATTATTAATAATGCTGTTTAATTATTTTCGACGTTATAAGAACTAAAGCTAAATATGTACTTTCATTGAGTAACTTAATCCACTTATCATTAACTTCTTCTATACTTAGCTTGTTCTTAGCTATTATAAATCACAATGGTTTATATTATATTAAACATTAGAGTTTATTTAAAATATGTTATTAATCATGCAAATTTTTTAGTAAAATATATACTATTTTAAAATAATTATCTGGTAAATACTATTTTAAAAGTTTTATATGTAACACATATGTAATTTATATTTTTATCTGCAAAAAAAATGAAACTTTTGTCCTCCTCTATAAACCTATCGGCCGTCGTTGGTATCGATGTTAGCGTTTCGCTACCATTAAATTTATATTAGGAACCACTTGTTCATATAATAGTAATAGATTATTTTAAAACTATATCTTCCACTTATCAATATAATGTTAAATCAAAATAACAAAAAAAAAAAAAAAAATTGTAAACATCTATTTGTGGGTATGATGACCACGCAATTTCCCTCAGTACATATTCATGTCAAAAACACAGTTAAATCATCTCATTTGAGTTTTTTATTTCTGACAAGTCTAGAATTAAAAATCTCGGTCATTAAAATGTCTCAAGGTACTCTCAATGTAAAAGTGGACTTAAAACACAGTAGAATTTTCAAGTTACATATCTTATGGCATTCGGACGTTATTATTATCAATATTCTAAAAAATTAAAATTTAAAATTGTATTTTGTTGAATAAGTTTAACAATACAATCAAATAAAAATTGAGTTAATATTAGATCTTTGTACATCATCAAAAATCAATAAAATTATTTCTTAAAAATTATAGGTGTTTGATGCATTGTACATTTAACATTAGTAATATTGCTGAATAAAATTAAAATATATTGATCTTAGATAAATCTATTTTGTTTTATACGTGTTGCAGTATTCATTTTCCGTGTAAAGCGACAGATACCTCAAATAGTACAAAGAAAATCAATTCCGAGGAAAATATATACAAAATACGTCGGTTCGACTGCAATATATGTCAAATGAGGTTTACAAACAAAAGTAACATAATCCGGCATATTGCAAAATCGCATTCCAGTACATCCGTGGAAAAGAAAGCACCTCAAAAAAATAAAATCCCGCATCGAAACAACAGAGTCAGAGAGTATACTCGAAATAAAGACGGCCCATTTAATTGTGGTATTTGTTTAAAAAAGTTTTCATCAAAATCAAACCTCAGAATACATTGGCGCATTCATACGGACATAAAGCCGTTTAAATGCGATGTCTGTGAAAAAACATTTGGTGTTCAGTCTCATCTCAACATCATGTACGTGTACATACCGGCGAAAAGCCCTTTAAATGCAATGTCTGTGAAAAAACATTCAGTCAACCGTCACCCTCAAACTCATGAAAAGACACACCGGCGAGAAACCCTTTGAATGCGATGTCTGTGAAAAAACATTCGGTAGCCAATCATACCTCAAAACTCATGAAAGGGTACATACCGGAGAGAAACCCTTTAGATGCAATGTCTGTGAAAAAACATTCAGGCTACACTCTGTCCTCAAAACTCATGAACGCACACATACCGGAGAGAAACCTTTTAGATGCAATGTCTGTGAAAAAACATTCAGCCAACAAGTTAATCTCAAAAAACATGAAAGAATACATACCGGCGAGAAACCCTTTAGATGCGATGTCTGTGAAAAAACATTCAGCCAACAAAGTGATCTCAAAAAACATGAAAGAATACATACCGGCGAGAAACCCTTTCAATGCGATGTCTGTGAAAAAACATTCAGCCAACAAAGTGATCTCAAAAAACATGAAAGAATACATACCGGCGAGAAACCCTTTCAATGCCGCGTATGTGACATATCTTTTTGTTTCCAATCTAGCCTAAAAAGTCATCAAAGGATACATACCGGAGAAAAACCTTTTAAATGTGATATCTGTGAAAAAACATTTGGTAGACAACATCACCTCAAAATCCATGAACGCATACATACCGGAGAGAAACCTTTTAAATGCAATGTCTGTGAAAAAACATTTGGTGTTCAGTCTTCCCTCAAAACTCATGAAAGAATACATACCGGAGAGAAACCCTTTAGATGCGATGTCTGTGAAAAAAACTTTAGTCAACAAAGTGATCTTAAGAAACATTCACGTATACATACCGGAGAAAAACCCTTCAGATGCGATATCTGTGAAAAAACATTTGGTAGACAACATCACCTCAAAATCCATGAACTCATGCATACCGGAGAGAAACCTTTTAAATGTGATATCTGTGAAAAAACATTTGGTAGAAAACATCACCTCAAAAACCATGAACGCATACATACCTGAGAGAAATCTTTTAGACTCAATGTCTGTGACATGTCTTTTTGTGACCAATCTAACCTGAAAACTCATAAATGCACATGCTTATATATGGTCGCCAAAGGTTTCTCAATAGCCATAAAGCAAAAGCACTAGACGCCTCATCATATTCCTCTCGTGAATATTTGACAGTTTTAAAATAGTTTTACTAACAATTTTGTATTATTGTGATTTTTTTGACATTTTCATGTCTTAGCTCTGGCACATAACCGAAAAAAGCGTGTATTATTCTTGTTTAGTAAGATTTTATTTTAACTTTTCCCGTCAGTTTTGTCGATTTTACTATGTATTTTTAATTTTTAAAAAATATTCCATTGTGCAGTAATTAATGTAATACCTAGTAATACTGCTTGTAATATTCTTTCGTGATTTTTGTACGGTCACAGTTTTGTATACATTCGATCTATCGATTTATTAACCTACTGTATATAAGTTAATTAAACTTTTAAACATTTTAAATTAAATATCACTAAATGCTTGTTTTGTTTTGTGTTGAAATTACATTACACCGTGTTATAGTTACAACATTGTTTTACTCATCATTATAAAATGCACACGTTCTTATCGAGAAAAATGAACAATTCGTGTTTGTGAACAATTTTAGACAAACTCGTTGTGAAAGATTCGTCAACCAAGAAAACAAATGGCTATTCGTTAACTTCTTACCATAAGAGTAAAAAGTAAAAAAAATATATTCTTAGCGTTTTCAATTTATAATGTGAATGTTGGACTTATAGTCTCATATTGGTTCAGTCATTTAGGAAATATTGTGGTCCTTATTGAAAAATGTTTTAACATGGAACATGCTTTAGCCTTGGCCCCTCAGCCCGAAAACGACACTACGTTGCGATACTAAAGTAGCGCAATAACTAGGCAACAAGATTATTTTTTGTTTGACCAGAACACATGTGATAATTAAGTCTATCCTATCGTCATAAATCGCAAGGAGATTATAGATCAGAAATTAGCACTATCCAGGAGCCAGCTGGCCAAAGCACTGTAACTTTTTTTTATTAATTCTAGCGGTTCGTTTTCAATAAAACACATCGTGTTTGAGAGTTATTACATTAGTGATTATAATTTAAAATAAATCTTAAAATTATTTGTACTATAAATAAATTGTTTTTGTTAATCATAAAACGCGGTTACCGTATTTTTATCACAGGCTTCAACTAACAACAGCTTTGGAAATCACCAAGCTATCAGTTATTTAGTTTAGGCCATTTAGTTTTAAGAATATTGCATTGCAAAAACGGAAAAAGAAACCGTGTGTTTTTAATTGAATTTTTTTTTTTTAAAAATTAACTTTTTGAACAATTACTTTAACATTGTAAATTTATATGATTTATGTAAATGGATAAATTATACGACCATATTAAACATAAATGGATTGTTTATTGGCGGTAAAGACTTACTTAAATGACTCACTGATAATGTAACGTCGGCCATCTGCATGTCTACTACTGTTAGCTGTTGAACAGTTTCTACTAGTCTTACATAATATTTTCTACGAAACATTTCGATTCTAAACTCATTAAATGTTTATTGTTTAACACATCTACCAATTTGTTTGGTAAAAAACCTTACATTTAAAAATCTTCCAAAAAGCCAATTTTAATTAAACTCGTATTCGAAAAAGCCGAACGAGTATAAAATACAAATCATAATCTTTTATTGTTTTTTTATGACAATCAGTGTTTATACTTATTATATTCAATTAGCATTACCTCTGCTATAAAATTGTATGAGAAACACAATCATTTATTTTTCACTTCAGTCATCACATTAAATTTATTAAATTTATTTTAGTGAAAAAACACATTTTATTTACTATGAAATAAGACAGAACCAATACAACAAATAGTAACAAATCTGAACGATAAAACTACTACACGAGTAAGCCAAACGAAAAATAAATAAAACCATTGTTTATACTCGAATGCAAAACAAAACACAAATAATATTGTAAAATCTATTCATTTTCTGCCTTTCGTATACATCTCGGCAAGCCAACAAATAAAATTATACATTTTAATTATAATTTTGTTCTAGAAATATTGTCCTACCATAGATTAACATCGAATTGACTACTTTAAGCTCATACTTAATTTTATTCTATATTTTCCAAATAAACATTAAGCACAAATTAACAAAAAAAAGTTGCATTAAACATATTATTTTTTGTTATTTAGGTGTTATAAGGTGAAAAGTAAAGCTTTCATTGTATCCTTTAGTAAACTTATCAATAAAATTGATAACAAATTGTAACAAATTAGAGGTGCTACACAGCTGGAGTTGTGTAATATTATGTAGAATTCTTAACTTACAAGATTTAATTGATAAAAAATAACATTATAAGTGAATACCATATAATTTCGGAGTAACATCATTAATATTCATTATATTATGACAAAAATAATTTAATGGCTCTACTTGTCAACTAGATGCTCTGTTTTTTTCTCTGTAAAATATTTCACTGTGAAGTTCTCCCAAAGTTTAACAGACACGAAAAAATCATTAATAACGAAATTTTTATACTATTTTTTAAATTAGTTAAATTCATTAATTAGTAATCATTAATTTTATTAAGCATGTAAGAATACCTAAACGAGAAACTATCTGAATAATGCACTAGTGGTTTGAAATAATTTTGAAATGATTTATATAGTTGTGAGCTGTAGAAAGTACACAAAACATAATAATTATAGAAATTATTACAAACAGTAAATATTGTCTGCAAAGAAGAGCCTAAAGTAATACTAGGTTATTTTTTTTAAATGAATTTTATGAAACGCCTAAATCGTTTATATTGTGTTAAATAATATTAATATTATGGTATTAAACATATAAGTATACAGTATAGGTAATATTATTTTCCACTTCGATTTAAGTACATGTTTGTTCATTTTAGTTTAAGAATTAAAAGTCAATTTATATGGGTACATTTGTTTCTACTAACTAACACACCTACTAATTACATACACATGTATTCTGTTGGTGATTCTTGTAAAATCTTAAGTTACTTAATTTAACAGTACAACTAAACTTCCAAATTATATAACATGTTGAGTACACACTAAACACTATTTTATAATGTATAAAACACATTGGTTTGACTTAATGCGTTTGTGCAAGTGCATTTGTATATTATATTATTATGTGTTAACTTGTTAAAGACTGTGTTAATTTTCTACTCATATATGATTAATTAGAAATGAATATAGTAAAAAATATTGTAATTTTAATATTTATTTAAAAACAAAAATATATAAAAAAAAAATAATATTTTAAAATTATTATCCACAGTTACTATAGTGGATTTTGAACATGTTTCAATAAACAATAGAAAATATGTTGCCTACTATACATGTTTTAAATGTGTAATTAATCCAACAAAAAATGTAATACAATTTAAAAGTAACACGATAAATTGAAAGATAAAAAATAATTTCCATTACATGATTCGTTGCATAAAAATAAATATATATTTTAAATTAAAAATGAGCTTTCAAATGTAAACTTACATATTTTATAAATAATTTCTCCTCAAAGCCAACAGTGATTATAAAAGACTACTGGCATTTTATAATAAAAAATAAGAAAATTAACATTTTTTTCTTTCTATAACGCATGTGTAAATAATGCAATTTAACAATTACATTGTAAAAATATAAAGACTAATTAATTCACGTGACCCGTCGAACAATTTACATGGAAAATGTCTTAGTTATATTAATGAGTTTAACGATATTAATAATAAAAAAATTAAAAGAAAACTAATAAAAATTAATTAAATGGTAAGAAAAAAAAAAGCAAAATAATAACAAATAGATTCTAAAAAAACGATATTAAAACTGCCAAATAGTCACGTGAGCTTTATCAAGCTATGAGCCGTGTGCTTTTGCTTGATGACTTTTGAGAGTATTTTGGCGACCATATGATTTACCACAAGCTGCGCATTTGTAACTTACTCAACCAATATGTATGCGTTCATGACTTTTGAGTTGAGACGAACTACGAAATGTTTTTTCACAGACATCGCATTTATAGGGTTTCTCTCCGGTATGTATGCGTTCATGGTTTTTGAGGTGATGTTGTTCTACCGAATGTTTTTTCACAGATATCGCATCTAAAAGGTTTCTCTCCGGTATGCATGAGTTCATGGTTTTTGAGGTGATGTTGTCTACCAAATGTTTTTTCACAGACATCGCATCTAAAGGGTTTCTCTCCGGTATGTATTCTTTCATGGTTTTGAGGGAAGTCTGAATACCAAATGTTTTTTCACAAATATCGCATTTAAAAGGTTTCTCTCCGGTATGTATCCTTTCGTGATATTTCCGGCTAGATTGGAAACCAAAAAATATGTCACATACACGGCATTTAAAGGGTTTCTCGCCGGTATGTATACGTGCATGATTCTTAAGATCAGAGTGTTCAATGAAGGTTTTTTTACAGACATCGCATTTGAATAGTTTCTCGCCGGTATGTATACGTGCATGTCTCTTAAGACCAGGTTGGTTATTAAAGTTTTTTTCACAGACATCGCATTTAAAGGGTTTCTCGCCGGTGTGTATGCGTCCATGTATCTCGAGACTACTTTGGTGGCTGAATGTTTTTTCACAGACATCGCATTTATAGGGTTTCTCGCCGGCATGTACTCTTTCATGAGTTTTGAGAATAACTTGTCGGCTGAATGTTTTTTCACAGACATCGCATCTAAAGGGTTTCTCGCCGGTATGTATCCTTTCATGTATCCTGAGATTACCTTGTTGACTGAACGTTTTTTCACAGACATTGCATTTAAATGGCTTTTCGCCGGTATGTATCCTTTCATGTTTTTTGAGGGAGCTCTGACAACCAAATGTTCTTTCACACACACAGCATTTAAAGGGTTTCTCTCCGGTATGTATCCTTTCATGTTTTTTGAGGTTAGATTGTGTATAAAAACATTTTTTACACACACAGCATTTGAATAGTTTCTCGCCGGTATGTATCCTTTCATGAGTCTTAAGATGATGCATTTGACTAAATGTTTTTTCACAAACATCGCATTTAAAGGGTTTCTCGCCGGTGTGTACCCTTTTATGTCTTATGAGGTGTGATTGTTGACTAAATGTTTTTTTACACACATCGCATTTAAAGGGTTTCTCGCTGGTATGTGCCCTTTCATGAGTTTTGAGGGTAGACTGATAACCAAATGTTTTTTCACAGATGTCGCATTTATAGGGTTTCTCTCCGGTGTGTACCCTTTCATGAGTTTTAAGATTATTTTGTTGCCTGAATGTTTTTTCACAGACATCGCATTTATAGGGGTTCTCGCCGGTATGTATGCGTTCATGAGTTTTGAGGGAAGAGTGTTGACTGAATGTTTTTGCACACACTTTGCATTTATAGGGTTTCTCTCCGGTGTGTACCCTTTTATGTCTTATGAGGTGTGATTGTAGACCAAATGTTTTTTCACAGACATCGCATTTAAAGGGTTTCTCGCCGGTATGCGTACTTGCATGTGCCTCGAGATTTGTTTTTTGACTAAATGTTTTTGCACAGGCATCGCATTTAAAGGGTTTTTGGTCCGTATGAATGCGCCAATGTCTTCTCAAGCTTGATATTGACGAAACACTTTTCAAACAAATACCACAATTAAATTGGCCATCTTTGTTTCGAGTATACTTTCTGATTCTGACGTTTTGACGATTGGCTTTATTTTTTTGAGGCGCTTTCTTTTCCACGGAATTACTGGAGTGTGATTTTGCAATATGCCGAATTATATTACTTTTGTTTGTAAACCTCCTTTGACATATATTGCAGTCGAACCGACGTATTTTGTATATATTTTTCTTAGAATTATTTTTTATAGTCTCAATAAAATTAGAATCCATGGTTTTTGTGTTTTTTGAGGTATCGCGGAAAATGAATACTGCAACACGTATAACACAAAATATATCAATTTGAGATCAATATTTTATATTTTACACAGAAAATAGTAGTTTTACTGATGTTATATGTTAATCTAACATCAGGTAAATGTACAATACATCAAACACGCATAATTTTAAAGAATTATTTTTATTGGTTTTAGATAAAATATAATTATCTAAGTTTTGAATTGATTTGTATTTGATTGTGTTTATTGAAGAAAATAGAAATATGTTGAAATCGTACATTAAATAGTTAGAACATTTACATGTTTTTAAACATTGATAACAAACGACCGATGTCATAAGATTTGGAACCTAAAAATGACATTCAATCTTTAGTTCTAAAAACTACAATATATAACATTAGTGCTGTAGGTTTCAATAAATAAAGTCATAAAACATAATTAGTGTGATATCATAATACGATATTGAGGTGCAAAAAGAGACGTTATTGAGGTATTTATGTACTGAAAAGCATCGAAAAAGGTTTTAACTATATTGGTAGATATTATTCAATGTTGAAAAATAACAAGTTTATTAAAAAAAAAAAATATATATATATATATATATATAAGTTAGATTACTTATAGTCTATTTCATTAAATTTTTATATTTAACTTAAAATACATTTTCGACAGTAAAAAATTGTATTTGATAAAAATCAAACAATCCCCAGTACTTAATAAATTAATTATTTTTTAACGGTTCAAATATAGTTTTTTATAATATAAAAAATGACACGTTGTTCAATCAGCTTATTGAACACACAACATTTTTTTTTGTGGCACTCACAAAATCGGTTTTAGTTCTCATAAAAATGAGCTATACAAAATTTGAGACCTTTTCGTCAACTTTAACCCATGCCCCCGTGGCCTTTAAAGTCGAGTTAAAAGTCATTTTCAAAAAAAAAAAAAAAGCTGAACATGACGCTACAACTTTTCTAATATCGTCAACACACAATATTATGGCAGTTTAACCTCTGAACAGAATATTTTAAGAGGACCAAAAACATATTATATGTTTTATTGTCGGCTAGTTCTGATCTGTCGATAAAATCGCTGTAAATATAGTAATAAAATATATAAACCTCAAAAAAAAAAAATTAAAATACTTCTTTATTGGATTAAAAAAAAGTTTTTCTCCTAATCTATGTTAACGCGTAGAATACTATGATAGAAAAACATTTTACATTCAAAGGTTACACATCCGTCAATTTGTGGGTTGACCAACAGAAAAGTCATAGCGACAAGTGCAGTTTTTAAAGGCCACTCTAGAAGCTGTACATAAAATAATTAAAATTCGTACTCACAGACGTCGTAGGGAAAATGAATTGAAGCAGTCGGGTCGCACAATACGAACAAGGGTAAAAAAAAAAAAAATGTATACAATTTATTAGAATGTTAACAAAATCCGAATGTCATACTATAGCAGTGAAGAAGTAAAGTGAACCGAGGTTCCAAGGTCTGCCTCGTACAAAAAGACCAAACCCATAGATTGGTATTTTACCATTATAAAAACATGTATGTATACGGTCAGAAGGGCACAGTGTATTTTACAAAAAACGGCAGGTGGAAAACCGGTTAGGCAAGGTTTGTTTTTAACAGGTAGGTAATACCGTAGGTATTTGGTGTTTTTAATATTAAAATATTTCGAACAAGTCCAAAATTTAAAACTGAATCCACTCTTATGAAATGACGCCCTTAAATTTATGATTGCATATTACACACAAAAACCGACCCTGTAAGTTTGAATATATTGTATGTTATACCACCGTATAGGCGTGAATAGACTGATCAATCTAAGTAGGGTCGTTTAATGTGCATTGTAATACATATATCTAAGAATTAATTGTGCTATATCGAGGTATTGAAAAAATTCAAACCAAAAAAAAACCACAGCCATTATCATGAAAATCTATAAATTATGTCGTCATACAAGCAGTGAAAAATAATATTGTTTTAGCAGATAATACCATAATAAAAACAAGGCTCACATTTTATACATCATCATATTGAGATTACTAAAAAGCTTGCTAAAATTACACGCCGACTCAATTAAAAGAGTAGTATTTGTAAAATATTTTTTTTAATATATTATAGTACCTATCTCTATGTGTACAACCAACATAATTAAGATTAAAGACATCAAAGCTGATGATCTAGCTAGGCCGTTGATAAAGGTTCGTGTAGAAATAGACAAACCAATAAGGTGCAAACAACAATGCAAAATTTTACAAATTTACTTTTATAATAGTAAATATTATAGAAATTAATTATTTGAATTATTAATGTCTAACTACAATAATTATAGTATAAACACATTACTTCCAGTAGGTAGCTGGTAGTCGTTAACTGCTCTATACTTAACCAAGCTACTATTTTAGCTCCAAATAATATTAAAAATAATATCTGTTGATTGTTTATTCACTCTCACATAGCAACCTGAAAATTGTCTACGATCAATGTACTCAAATGATGTATTCATATTTTTATTTGGCGGCCTCACTATACATATAGTTCTGTACAGTTTTGAATATTCCTTCCTGCCTCTTCCCACCTCATCCAACCAAAAATTTCCATCACAGTAAAAAAATTACCGATGCTGGCTTGGTTAGAAATGGAGTACTATTTGTAAGATGAGTATATTAGAAATATACATAATATTTTTTATGTAAAACAGTTATTGATAGTAATTTAAATTAACCAATATCGTTTAAACAACTATTATGTATGTGATAGAAAAATACATGTCCACAACGATTTTGATAAAACGCATATTATTATGCTACACAAAACAATTTATATTGTTGATTAGACAAAAAGTATGTGTACTACAGCTAAGACAGTGTACGATTAGGTTTAACATTGAAATTGCTTACCATGAGTGGTTCAAAACTTAATTCAATTAAAAATTTAGCTAGTAGTGCCTACTAAAAAATATAAAAAATTATCCAATTTCGATTAATTATATTTTTTTCAAAAAAAAAAAATTGTATACCTTTAAAAGAATAAAATTGCAAATAGATAGTTTTTATTTTTCGAAAACTAAAAATAACTTACAAATTGTTAATAACTACTAAATCCATCGATGAGACATCGTTTCTTATACCTAAGCAAATAATGTTATTGATATTGAATGTTTTAAAAAAAACTTATTGTTTTTAAATCAAGCGCAAACAAAATTAACTATTTAGTATTTTACATTTAAACAAGTACCCCAACTATACTATCTATCGAGATTATATTAGAAGATGTAATGGTTATGAAAGTTGTATTTGTAATGATAGATTTTTTACGAACATTGATAATACAAACAAATCATATATTTTTGAACATGACTGTGGACCCAAATTAACACCTATATATTGAACCTCGTTAACCTATTGGTAAAAACAAAAAGTCGACTTTGAGAATTTGGTATTATAAATTTAACTGTATATGCTTTTGGTGGTATTTAATATGTGTAATGATTTTTAGAAAACGATCTGTAACCTGTAAAGTATAATTTTTGTACATAAATCATTGTTTTTATGGGAAATGTTTTTTTTTTTAATTTGGAGTAATTTTATTTACTAGAGCACCTGGTTGTTAGCTTTACTAGTCACTACCAATACATTAACAATAACCTAACCAATGAATATGATACGTTTAAAAGTCATAAGTAAAATGTTGACCAATGTATTAGAATTACATCAGAAATATCACATCAAACCATGATTTTCCTTTTTTCAATAAATTTTCAAAGCACAGCACAAATAAATATTACAGCTTATGTGTTTTGAATACGTGTCCGTGTTAGAAAACAAACATCACATGAAACCATATTTTTTCTTATTTCAAATAAATTGTTTTAAAAGCACAAGACAAATAATAAATACCTACCACATGTATTTTGAATATGTTTCCGTGTTAGAATACAAATTTAGTCTTATTTAAAAAAAAATAATAATAACAATGGCAAAACATCATAATATTTTCTCTAATAAATATAATAAATCAGTATTCCCAACTATGATTTCTTAAAATGTTTATATTGTGGCATTTTGTGTACATTTTAATGTAAATCAATAAGGTCCTGATCATAGTATGGGATTTTAGTCAGCACATATGGTAAGTTGTGTCATTTATTTGTCTTGTGACATTAAAACTAACACAACCTATATTTTTTGAATACGTTTCCGTGATGGAAAACAAACATCACATCAAAAATATCTTTCCTTTCTTATTTCAATAAGTAAAAGCACAACAAATATAAATCTAACAGCTTATGTGTTTTTAATATGTTTCCGCGTTAGAAAACAAACAACGCATCAAACCATATTTTTTCCTATTTCAATAAACTGTTTTAAAAGCCCAAGAAAAAAAAATAATATAACTTCTTTGTTTTGAATACGTTTCCGTGTTAGAAAACAAACATCACTTCCAACTATAATTTTCCTTATTTCAATAAATTATTCTTATAGCCCAAATCAAATAAATAACAAACCTATGTGTTTTAAGAAAAACGTTTCCGTGTTAGAAAACAAACATCTCATCAATTCATTTTTTTTCTCATTTCAATAAATTGTTTTAAAAGCACAAGACAAATAATAAATAACACAATTTTGTGCAGCACATTTATCTGTATATAATGTAAGCAATTGTACTGTTGCTGTAGTATTGTATATACTATGATTTTACCAAGTACATTTTTAAGATATTTTTCAACAATATGAATTTCAAAAGTGTAATTCTGATTATAACAACCGTGTTATGCATTATCATATCTATTGCTAAAGGTAGGTACATAAAATACATTTATTTTACAAATGTAACAATAATGAGGTTGTGTTTAAATTTAATGTTTTTCCATATGAGTAAAATATTTTTAGTATAACATATTCTGATTTTTTTTTAGAAAAATTTATTCAACACTTAAATTCATATTATACAAATCTATTTTTAATGTTTCGCGTGTCAATGGAATATTAAAAAAAAAAAATTGTTCTATTGTTTTTCGGCTGATCTAATTTCAATGACTGATATAACTTTTTTTTTCGATAAAGTATAATAGCAGTTTTAAAATACATCATATACCTTTATAATAATATTTAAGTAAACAATTGTTAACCCATATTAAATAGGAAATTGAAAACCACAAATTTAGGAATGTTTGTTAGGTACTGTTGATAACTAAATAAATATAAATTATTTTTTTGTGGCTCTTCTGATAAAAATTATTACAGTAGTATATAAAATTATATGGTCATTAGCAATATTATATAATTTTCTTTATCCAGTAATAAAATTATTTTACATTTATAACTTATGCGTGAAACTTATATATGGCTTTAATAAAACTAAACGCTTTTGGATAAAAATGTATATATATATATAATTTATAAATGATACTTTATACACAAGAATAAAAAAAAAATATTCAAGTAATTTTTTTTTTCAATATTTTAGGTCACCCGGGAGGAGGTAAGTTAATGGATAATATCAGTTTATGTGCCTTACAAAAATACCAGTAGTATTAATATTATATTCAAGAAAGCCTAACATGCGTATAAAATGCCTTAAATTGTCGAAAATAAGAAAACGTTAGCCATGTTCATGAACATATACCTACTGTATTATTTTGCATAATATTATCCATTTATAATAATTTTTTTTTAAGATTATTACATGTGGCTATAATAAAAAAAAATGGTTTTGGATCAAAATAAATATAATATATAGTTTAGACACTAGGATACACTAAAAAAAATATTCAAGTAATTTTTTTCGATTTTTCAGGTAACAAGCCCCCCTCAGGTGGTCCTGGTGGACTACCACCACTACATCCAGGACCACCATCACCACGATATCCAGGAACATCACAACCACCTCTACCATCTCCAGGACGAGGACCACAGCCAACACGTCCTCCAGGACCACCACCACCACCACCACCACGACGGTAACCTAACCGCCTGGTAAGTTTTTGTGATTTTATAAAACTTATATAGGTTATAAGAGGTTGTAATTCAATGACTGTAAGTTGGATGATAGTATAAGTTTCTGTTTTAAAATTATTTTCAATAAAGCTGAAAATGTTTAATTATTATATTTAAATTTTTTTTATAAACGATTATTTTACACATATAATAGTTTGACGTTTTAAAATCACAATTATTTCGAAACTAAAACAATGGATACTAGTAAATCCTAAGATTTCAGTTAAAACGGAAACGCCTTGTACTTTGTAATAATTTATAAAGAAGACTAACTTAATTTAAATTAAAATCCACGTGTAAGCTAATTTTAAATAAACGATTTTTTTACACAATATTTTAATATTTTTTTTTTTTAGCTGAAAACTTACCCCTGCTAACGACAGTTAAATTTACAAACAAAGCGGCAGTATCCAAAATCCGTGTCACATTCTGAAAATTCACATGCTTACTAATAATGTTGTAAATGTCATCTTTGTTTATCATAATTGTGTTTCAAACTTCAGATTTTTTCTAATAACAATGTAAACCAAATAACATATATTTTGTTACCTATCGTATAAATGATATTATGTCTATTACTTGTACCAATAAAAATAATATTCACCGAATAAGTAAATTTGTGTTTTATTGTCTAATCTATTCTATCAACGCAAGGTTTATTAGCTTTGATGTGGATTTTTTTTTTGTCACGATAGTCTACAGTTCATCCCTTTTCCATCAAAATCGAGGAAAAAAATCCAAAGAAATGTACTTAATTTACAACTTAACATTACGGCGTTTTATTACTTTCTTAAAAAAAGTAAAATTAGTACCATATTTCAATGAAATATTCTTTATACATAGAATTACCGATAAACGGCGACAAATCAAAAAAATACCATTAACCATTTCCCCTAAGCGGAATGGAAACTTTTTCTTTATTTCGCTTTTTTAGGTGAAGTTTTAGGTTTTATAGTCTGGATAATTAATAATTACAAATGAAAAATAAATTAGAGGTACTACGCAGTAGGAGCTAACCAACGAATTCCTATCCACCTGTTCCAATATATTGCAACCTCTTACGTTATAATACATAGTTTGTAATCGAAAGTAAAGGCCAAAAAAATAAATAATTTTAAAACTAATTTTTACTCACATGATTTAATTAAATAAAAAGTAATATTATAAGTGAATAACATAGTATGATTTCAGAGTAACAACACTAAAAGAAATATTATAACAAAAACATTTGATGTCTCTTCTGCCCTGACCCAGATGTCATGGTTGCTTTGTGTCATATCTTTCACACAGAAGTTATCCAAAAGTATTAACAAATATAAATAAATCATCAACAACAAAATGTGTAAATAATTTTAAGACTAAATTGAATTCACAAAAAGGTATTTAAAAAAAAAAGTATTATAATTGAATACCATAGGATTTAAGAGTAATATCATTGAAAGTAATGATATTCTCTGTTTGGGATATTAAGTCTCCTGCCTTGTCAACCAACTGCCACTGATTTATTACTCTGTCATATTTTTCACAAGTAAGTTCTCCTCCAATATTTTTAAACTCGAAGAAGTCGTTTCTCATGATAACAATACCTGCATGTTATAATATTTGTTAGTAAAAAAATGTATTATATACTTGATTAATTATATACAGACTTGAGTAATAACTTTCACATTCTTTGTTCATGTTAGGCATTTCATCCCATTTAAAATATTGCAAATCGAATTTAAAAAATCGAAATTCTTCATCACCACCAATTAGATAAATGACGTTTTCTTTTCTTAATATAATCATGTTATAATTACGAATCGGCATAGGATCTAGTTGTTTCCAGTGTTTTTTTTCAAAATCATAGTACTCTACAGTTGCAAGAGGACCACGATCATTACATCCACCAAACTACACAAAACAATGAAACTTTATTAAAATGCTTATAAACCATAATAAATATGCTTGTTAAATAAATATTTTACAATTATTTTGTAATGCAATATAATAAAATATAAGTAGAAACTTGTTTAGTAGTTAGGCATGGTATTTAAGGTTCAATTGTGTTTACTTACAACATATAATTTATTGTTAAATATTGTAGCACTGCAGGATTCTCGCGCCGTGGGCATTGGTTCAGTAATTTTGGTCCATACTTTTGAATTTGTATTATAGTATTCTACAGAATACAAAAAACGGTTAGATGTTAGATCTTTGCCTCCAACCTTAATAAAAAAATTAAAAAAAATTTCTTGTAAACAATGTGTATTTGTTATATTAACTGCAATCAAATTAAAACTTACAACATATATGTTTTGCTTGTAAGTACAAACAGCAAACGTTTGTCGTGGTTGGTTCAATGGCCTTGTAGAAACCCATCGTTTTGATTCTGACTTAAGATCAAGCTCGTCTACAAGATTTTTATCATTAACATCATCACCAGACAAACTTAAACCACCAATGGCAAGTATTATTCCATTTTCAGAGGATACCATCGTTGTGTATATACGGGGAGGCAAAAAAAATAAATGATCGCTTGATTTCCATTTTAAGTTATTATCGTTTCTGATATCCATGTAATTTACATTACTATCTACTACTGTTTGTATGACCAGTAATTGCAAAAATAATCTGCATAAGCATATATAAAAATGTCAGTTGATACAAGCACATAATTAGTACAATTATTGTGTACCTATAACATGTAAAAATCTAGTTTAAAAATGTCTACATACGTTTGATTCAATTTGAGTAGATCTTCCTAGAGTATATAATGGTTTTGGGTTGTCGTAAGAAATTATATTTTCTAACATTCCTCTCATAACTAAAAAAGCATAACAATAATAATATTTATTAAAAGACACATCAATAATATATATTTCACCTATAGGCGCTATTGCATGTACAAAATAAAGGGCACCATTTAGATTGAATGCTACCCTGATTGGAATAGCAACTATATATACTTACCGTCATTATTATTTATCACTAATGGTTCATTATAAATCTTTTGTAGTCCTTCTTTTGAAAATAAAGGCAACCGTAAATATTTCATAACATCCGGTAACAAGTCATAACGTTCATCTGTGTTATAGCGTATCCAACCAATGATAAAATCGAATATCTAAAATAAAACTCATAAATAATTGCAACAGAACCAACATTAAAACAAGTAATTTTTTTTCTTTCTTTTTAAGTAACAATAATTATACCTTTTCCTCAGAATCGATTACTAAATCATCACATCTTATAAACTCGACAACATCATCAAACTCAAAGTCATAAAGTGTTTCTAATGCTTGATCCGAATTCACAATTGTACTGAAAAATTTGTTTTATTATTCGATTATTTAAAAAAAATGTTGCGATCATAATACGTCGAAACTGATTACTCACGTGAAATGGTTTAAAAAATATGACCAACAAAAATTGTAAGTCTTTTTGTCTGATATTAATTTGGAAGTTTTCATAAAACTAACACAATTTGTAGGATTTACGTTTTCTTTAATATATTTAAAACATAACTCTTCTATATATTTTAGACGATACATATCAGCAGCCATCAACAGTTTCTAAAAAAATTAATAACAAGTAATTAAAAATAGAGTAATATTTATTAAATTGTATATCCTTATGCATCTACCTCACAATTTTTTTCTTTAATATCCAATTTACAAGTATATGCAAATTTGACAACTAATTCTAAAATTTCAGAATCTATATCTTTTATAAGAATCTCTTTATTGTTTCTTTCTAGAAACTGTCCACTGAACATTGTATAAAATACATAACTCGCAGAGGCCAATATATTTCTGTGTGCTTCTATTTTTAAGCCTTCGTCTGTAACTAATGTTACATCACAAAATTCTTTTTCCCTAGAAAAAAGTATTCGTATTAACGTATTTATTTGCAATAGTATCTATAAATGACTATAAGATTAATATTTTAATAAAACGTTTTCTGAAAAGCAATATCAAAATATGCAATAAGTATACATAAATGTGGAAGAAAAACCTTTTTTTTTTTACAAAATTATCTTAAAATACTGCAAAAATATGTTATTGATAATTAAAAAGATTATTTAAATATTGATAATAATGTTTAAAAACCTTTTTTCTCCTCGTTTATTCGTAGCATAAACTAAAAAAAATTAATTAGGTAATGCTCTTGAAATAGCCAAAATATAAGTTTTGATATTTGGATTATGTAAAATAAATGACACATAATTTTTAAATGAAAAGTTGAACTATAAGATTTTAAAATTCAATTAACACCATTTGTATTTTCATTTACAAATGAAGTACATTTTTAATTATTGTTTTACATAATAAAAAAGAAGTTAAAGTATTTACGGAATAAGTATATATCAGAATTTCGGGTATTGGTAAAAAGTGGTATCAGCCCATCCCCATAACAAACAAAAAAAAAATAAAAAATTAAATTTCTTATTAAACTCTAAGTAATATTGACTAGTTCACGATAAAAATGTGGTACACCCCAGGACTCTGCTATATTATTTGAAAGGGCACCATAAAAATACAAACATTAGTCGGTAATAAATTATACTTGTACAAAAGCTTATCAGTTAATGACTTACTCATAGAATTGATACATTTTTTCAAAGTGTTCTTGCATAATAACTTCCATAATTGTTTAGCTTGTATTACAGTATATGTTATAGATGTAACTTTTCTGTGTTTGATTGTTAACTAATTGTAAAGTTAGCTTACCTAAAACATATTTAAGATACACAAAACAATTAGTTTTTAATTATAAAGACAAGGTTAAATAAAAAATTACTAGCAAACACATCTAAGTGCCTAAATTTAAATAAAACTGTATCTCAAATGCTTTACGAAAAAAAAATCTTGCCAACTTGAACAATTGATAGTGGCATTGATCCTGTGTCATTCAACTGAACTCAGAGTAAATAATAAGTAATAAACAAACACATATAAATCATGATTCTATTTATTCACAAGCAGTATTCTAATTCAATTGAAGACAGAAAATACGGCTATGATGTAAATAAATTAAAAATACAAAACGGTAGGTACTCACGCAACGTAGAACCGTAAACCGCTGTCCAGGGCTGCTACTAAAAATGTTTAATAAATGATTAACAGGTAATACAAAACTAAATTGAAACGAAACAACGAAACACAACGCAACACGTTAGGTATTTACCACAGAATTTAGAAAGTTATTATGAATAAAAATCTAGAGATTTTCACGAATCGAACCCGTAGGTAGCAACACTAATGAAAACAAATTGTACTTACGACGCTAAATCTAATTTAACTAAAGAAAGGTGAGAGTACAAAAAGAAATCTCAATTAATAACACCAACAATATTTGTATTTGATAATTTAATAATAATTGTGATTTTAATGCAAACTACACAACAACGTAGTGCACGCATTACGCAAACATTTTCTAGACAGATTTGTGATATAAAGTGTGTGATAAGGAGCGAATGCCACAGGTGGAGGTACATCGCAGCATGGAGGTAAACTGTCGCGGGTTTTCAAGAAGGCAAACAGATCAAACACAACTGTACTGGTTTTTGTAATAATCAACTATTGTTTTTATTATAATATTGATTTTCTAATATTTAACAGGAAATTGTTGTAATTTGCCCCAAATAGTTTAAATAATTAATAAGTACAATATTAGGGAAAAAGTGCATACACCATGGAGACCGGGTACGCTACTTGAAAAGGCGCATCAAAATGAAAACATTAATCGATAATAATAATTGTACGGAGCGCATTAAATAATAACAGCTCACTTATGACTTACTTGAAGAATAGATAGAAGTTTTTGAAATATTCTTGCATATTATCATCCATAGTTGTTTTACTTGTATTGCTGTATAAATGTACTTTTTCTGCGTTTGTTTAGTAATTATAATATTAGCCTTTTCTAAAATAATAATACATCAGTTCCATGTCAAATTTTACGCCGTGCGAAACGACTTTTGGATCTTGGATTTTTGATTAATAGTTTTTTACACTATAAAACACAAAGTACATCATGGTTTTAAATTAAACAGTATATTGAACGCTTTAAGAGTAATACGTTTTGAAAATATGGGAATTTTTTTTTAATTGCGTACTTCTTTTAATATTGTTTTTTTACAAGACTTTGATGATCACATTAAGCTTTCTTGTAAGGGTTATCTTTTAAAACAAACTTTTAAAAAAGTTATCAACTTTTATTTGTATGTAATATGTTTAGGTGTAAATATTTTAAAATTTCATCTTATATATTTTACATTATACAATAATTTTCATTCTACGAAAAAAAAACTTTACTTTGATCCGACAATAGTTTGAAAACAGATAAAGACTTTTCTATACTTGTTAAATGATTCACCCATTTAAAAAAAAACATTATTTCTAACAGATTAATACAATTTTATTTTATATTGCTTTGGTGGATAATTTGGAGGAAAAAAAATCGGTAAAATCCGCTAGTCAAATTATGTAAATAAAAATTACTAAATTAGAAACTAGAGTAATGAAACAGCTACTTACTTGTTTATATTTAAAAAAAATTATTATTCAAATAAAATATTATTCGACATTATTTTACATATATATATATATATATATGTATCTATTAGCCCTGAAAAGGGTGGGTCCGTAACAATAAAACACAAATTTACCTATTCGGTGAATATTATTTTTATTGGTACAAGTAATAGACATAATATCATTTACACGATAGGTAACAAAATATATGTTATTTGGTTTACATTGTTATTAGATAAATCTGAAGTTTGATACACAATTATGATAAACAAAGATGAACATTTTACAGTATACAATACATATATAGTGAGCATATGAATTTTCAGAATGCGACACCGATTTTGGATACTGCCGTTTTGTTTGTAAATTTAACTGTCGTTAGCAAGGGTAAGTTTTCAGCTAAAAAAAAAAAATATTAATATATTGTTTAAAAAAATCGTTTATTTAAAATAAGCTTACACATGGATTTTAATTTAAATTAAGTTAGGCTTCTTTATAAATTATTACGAAGTACGAGGCGTTTCCATTTTAACTAAAATCTTAGGATTTACTAGTATCCATTGTTTTAGTTTCGAAATAATTGTGATTTTAAAATATCAAAAAATTATATGTGTAAAATAATCGTTTATAAAAAAATTTAAATATAATAATTAAACATTTTCAGCATTAATTTTAGTCGTTTTGAAAAACGAATGATAAAAATACATATTGTATTATACATTTATGGTCGTGGTGCTGGATTTTGTGGTGGTGGTGTTGTTGTGCTGGATTTTGTGGTGGTGGTGGTTGTTGTGCTGGATTTTGTGGTGGTGGTGGTGGAATTTGTGCTAGTGGTACCACCACCAAGAATGGTCTGTTAATTCTACATTGTTCGCTCACTGAAAAATCAAAAAAAAAATTATTTAAATATTTTATTTTATCCTAGTGCATTATTCGTCTAAATGATTTATATTTATTTTGATCCAAAACCATTTAATTTTCTTGTAGCCACATGTAATATTCTTAAAATAATATTATAACTGGATATGCAAAATTATACAATATGTTTATGAACATGGCAAACGTATTCTTGTTTTCCACAATTTAAGGCATTTGTAGCATTTTATACACATTTTAAGCTTTATTGAAAACAATTTTGAAACTGCTAGTAAATGTGTAAAGCATATAAACCGATATTATCAATTAACTTACCAACGGGGCGGGTACCTGAAATTTTGAGAAAAAAAAAATTACTTTAATATTTCTTTTTAGCCTTGTGTATAAATTATATACTTTAATTGTAATCCAAAAGCTTTAATTTTATTATAGCCACATGTAATATTCTTAAAATAATATTATAACTGGATATACAAAATTATACAATGTGCTTATGAACTTGGCAAACGTATTCTTATTTTCGATAATTTAAGGCATTTGTAGCATTTTATACACATTTTAAGCTTTATTGAAAACAAATGAAAACTGCTAGTATATATTTTGTAAAGCACATAAACTGATATTATCCATTAACTTACTTCCTCCCGGGTGACCTAAAATATTGAAAAAAAAAATTACTTAAATATTTTTTTTTTATCCTTGTGTATAAATTATATATTTTAAATTTTAATCCAAAAGCGTTTAGTTTTATTATAGCCATGTATAATAATATGTTTCACGTATAAGTTATATGTAAAATAATTTTATTACTGGATATAGAAAATTATATAATATTACTAATGACCATATAATTTTATATACGACTGTAATAACTTTTACTAGAGGAGCTACAAAAAAAAGTAATTTGTATTTATTTATTTATTAACAGTATCTAACAAACATTCCTAAATATGTGGTTTTCAACTTCCTATTTAATATGGGTCAACAATACGGGTTTACTTAAATATTATTATAAAGGTATATGAAGTATTTTAAAACTGCTATTATACTTTATCGAAAAAAAAAGTTATATCAGTCATTGAAATCAAATCAGCGAAAAACAATGGAACGATTTTTTTTTTTTTTTATATATATAATTCATTAACACTTTGAAACATTAAAAATAGATTTGTATAATATAAATAACTTAATGACTATATATAGTGCTGAATTTATTTTTCTAAAAAAATCCTCAGATGTCATGCTAAAAATATTTTACTCCTATGGAAAAACATTTAATTTTAACACAACCTCATTATTGTTACATTTGTAAACTAAATGTCTTTTATGTACCTACCTTTAGCAATAGATATGATTATGTATAACACAGTTGTTATAATCAGAATTACACTTTTGAAATTCATATTGTTAAAAAATATCTTAAAAATGTACTTAGTAATATCTTAGTATATACTTTACTAGAGCAACAAAACAATTGCTTACGTTATATACATATAAATGTGCTGCACAAAATTGTGTTATTTATTATTTGTCTTGTGCTTTCAAAACAATTTTTTAAAAAAGGAAAAAAAATTAATTGGTGAAATGTTTGTTTTCTAACACGGAAACGTTTTTCTTAAAACACATGGGTTTGTTATTTATTTGACTTGGGCTGTTAGAATAATTTATTGAAATAAAGAAAATTATAGATTGATGTGATCTGTTTTTTCTAACACGGAAACGTATTCAAAACAAAGAAGTTATATTATTTATTTTTCTTGGGCTTTTAAAACAGTTTATTGAAATAGGAAAAATATGGTTTGATGCGTTGTTTGTTTTCTAACGCGGAAACATATTAAAAACACATAAGCTGTTAGATTTATACTTGTTGTGCTTTTACTTATTGAAATAAGAAAAGAAAGATATTTTTGATGTGATGTTTGTTTTCCATCACGGAAACGTATTCAAAAGACATAGTTTGTTTTAGTTTTAATGTCACAAGACAAATAAATGAAACAACTTGCCTTATGTGCTGACTAAAATCCCATACTATGATCAGGACATTATTGATTTACATTAAAATGTACGCAAAATATCACAATATAAACATTTTAAGAAATCATAGTTGGGAATACTGATTTATTATAGGAAATATGACGTTTTGCCATTGTTATTATTATTTTTTTTAAATAAGACTAAATTTGTGTTCTAACACGAAAACATATTTAAAATACACGTGGTAGGTATTTATTATTTGTCTTGTGCTTTTAATAGAAATTATTGAAATAAGAAAAAAATGGATTAATGAGATGTTTGTTTTCCAACACGGAAACGTATTAAAACACAAGGATTGTGTTATTTATTTGTTTTGAGCTTTTAAATCAATTTATTGAAGTAAGAAAAAATATGGTTCGATGTGATGTTTGTTTTTTAACACGGAAACGTATTCAAAACACATAAGTTGTAATATTTATTTGTGCTGTGCTTTGAAAATTGATTGAAAAAAGGCAAAATCATGGTTTGATATTTCTGATGTAATTCTAACACATTGGTCAAAATTTTACTTATGACTTATAAACGTATTATATTCATTGGTTAGGTTATTGCTAATTTATTGGTTGTAAAGTTAACAACCGGGTGCACTAGTAAATAAAATTACTCCAAATTAAAAAAAAAAAATTCCTATAAACAAAATGATTTATGTACAAAATTTATACTTTTATTTATGATTTATAAATAGCGAAATATTTTTTTTTTATTAGCAAGTAATTTTCTCTGCTTAACATTAAATCCTAATTTTGATCATTGATAATTATAATTTAACATTTTATTTTATTGTACCGGTATGTATTTCATTTAAATCAATTGGTCGGAGTCTGTAAAATGTATTTGTTTCATTTTAGATATATATATTTTTTTTTATTTGTCCGAAATTTTATTTAATTAATGAATTTTTAAAATCAAATTAAATGATGTTGTTTTGGTTTTTAGATGCATATTTTTTTTTACATAAAATTGTGTTTACAATAGGCGACTGTTTGAAAAAGTACACTAAACGTCACAATATCATCAGGGTCCATTTTTTTTCTTATTTCAATAGACAGTTTTAATAGCACAAGACAAATAAATGACACAACTTACATTAATGTTTTGAGTAAGTTTCCGTGTTAGAAAATAAATACACAATAATAATAACGATGATAGAACTATAAAATATTTCCAAAAGGTTTTAAAGGAATTTAAAAAATAAAAAAAACAGTACAGTGGGTTTGGGGCATAAGCCCAAAAACTATACTCAAAAATGCGTAAGTATAATAAAATTGAGTGATTCAAAGTAATTGTCATGCGACCAATTTCAGCAATACAAGTCCTCATACAAAAACAATAAATTACAACATATATCAATTTCCTTTTCAAAATTATTGTTACTTAATTATTATTTTGTATAATTTTCCGGAAAAAAAAAATTAATTAGTGGTGACTATCACATATGTGTTAAAAAATATTAGGTACACACTAAATTTACTCATTACTTTAGGACTTAGTTCCTACTTAATATTATTGTTATACACTATAGTTTGAACACATCGCGAAAAATGTCCTACCGGAGTTGGGAATTTCATCTGTTTGCCTTAAAAAACGCGCGACAATTTACCCCCACGCTGCGGTGTACCTCCACCTGTTGCAATCACTCGTTATCACACAAACACACACACTATCACAAATCTGTCTTGAAATTCCATCGTTGTCGTGCAATTTGCATTCAAATCAAAATTATTAACAAAATATACAATTTTTATTGTTGTTAATAGTTGAGACTTTTATTTTTGTAGTCCCTGCATTCTATGAATTATAACTGGTTCAATTAAATTTAGCGTCATAGAAACAATTTTAGAAAAGCTGACTTTACAAATAGTTGTTAAGTCCCCAATAATATTGGGGATTTGTTGTGTTTGATTGTAAATTTTTTATTTTACCTTGCCTTTTTAATAGAAAATAAATTGTATTTTATCTTAATTTTAGATAAACTAATTTTACAATTTCAGACACATAAAAGGTACATCTATAACATATACTGTAATACAAGCTAAACAATTATGGAAGTTATTATGCAAGAACACCTTGAAAAAATTTATCAATTCTATGAGTAAGTCATTGATAAGTTTTTGTACAAGTATTATTTACTACCGATAAATGTTTTTACTTTTATTGTGCTCTTTTAAATAATATAGCGGAGTTCTGGGGTGTATCACACAATCTTATAATTCAAATTTTTCATTTAAAAATGGTATATCATGTTTTTACATAATCCAAGTATCAAAACTTATATTTTGGCTATTTCATGAACTTTATCTAATTCATTTTTTTTAGTTTATACTACGAAAAAACAAGAAAAAAAAGGTTTTTAAACATTATTATCCATATTTAAATAATCTTTTTAATTATCAATAACGTATTTTTGCAGTATTTTAAGATAATTTTCTAAAAAAAAAAGGTTTTTCTTCCACATTTATGAGTATACTTATTGCATATTTTGACATTACTTTTCAGAAAACGTTTTATTAAAATATTAATCTTATAGTCATTTATAGATACTATTGCAAATAAATACACTAATACGAATACTTCTTTCTAGGGAAAAAGAATTTTGTGATGTAACCTTAGTTACAGATGAAGGCTTAAAAATTGAAGCACACAGTAATATATTGGCCTCTGCGAGTCATGTATTTTATACAATGTTCAGTGGACAGTTTCTAGAAAGAAACAATAAAGAGATTCTTATAAAAGAAATAGATTCTGACATTTTAGAATTAGTTGTCAAATTTGCATATACTTGTAAATCAGATATCAAAACAAACAATTGTTAGGTAGGATATACAATTTAATAAATATTACACAATTTTTAATTACTTGCCATTAATTTTTTTAGAAACTGTTGATGGCTGCTGATATGTATCGTCTAAAATATATAGAAGAGTTATGTTTTGAATATATTAAAGAAAACATAAATCCTACAAACTGTGTGAGTTTTGTGAAAACTTCCAAATTAATATCAAACGAAAAGATTTACAGTTTTTGTTGGTCATATTTTTTAACCCATTTCACGTGAGTAGTCGGTTGCGACATTTGATCGCAACATTTTTTAAAATAATCAAATAATAAAACAAAGAGATTTTTTAGTATAATTGTGCAATCGGATAAAGCATTAGGAACACTTTATGACTTTGAGTTTGATGATGTTGTCGAGTTTATTGGACATGATATACAAATATCTGGCAGAGTCGATAGCCGGCGGAATCGATAAAACCCCAAATGATGAAGATGGGAGGGGGGGGATGTTTAATTTCGATTCCATAGGCTCTTGAGTAATGATGGCTAGAGTAGTACGTATATATGTTTGGTCAACGACCAAACTAAAACTGAAAAATAAATTCAATCATTTAACAGGTCATATTCCCTACCAATTGTTTTAGGCCAGATTTTATGAAAACCCTAAAATATAAGCCAGAAACTTGATATGTTTTAATATACTAGCCACCTTTGATACTAGCTTGACAAGACATGATAATGCTCTTTCGTTGTTGCAGACTAGCCTGAAAAATGGTTTTTTTTTTCAAATAAAGTTTTACGACACACCTAAAACAATAACCGAATGACTTCAAACACACAGTGCACTTGTAGCGCTTTTCCCCGGTGTGCACGCGCTGGTGAACAGCGAGTGGGTCTTTTCGAGCGAATGACTTAAAACACGCAGTACATTTGTAGGGCTTTTCACCAGTGCGCATGCGTTTATGTTTTGTGAGGTCAGAGTTTTGAGCGAATGACTAAAGTAAAACACACCGCACATTCATGGGGCTTTTCGCCGGTGTGCACGCGTTCGTGATATGCCAGATGGTGTTTTTTAGTAAATGACTTAAAGCACACATGGCATTTGCAGGGTCGGCTTATATTTTTGATTAATCCCTCAGTATACATATTGCGATTAAAAATGATAAATTTTTGGGGAGAGCGTTTGTTAGTTGACTTTTTGTGAGATTTTATGATATGTAAAGTTATTTGTTTTTTAGTGATAAACGTTGTATGACATAAACTACATTGGATTGACCGCCGTTCTCCTATATCTTCATTGTTATTCTTCGGTGCTCTTTCATTTTTTTTATCTGTTTCCGCCTATAACTTGACAGAACAACCATTCTTTATTTTATTCGCTTCATTAGTATTCCCATTTGCACTACAACAAAACATTTTTAAAAATTAATCAATAATTATTTTGAAAGTATATCATTCCTTCTAGGAAAAATGGTTTATGATATATTTTTTGGTTTACAATTATTGATCAAAAGTTATGGGTGTTTTTCTCGATTTTCACTAGAAGGGGTGGAATTTTTTAAATTTTGGGCCAATAATGTCCCTTTCAGTTACGATTTCTGGTCTATAGAGTTGGTACACTAAAAAACCGACGTCATGCGACTTACATGACATCATGGGTGGAAAAAACAAAACAACATCCATACTGTAAAAACGATACGTTTTCAGCTACGCATCGAAGCCAAGGTAATTCATCAATAAATTATGCGATTTACAATTTTATTTAAAATATAACTAAAAATAAAAAGCCAAAAAAATTGAGGTCGGGGCATGGTGGTGACAGAGAATATTGAGACGGGGAGGTAACAGGTCTATATGAGTTAATTCAACTCAACAAATATTTTCAAATAGTTATTGACTGTTGATTCACTCACACAATATGTTAACCTAGAAATGTACTACGGTCAAAGTGTAATTTTTCCATTTTTTTTTTTGCATTTCCTACAATAAACAAGAAGTATGACTATAGCTATTACAAAGGCTCTATTAAAGGTTTTCATATAGGTATTACATATTATATTTTAACAGATTGCGTACGAGTCCGCAACACCGCGGGATACATTTTTATGTATCTAAGGTGGCTAGTAAATATATCAAATTTCTGGCTAATATTTTAGTGTTTTCATAATATCTGGCCCAAAACAATTCACAGAGAATTTGGCCCCTTAAGTGATTGTTGATGTTATTATTCATTTATATTTTGAACGTTGTGAATACAACATATATGCTCCCACCCACCTACCCCACCCCAACCCCAACCATCATCTCTCACCCCCTATCCCTTATCGCTCTTATTAGATAAATCAGCTGTTATTTTTCGTTATAACAACCGGTGTCGGTGTCGGTTTTCCGTGTGTGTGTGTGTGTGCCATAGCAAAGAAATAAAAATGTCAATAACGAAACGCGACGCCAATACGTTAGGTATTTATCGCAGAATTCGACCACAGTTGTTATGACTAAAAGCCAGAGATTTTCACGAATCGGATCCGCGGCAACAATACTGAAAACAAATTGTTTCTACGGCGCTAAATCTATATTAACTAGTAATAATGCACAACAAATTTCGAGTGTACAAAAAAATGTCTCAATTTTGAACGCAACAAAAGGTGTACCGACTGCAGTTTCACAGCTATTGCATCGTTGCACAGTTTACAAACGCATCCCTTCAGGCCTGCCCGGGCGGATTATCGATCAATGTGTATTGCGACGGCCGGAAAGTCCCAGCTACCGGTCCAGGTGAACTTTGCAAAGGCGACAAAGCGCATCACAGTATTAGCATTGCATTGCACCCCTTTGCCCCCCCCCTCCCACCATTGCACACCTACCGGATGGACTATTGATTAATGTGCATTAGGCCAGCCAGACCATCGGTGGCGGCGAACGCATTGTGCAGTTTGCACTTGTTAGGGTAGTACGCTACTCTTAAATTCGATCCGTACACCCTATACAATTTGAATCGCTGAGGCTCAAGTGACTTTTGAGCAGTTGCAGCCGGAGGAACGTCGGGCTGGGAATTGGCAAAGAAATTTCCGAACAAACAAACACCTGTTGTCAGTTTCCAGGTAATTTTTAAACATAATACAACCTACTATGTAGCATTAACAAGTATTAAAAAAATTGTAGACCATATAGTTTATCGATGAATTAATTACCTTGGCTTCGATGCGTAGCTGAAAACGTATCGTTTTTACAGTATGGATGTTGTTTTGTTTTTTCCACCCATGATGTCATCTAAGCCGCTTGACGTCGGTTTTTTAGTGTACCAACTCTATGGACCAGAAATCGTAACTGAAAGCGACATTATTGGCCCAAAAGTTTAAAAATTCCACCCCTTCTGGTGAAAATCGAGAAAAACACCCATAACTTTTGAGCAATAATTGTAAAACAAAAAAATATATCATAAACCATTTTTCCTAGAAGGAATGGAACCTTTTTTCTTCACTTCGGTTTTTCAGTTGAATTTTCAGAGCTTAGGGTCTGGAAATTAGACCTAAGGTAGATCTAGGATTCAGCTAAAACTATTTTGTTTCAATTTGCGTTACAATTGAATTTAGTCTTGCCTGTTAGTTAATTTTAATAAGGTTTTATTAGCAGCCCTGGACAGCGGTTTACGGTTCTACGTCGTGTGAGTATACCTACCGTTTTGTATTTCCAATTTATTTACATTATTGCCGTGTTTTCTGTCTTCCATTAACTTAGAACACTGCTTGTGAAAAAATAGAATCATAAGCTATATGTGTTTGTTTATTACTTATTATTTACTCGGAGTTCGGTTGAATGACACAGAATCAAGGCCCCCATAAATTAATCTATTCGGTCAAATGGGTTATCGTCTAGCATTAATCTTTATCGTCTTAACTTCTTACGTACAAGTCATACTTATAGTTTTGTGTTACTTATCTAATTTCAGTAAATTAAAATGTTGTTTTAAATTTAAAAAAAAAAACAGCTTATAAAAAAAATACCATTCAAAAATAACGTTAAAATAAATATAAAATAGTTGAAGAACACTTTACATTTTACTCATTTGGAACATTATGTAACTTAAAATTGTTATTATAATAATCCTAGTTTTTGTTTCATTTGTAATATTATGAATTGTGTAAGATAGCTATCGTTTGGTAAATTACGTGGTTGGATTTTTAAGATTACTAGAAAATAGACAAATTAGATGTGGTGGCACAATTATTATAGTTTGAAATATAAACAATGGAGTTTAAAATATTTTCATAAATTATAAATGTTTTGATTTAAACACAACATATATACAGTATATTCATTTTCTTTTTTTTTTCATTATCCAATTAAAACAATTTCTATTGTTGCGTTACACCTAATTGGTTTTTTTTTTTTTGAAAATATAGAATTATTTTTTTAATACCGAGTAATTTACTGAATGATTAAGTAACAATAACAAAATAAAACAATGTCAAAATGCTAGATTCATGTGTTGGTTTTTTTTTTTTTTAATTTTACATAACGGACGATTGCAAATTTCACTGAATTGCTTGTAATAGCTTCTAGGGTCAACCATTTTGACTGTCATACTAATCTAATAAGTTCTAATACTTACCTTACGGCTCTTTAAAATAGCTAATCTGTGAATGAGGAAAACTTTATTATATTTAAAACTAATTTACAATTTTATAAGCCCAAATGATATAAGCAATTAAACAATTTTGTTTAGTTGTAGATTATTAGATAGAAACCATAGTTAATAATAGGTTAAGAATTTGTTTGGATTAGTATTTTAAGACCCAGGAGATGATTCTGAAAACACTACAATTACGTATTAACAATTTCATACTTGAAAATAAACAGTTATATACAATTAGTGTACTTAGAACTAAAACTTAAACCTTAACTCATTGGGTTTTAATATTTAAATTATATTTTTCATGACCTTAGATTTTCTAAAAGTTTGTTTCAGGCATACTATATATTAACCATTGTGACCATTAAACGACCATGCCAAACAATTTCATCAACCTATTTCATGATTTTTAATTTCAAACATGATGTTTTTTTTTACTTGTGAGCCATTTGAGATTTGGTTTTATTAATATTGGGGATTTGTTGTGTTTGATTGTAAATTTTTTATTTTACCTTGCCTTTTTAATAGAAAATAAATTGTATTTTATCTTAATTTTAGATAAACCAATTTTACAATTTCAGACACATAAAAGGTACATTTATAATCTATACTGTAATACAAGCAAAACCATTATGGAAGTTATTGTGCAAGAACACTTCGAAAAAATGTATGAATTCTATGAGTAAGTCATTAATTGATAAGTTTTGTAAAATTAATACTTAATACCGATTAATGTTTTGTATTTTTAATGTGCTCTGGTGTGTCGGCATGCACTTATTACTTTAATATATAAAGTGTGATCAATTTTTCGTGAAGCACTCAATATCTCATAGGGTTTGATAAGAAATTTAATTTTTTTTTTCATAATGTTTTTATACAATTTCATCTCAGTTTTTTTACATATTTTGTTTTTTTGTTTTTACTTCTCTCTTAACACGATAGCGAATTTTGAAACTGAAATGGTAATGCATACGTATCATTAACTTTTTAAATTGAGAACAATGGACTACAGTTTTTGGCTGGTCGATAACCAGTTTTGGATTACTATTTTTAAAGTTACCAGTAATTTAAATTTACATATATAAAAAAAAATTTTAACTTTTGAGAAAAATACTTTTACCATTATTACATTAGGTGAAACGATAATTAAAAATGAACTTTATTTGAAAAAAGATGTTTGAAATATGCAGGAGAAGTGTGGGTAGACGAAGGATATCTTGGTTAAAAAAAACTTCGGGACTGGTTTAGTACAACAACAATTGAACTATTTCGTTCATCGTTAGAAAGAAAAGCAATATTTAATATAGTTTCCAATATCCGAAACGGATATGAACTTAAATTAATATTTATTTAATTATTTTAATTAACAATAAAATATTTTAGGCAATTCATTAAAAAAATAAGGTTTTTATTCCATTATTTGTATTGCATATTTTTATATTGCTTTTCAGGAAATGTTTTTGATAATTGAATCTTATACCCAATTATATCTAACTAATGAAAATAAATACATTAATACGGAAACATTTTGTCTAGGAACAAAGAATTTTGTGATATAGTCTTGGTTACCGATGAAGGCTTAAAAATAGAAGCACACAGAAATATATTGGCCTCTGCGAGTCATGTATTTTATAGAATGTTCAGTGATTATTTTAAAGAAAGAAACGAAAAAGAGATTCATATAAAAGAAATAGATTCTGAAGTTTTAGAATTATTTGTCAAATATGCATATACTTGTAAATTGGATGTTAAAGAAAAAAATTGCGAGGTAGATGCAATAGGATATACAATTTAATAAATATTACTCTATTTTTAATTACTTGTTATTAATTTTTTTAGAAACTGTTGATGGCTGCTGATATGTATCGTCTAAAATATATAGAAGAGTTATGTTTTGATTATATTAAAGAAAATATAAACCCTACAAACTGTTTGAGTTTTATGAAAACTTCAAAAGTAATATCAGACAAAAAGATTTACAATTTTTGTTGGTCATATGTTTTAACCCATTTCACGTGAGTAATCTAATGAGACATATGATTGCAATATTTTTAAACAATCAAATAATAAAACAAAGAGTTTTTTAGTACAATTGTGAATTCGGATCAAGCATTAGAAACACTTTATGACTATGAGTTGGATGATGTTGTCGAGTTTATTGCACGTGATGATTTAGCAATTGATTCTGAGGAAAAGGTATAATTATTGTAATTTAAAAAGAAATAAAAAATTACTTTTTTAATCTTTGGTTGTATTACAATTATTTAATAATAATTTATGAGTTTATTTTAGATATTTGATTTTATCATTGGTTGGATACGCTATAACGAAGATGAACGTAATGATTTGTTACCGATTCTTATGAAATATTTACGTTTGCCTTTAATTTCAAAAAAAGGACTACAAAGGATTTATAACGAACCATTAGTGGTAAATAATAATGACGGTGAGTATATATTGTTAATATTCTAATCGAGACTGCATCCTATCTAAATTGTTGCCATTTATTATACACACAGTAGCGCCGCAATAGGTGAAATATAATAATAATGTATCTTTTAATAAATATTATTATTGTTACGATTGTTTAGTTAAGACAAGCATGTTACATAACATGATTACTACTTACAACAGCTCAAAACCATCACATACTCTTGGAAGATGTACTCAAACTGATTCGTCAAATGTATGTACATTTAATATTTTTAAACTAGATTTTTACATGTTATAGGTACACAGTAATTGTACTAGGTTGTATCACCTGACATTTGTATATATGTGTATTCAGAGTATTTTTGGAATTGCTGGTGATTCATACAGGTTATGTTACTATGTAAATTATATGGATATCAGAAACGATAATCACTTGAAATGGAAATCAAGCAAACATTTAATTTTTTTTTCCTCGCCGCCATTTCACAACGATGGTAGTCGCCGAAAACGGGATAATAGTTGCCTTCTTCTTCTTTAGTAAAGGCCTTGTCGTTGCAAATCTGGTTCTCCATTCTTCTTTGTTAAAAGCCAGTCTTTCCATGTCCATGTATCGACTACAGTCAGCTTATCTTATCATTTCTCCTATGTATGCCTTCCTCGGTCTGCCTCTACCTTTGTGTCCATTTATTCGTCCTTCAAATATATTTCTCATAAACGAATTATGTCTAAGTAGGTGACCGAACGTTTTTCCACTTTTTTCTTTTATGGTATTCAACAGATGTCGTTTTTCCCCTACTTGGTTTAATACATCTACGTTACTTTTCGTTTCTGTCCAGCTGACTTTCAGCAATCTTCTCCATGTCCACATTTCCATGGCTTCCAACTTCTTCTTGTCTCGTCCATTGATGGTCCGTGTTTCACAGCCATATAATAATACGCTCCATACATAGCATTTGATAAACAATTTTCTCATCTTTATATTAAGTTTTTCGTTTGTAAGTAGCTGCCGTTTTTGCATAAATGCTCTCTTTGCCATAGCTATTCTTTGTCTAATTTCTATTGAGCATCTACCATCGCTTGTAATCGTACTTCCTAGGTACTTGAATTATTGGACTTGTTCTATTAAGTTATTATTTATTTCCAAATTCACTAAAGGAATTTCTTTTGCTTTAGTCACCACCGTTGTTTTTGTTTCATTTGCATTTATTTTCATTTGATATTCCTGCAATATCTTAGTGAGGGTGGTTAGATATTTTTGCATGTCTTTTTCCAATTCAGACACTAAAGCAATATCATCTGCAAATCGTATACAGTGGATCTTTTCCCCATTTATGCTTATTCCTTTAGAGTTTCTCTTATACTTGTCTATGATTTCTTCTGCAAATAAATTGAACAGATAAGGAGATAAGGAACAACCTTGTCTTACCCCTCTTCTAATTTTTACTTTAGTACTATGTTCTCCTACCTCTATTAAGGTCTCTTGTTTCTTGTATATAGAACATTTCTAGTAACATTATTACTCGTCTGTCCCTCCAATCTATTCGTGTTTTTTTTATAGAGCTCATCAATAAAGCCCAGTTAACTGTGTCAAAGGCTTTTTCTCAATCAATAAAAGTTATAAATGTATTTCTATTTACATTTAGTCTTCTTTCCGAGAGTACCCTTAAAGCTAAAATTGCTTCTCTTGTGCCAATTCCCTGTCTAAACCCGAATTGATCTTCATCGAGCTCTTCTTCGGTTTTCTTCCTTATCTTATTTTTTATGATGATAAAAAGTATCTTGAACGCATGTGTTAATAGACTTATTGTTCTGTAATTTTTGCATTCTGTGGAATTTCCTTTTTTAGGGATTAGTACAATTTTGCTTTTGGCAAATACTTGCCATTGGTGGTAATAATAGTTCTGGCAATTATGTCAATGTTGTTGACGAGCTTGATCTTAAGTCAAAATATAGTAAATAAATAAAATCCACTGGTTCTTATAGCACTTTAACTGTCATACTAATCTAATAAGTTCTAATACTTACTTTAGGGCTCATTAAAATAACTAATCTGTGAATGAGGAAAACTTTATTATATTTCAAAATAATTTACAGTCTTATAAACCCTAATGATTTAAGCAATTCAACAATTTTGTTTAGCTGTAGATTATTAGATAAAAACCATAGTTAATAATAGGTTAAGAATTTGTTTGGACTAGTATTTTTAGTCCCAGGAGATGATTCTGAAAACACTGCTGTTTTCATACTGGAAAACAAATAGTTATATACAAGTAGTGTACTTAGAACTACAACTGAAATCGGGTTAAACTGTTAAACTAAAACTCAACTCATCGGGTTTTAATATTTAAATTATATTTTTTATGACCTTAGATTTTCTAAAAGTTTGTTTCAGGCATATTATATATTAACCATTGTGACCATTAAACGACCATGCCAAACAATTTCATCAACCTATTTCATGATTTTTAATTTCAAACAAGACGTTTTTTTTACTTGTGAGCCATTTGAGATTTGGTTTTATTAAAATGGGGGATTTGTTGTGTTTGATTGTAAATTTTTTATTTTACCTTGCCTTTTTAATAGAAAATGAATTGTATTTTATCTTAATTTTAGATAAACTAATTTTACAATTTCAGACACATAAAAGGTACATTTATAATCTATACTGTAATACAAGCAAAACTATTATGGAAGTTATTATGCAAGAACACTTCGAAAAAATGTATGAATTCTATGAGTAAGTCATTAATTGATAAGTTTTGTAAAATTAATATTTAATACCGATTAATGTTTTGTATTTTTAATGTGCTCTGGTGTGTAGGCATGCACTTATTACTTTAATATATAATGTGTGATCAATTTTTCGTGAAGCACTCAATATATCATAGGGTTTGATAAGAAATTTAATTTTTTTTTTCATAATGTTTTTATACAATTTCATCTCAGTTTTTTTACATATTTTGTTTTTTTGTTTTTACTCCTCTCTTAACATATAATATTTATTTAATTATTTTAATTAACAATAAAATATTTTAGGCAATTCTTTAAAAAAATAAGGTTTTTATTCCATTATTTGTATTGCATATTTTTATATTGCTTTTCAGGAAATGTTTTTGATAATTGAATCTTATACCCATTTATAACTAACTAATGAAAATATATACATTTATACGGAAACATTTTGTCTAGGAACAAAGAATTTTGTGATATAATCTTGGTTACCGATGAAGGCTTAAAAATAGAAGCACACAGAAATATATTGGCCTCTGCGAGTCATGTATTTTATAGAATGTTCAGTGATTATTTGAGAGAAAGAAACGAAAAAGAGATTCATATAAAAGAAATAGATTCTGAAATTTTAGAATTATTTGTCAAATATGCATATACTTGTAAATTGGATATTAAAGAAAAAAATTGTGAGGTAGATGCAATAGGATATACAGTTTAATAAATATTACTCTATTTTTAATTACTTGTTATTAATTTTTTTAGAAACTTTTGATGGCTGCTGATATGTATCGTCTAAAATATACAGAAGAGTTATGTTTTGATTATATTAAAGAAAATATAAATCCTACAAACTGTTTGAGTTTTATGAAAACTTCAAAAGTAATACCAGACAAAAAGATTTACAATTTTTGTTGGTCATATGTTTTAACCCATTTCACGTGAGTAATCTAATGCGACAAATGATCGCAATATTTCTTTAAATAATCAAATAATAAAACAAAGAGTTTTTTAGTACAATTGTGAATTCGGATCAAGCATTAGAAACACTTTATGGCTATGAGTTGTATGATGTTGTCGAGTTTATTGCACGTGATGATTTAGCAATTGATTCCGAGGAAAAGGTATAATTATTGTAATTTAAAAAGAAATAAAAAATTACTTTTTTAATCTTTGGTTGTATTACAATTATTTAATAATAATTTATGAGTTTATTTTAGATATTTGATTTTATCATTGGTTGGATACGCTATAACGAAGATGAACGTAATGATTTGTTACCGATTCTTATGAAATATTTACGTTTGCCTTTAATTTCAAAAGAAGGACTACAAAGGATTTATAACGAACCATTAGTGGTAAATAATAATGACGGTGAGTATATATTGTTAATATTCTAATCGAGACTGCATCCTATCTAAATTGTTGCCATTTATTATACATACAGTAGCGCCGCAATAGGTGAAATATAATAATAATGTATCTTTTAATAAATATTATTATTGTTACGATTGTTTAGTTAAGACAAGCATGTTACATAACATGATTACTTACAACAGCTCAAAACCATCATATACTCTTGGAAGATGTAGTCAAATTGATTCGTCAAATGTATGTACATTTAATATTTTTCAACTAGATTTTTACATGTTATAGGTACACAGTAATTGTACTAGGTTGTATCACCTGACATTTGTATATATGTGTATTCAGATTATTTTTGGAATTGCTGGTGATCCTGACCTGTTTTGTTACTATGTGTATTATATGGATATAAGAAACTATTATCAATTAAAATGGAAACCAAGCAAACAAAAATTTTTTTTTCCTCGCCGCTTTTTCTCAACGGTGGTAGTCTCCGATAACGGGATAATACTTGCCATTGGTGGTGATATTAAGGGTCGCGGTTATGTCAACCTTGTTGACGAGCTTGATCTTAAGTCAAAATCAAAACAATGGGTTTCTACAAGGACATTGAAACAACCACGAACAAGTTTTGCTGTTTGTACATACAAGCAGTACATATATGTCGTAAGTATTAATTTGATTGTAGTTAACATAACAAGTACACATTGTTAACAAGAAATTTATTTTAATTTTTTTTTATTTAGGTTGGAGGCCAAGATATCTCATCTAACCGCTTATTGAATTCTGTAGAATACTATAATACAAACTCAAAAGTATGGACCGAAATTACTGAACCGATGCCCACTGCTCGAATCCAGTGCAGTGCTACAATATTTAAAAATAAATTATATGTTGTAAGTAACCACAATTTAGCCATAAATACCATGCCTAAGTAGGAAACAAGTTTCTACTTATTTTTGTTAATTTGTATTACAGAAAAACAGTAAAGTATTAATTAAACAAGCTATTATAGTTTGTAAGTATTTTAATCAAGTTTTATTGGTTTGTGCAGTTTGGTGGTTGTGAGAATATTATATATCTTGACACTGTAGAGTGTTATGATTTTGAAATGAAACATTGGGAAAAACTCGATCCTATGCCGATATGTAATTTTGACATGGGTGTGTCAAGAAGAGACAACGTCGTTTATCTCATTGGTGGTGGTGCTGCACCTCAACGAATTTTTAAATTCGATTTACAAAATTTCAAATGGGATGAAATGCCTAAAATGAACATGAATTATAGTGGATATTGCTCAAGTCTGTATATATTTAATCAAGTATATAATACATTTTTTTTACTCATTAATATTATAAAATGCAGTTGTTGTTTTCATGAAAAACGACTTATTCGTGTTTGGGAATATTAATGGAGAACTTCATTGTGAAAAATATGACAGAGGAAAAATGCAATGGCAATTGGTTGACAGGATCGGTGGTTCATGGTTAATATTAGGTTATATATTTCCATTCAATAATATTACTCTTAAATCCTATGGTATTCAATTATAATACTATTTTTTTTAATAATAACATATTGTGAATTCAATTTAGTCTTAAAATGATTTACACATTTTTTTGTTGATGATATATTTGTATTTGGTTATACTTTGGTAGAAATTCATTGTAAATATATTACACAAAGAAAACATGGCATCTGGTTGCCAGGGCAGAAGAGACATCAAACGTTTTTGTTACTATTTTGCTTTTAATGTTGTTACTCTGAAATCATATTATATTGTGTTCACTTATAATTTTACTATTTATTAATTAAATGCTGTGAGTAAAAATTAGTTTTAAAATTATTTATTTTTTTGGCCTTTAATTTCAATTGCAAACTAAATTTTATTTGTGTAACGTTAGTGGTTGCAAATATGTTGGAACAGGTGGAGGGAAATCCCTTGGTTAGCTTCTGCTGTGTAGTACCTCTAATTATTCAGTTTTAATTATAAATTAACTAGAAGATACAAAAGAAAGTTATATTTTTCATCATTTTATAGTAAATAACATTTGTGCAAATATCACTTACCTACAAGTAAATTGTATACGTCGACAAAAGTCTCAATTTGTTATTATATCTTAAATATATTTATTAGAACAATAATGATATGATAAAGGTAAGATTTTTTTTTTTATGTGTGATAACGTATAACGATAATAGTTTAATTTAATTACCAAATGATCAGTGAACAATGTGTATTCAATTTGACTGCTTTACAGTTAATGGCTATACATTTATACTACTTCGATATTACCTATACATTTGTTCGTTGTCTGACGGAATGCAATGACTGTTTTTTGATTTAACCAAAGGTTGTCCTTGATTAACATCAATTGATGTGGACACTTTTTCAGAAAATATTTTCATTTTCTGTTTATACTTGTTGGACTGTACTGGTTTGGATTTACTATCCACCGATTCGCATCAAAGCGTTTATTTAAAAGTGTTTTTATCACGTACTGGTTTTCTTAAACCCCTATTTTTTTTTTTTTTTGTTATTATTATATCAAATATTAATTTTTCAAGCGTGGGGCCTATATATTCTAACACAATCACAAACATAGATATTTTATTAAATTTTATCACTTTATTTATAATAATTCCTGTAGACCTGTGACCTCTCCGTCCCCTTTATGCTTGGATTAAATTTTTAAATAATGTCTTTTTATATGGATTCCTTAAACTCTTTAAAAATTCATAGTGTTACAAACAAAATAAAAAATTACTAAAAAAAATGCTTTAAATATTATTCTTTATAATTTTTCAAATGTTGAGAAAATTCGTTTATTACAAATAAATATTGTCTTGGTGAGCGATAAATATTCTAATAAAAACAAATCTATATAATTATCCGGAGTACAATGCCGGTCTTTAAAAATGGATCTGATTACGGCAGGAGTATTTTATTATATTTTAACGAACTTGATATTTTTAAGATATAAATATTCCTTCGCCGGATCGACACTCGGTCCCGGGCCTTCCGTTTGCCGGCCTTCATGTACATCAGAAAAAAAGTACTTATAATATTTTCAGGTTAATTCAGGGATATGTGTTACATAGTTTAGGCATGTCTTATTATTAGCAGTCGAACTACAAAAAATATTGGAGATTATCCATAGTATTTGTCTAGATTAAGCGCATGTTGTTAAAAAAAAAAAAAAATAGGCTCCACAAGGGATCTTGTTACCTGTCCCGTGTGTGTGTGTGTGGTGTATATCAGCGGTTTCACACACCCCCTATACGGATTTCTCTAGTATTTATTATGAAAATATAGTCAAATAAAGTTAAATTGACAAAAACACGAGAGGCGCGGTGCCTGAAATCCTACAATGGGCGTTTGGTGCTGGCGTCAGAGATCCTACAATAATGTATAAAGGTAATTTACATTGGCTACAGAAATCCCGCAACAACAAAGCGGGTGCCTAATGTAATATAAATAATGGTGACAGGAATTCTACAAATATGGTTTATAAAATAGCAAATAACATATCCGGCGAGTGTGGAAGGAATTGACCTCGAACGACAGCCGCCACAGTCGCTTTCCAAACGTTTACACCCTACCTGTACTGGCTTAAGGTCTCTCTACAAGGTATTATACCCGTGAACCGTTTATTTGGGTCCAGTATTTCGTATTTTTTTTATTGAATTGTAGTACCCCACCACTGCAGCAGTTGTCCTAGGGGCCGGCAACAAGTGGCTGGTTACTGGTAGCATTAGGCACGAGGATAAGGACATGAGGTACCTACCGTGTCAGTCGCCAGTTGCGAAGCATACATCCACCAGGTCTTTCACTACGCCTTTCATATTATTTGCTGAAGTGAGTTTTTTTTTCTTCTATTTACATGCGATTGTTTTTTATTTTCGGTTAATTTATTCGTATACACTTCATCGAGAAACATACAACGTTTGAATTTTCGACGTACGGTTTCATTGGCATTGCTTATAATTTCACGTAAGATTTTGTCGTTTTTCATTCATACGGTTTTAGATAGGTTTGTTTTAGATGTAATTAAAAATTAAAAAAAAAAAAAAAATCTAATTAAAGATTCTAAACGCGCAAAATGACACCACAGCTGATATATGCTACAAGTATACTTATATAATACATCTAAAGGCCTTTTACTAAAAAGTGCTGTATTTAAGAGCCTCTTACTTGTTCGGGATTGAACTAGAAATTCTGAAAATGTACTAATATGTACATAATGTAACGTAGAACATCTGGTAAAAGTCTGGTAATGGAGACTTATTTTTATTATGAGCTGTAAGAACTTCAAATTTCGTATTTTGGAGCTACGTATAACATCTTTTTATTATTAATTCAAGTCCTAAGAAGTTATAGGCTGTTAATTTTTTTTTTTACGGCGTATAATATGTAACTTCACGTTTGGCATTTTACTAAGAAATGATACATTTAAGAGCCTTTTTTACTTGCTTTTTTGTCGTATAAAATTATATTATACGACTGAGAGGCTTCATTAATTTTTTTATTGCAAACAAAATCTAAATTCTAAATATTAATTAAATAAAATGGTTAAAAATAGAAGCCAGTAATTATATTGTTGTAAGTATTTACTGCGAATATTACCTTTTTAAAATAATACTAGTTTTATAGATTCTATTTAGACGACGGAAAGAAATCTTTAAATTTTTGGAACAAACACACCTGTGGCGATCACTCGTTATCACACGCACACTATCATAAATCTGTCTAACAATGTTTACTCGGTGCTGTAGTTTGCGTTAAAAAATCTACAGTAAATATTGAATTATTATTTAATTTGTTGTTAATAAGTGAGATTTTTTTTTGTACACTCTGAATTTCTGTGAATTATAACTAGTTAAATATTCGATTTACCGCCATAGAAACAATTTGTTATCATTATTGTTGCCACGGGTCCGATTCGAGTAAATATCTGTATTTCAATCATAATAACTTGGTTGAATTATATTAATAACTAACGTATTGCGTCGTGTTTCGTCATTTCGTTACAATTGAGTTTTGTCTTGCCTGTGTATCATTTATTATAAGTTTTTAGTAGAAGCCTTGGACAGCAGTTTACGGTCTTACGTTGTGTGAGTACCTACTGTTTTGTACTTCTAATTTATATACATTATTGCCATGTTTTCTGTCTTTAATTTATTGACTTAGAATACTGCTCGTGAATAATTAGAATCTTAATCTATAGACGTTTGTTTATTACTTACTATTTACTCGGAGTTAAGACGAGTGATACGAGAACAATGCCACTTTAAATTAATCTAGTCGTTAGTTTTCCTGCAGTTTGCGTTAAAAACCTACATTAAACACAAGTTTTGTTGTTTTTAATAATTGAGATTTCTTTTTTATACACTCTGAATTTCTGTGAATTATTACTAGTTTAATTAGATTTAGCGCCGTAGGAACAATTTGTTTACATTATTGTTGCTACGCGTCCGATTCGTGAAAATCTTTAATCATAATAACTTGGTCAATATCTGTTATTAATACCTAACGTTTTGCGTCGTGTTTCGTTATTGAGTTTTGTCTTGCCTGTAATTCATTGTTGAAATGAATAAGTCGTTCTATTAAACAGCGGTTTACGGTCTTACGTTGTGTGAGTACCTACTGTTTTGTATTTCTAATTTGTTTACATTATTGCCAGGTTTTCTGTCTGCCGTTGACTTAGAATACTGCTCGTGAATAAATAGAATCATAATCTATAGAAGTTTGTTTATTGCATGTTATTTACTCCGAGTTGAGTCGAGTAGTACGAGATAAACGCTACTTTAAATTTTTCTAGTCGGCAAATTGGTCTATCGTCTAGCTTTAATCTTTACCGTGTTAGCTTCTTACCTACAAGTCATACTTGTAGTTTTGTGTTATTCATCTAATTTAAAGTAAACTAAAATTTAATTTTAAATGTTTAAAAAAAATAAAATATACCACTCAAAATTTTGTTGGTTTTTGTATTTTAAATAATGTAAACTAAATTATTTTTTATTATATCATTATTATTACTATAACTGTTACTAAATAAAATAGTTAAAATTGAGTAATTAAGTCGTCCTATGTAATCCTCTCTGCACTTTTGACACAGAAATACAACTAATGTTTAATGTTAGTGTACGTTCGCACAAGACTTACCGTGCTATATATAAAACATTCATACTTTTTTTTTTATAAAACAGACAAAAAATGTGAACAAGTGTTATTGTAAAATCTGTATTTTAACAGTTATATAAATAAATAATATATAAAGCCTTGGGGATTGTTTTATTTTTATAAAAATACATATTTTTAATCATTAAAAATGTATTTTATGCTAAACAGAAAATTTGAATGAAATAGAATCTTACTAATCTAACTTTTTTTTTTTATTCATAAAATGATAAATCTTTGACATCTAGGTCATTAGCCATGATATAACGTTTCTTATTATTTTGTGATATTTAAAAAAATATATAATTAATGATTTCTTAATTTATTTTAAAAATAATGTTGTATAATAATGGTGTTGATAATATTGTTTGAACAATTATTTTGACGTTAGGTATAAGTGGTAAAGAGAAATATGAAATTTCCTTGTGTAACTTAATCCAAACTATAATAAATCATTAGGTTTTTTTATTATATTAAACATTAGAGTTTATTTCAAACTTGTTATCGACCTGTTACATTTGTATGGTTTTATTGTGAATTATAAAGAAATCCAAAATTTAAAATCTCTATAAACAAACTAACAATAAGAAGACACGCGCTTATCATTTTATTCTCCTTTTAGCTAATATACCTTTTGTATTCTATGCATACACAACAAACCAATTTATTGGTCTATTTTTAAATGAAATCATGAATATAAAGTAACATAATAGTTCGGGTTTTGTCCAGAGCCTGATTTAGAATTTTTGAAGCCCCGGACAAAAGACAAAATTGGGCCTATTATTATTATTGTAAATTAAATTAAAAGAATTAATTTTGGGTTAGGTAATTTTATATATAACAAAAAAAAGTGTTATTCGTTCTAGTTAATTTTAAATACTATAGTAATGTATGGTTCTAGCTTATTTTTATTTTGTTTAAAAAATGTATGCAATTTAATCAAATAAAAATTGATTTAAATAGTAGATAACTATATTTTATCTAAAATTAATTAAAGTAAATCTTCAGGAATTCAAATATTGCCATTTGATACAATGTCTTTTTGTCCAATTAGGTACCACAATAATGTCTATTTTTAACCACATTATAGTGCTAGTCTATCACACTAATTAGCTTTTATGGCTTTATTTATCAAAAATTATAGCACTAGTGTTATATATTGTAGTTTTTAGACGATAAATTCCCAGTTTTTGCAAAGTTATGTTTTTAGTTATAATAGAAAATATATTTATTTTCCTTTTGAAAATATTCCCACAATACATCATTATAGACTATAATTAAAAGAACCCAGTCATTAGGTAATCATTAATATGTGAAAATAAACTAAAGGTTGCATAAAACTTTTAGGTTCCAAGTATTATGATTTATGACATTCGGGCGTTTGTTATTAATGTTTTGAAACATGTTCTCCTTAAGTAACGTACGGTTCTAGCATATTTTTATTTTGTTTAATAAATTTAGGCAATTTAATCAAATATAAATTGATTTAAATGGTAGATAACTATATTTCATCTAAAATCAATTAAAGTAAATTATTAAAATTATGCGTGTGTGATGCATTGTACACATTGTACATCAGTAAAATTAATATTTTCTGTGTAAATTACAAAATATTGATCTTAAATTAACATATTTTGTTATATACGTGTTGCAGTAATCATTTTTCGTGTAAAGCAACCGATACCACAAAAAATACAAACACCAACATTATTGAAACTAAAACACAAACTTCAGAAAAAAATATAGAAAAAATGCGTCAGTTCGACTGCAATAAATGTCAAAAGAGGTTTGCAACCAAAAGTAATATAATCCGGCATATTACGGAATCGCATTCCAATACTTCCAAGGCAAAGAAAGTGCCTCGAAAAAATAAAGTTATCAATCGAAACAGAAAAAGCAACATGGATACTCAAAAAAAAAATCGCACATTTAATTGTGGTATATGTTTAAGGGGGTTTTCATCGAAATCACGCCTAAAAACACATTGGCGCGTTCATACCGGCGAGAAACCCTATAAATGCGATGTGTGTGAAAAATCCTTCAGGCTACAATTTATTCTCAAGAACCATGCACGTATACATACCGGTGAAAAACCATTTAAATGCGATGTCTGTGGAAAAACATTTGCTTATCAGGCAAACCTCAAAAGACATGAAAGGGTACATACCGGAGAGAAACTTTTTAGATGTTATGTCTGTAAAAAAACATTTGGTCATCAGTCATCCCTCAAAACTCATGAAAGGATACACACTGGCGAGAAACCCTTTAGATGCAATGTCTGTGAAAAAACATTCAGTGGACAATCTTCCCTCAAGACTCATGAACGCATACATACCGGTGAAAAGCCATTTAAATGCAATGTCTGTGGAAAAACATTTGCTTATCGGGCAAACCACAAAAGACATGCAAGGGTACATACCGGAGAGAAACTTGTTAGATGTTATGTCTGTGAAAAAACATTTGGTGATCAGTCTTCCTTGAAAAAACACGGAAGGGTACATACCGGAGAGAAGCTTGTTAGATGCAATGTCTGTAAAAAAACATTTGGTGATCAGTCTTCCTTGAACAGACACGAAAGGGTAGTACATGCCGGAGAGAAACCCTTTAGATGCAATATCTGTGAAAAAACATTTGGTAGACAATCACACCTCAAAACTCATGAAAGGATACACACTGGCGAGAAACCCTTTAGATGCTATGTCTGTGAAAAAACATTCAGACACCAATCATATCTCAAACCACATGAAAACATACACACCGGGGAGAAACCCTTTAAATGTGATGTCTGCGAAAAAAGATTTGGTGTAATATCTAACCTCAAAAGACATGAAAGGATACACACTGGCGAGAAACCCTTTAGATGCGATGTCTGTGAAAAAACATTCAGTCTACAGGATTCACTTAAAAAACATGAAAGGATACACACCGGCGAGAAACCCTATAAATGCGATGTCTGCGAAAAAAGATTTGGTCAAATATCTAACCTCAAAACTCATGAACGCATACATGTTGATAGGGTACGATATAAATGCTCAGTCTGTGACAAATCGTATGGTCGCCAAATTTATCTCAATAAACATAAAGCAAAAGCACACGACTAAAGCCTCATATACCTCTCGTGACTAACAGATTTAAAATACTTTAAGTTACAACTTTGTGTTGTTTTTCTTTTTTTTTTTTTTACTTATGATTTAATTCGTACTCATGATATACGTGTATACTTCATAGTTTTTCAATGTTTACTGCCGTTCAACTGATCACTAACATTACTTTACGTTTTGTATTTGATTATTATTTTGACGATTATTATTATTTAGTTTTTATATAATTTTTTAATTCCATAATTTACACATGAACAATAGGAGATAATATTGTTACTATCGTTAAAATATTATAATAACCGTTCATAATAAAAGGACTGATGCGGTTTTAAAGAGAAATTATTATGAAGGTATGTGTAAGTTTATATTTTTTAATTGGTTTTAAATTTGAAGCATGTATTTATTTGTACTTAACTAAATATGGTTATGAAAATTACGTTTTATTTTACTTATTTTAAATTTATTATGTCCACTGTATGAGTGTGTACAGTGTATTTGATTCATTGTGCTACTTTTATATTTTGTTTAATAATAATTTACTTATACGAAATAATAGTTGTAAACTGTTTTATTTTGTTTAAAATATGAATTTATTAAGTTTGTTGTTTTTCCTAGGCAAAAATTTGTATATTCGATTCATTTTGCTACTTTTTTAGTATAGTAAAAAAACGCAATTGATGGTCTGTAGTGTGCAAGATGTCATTAAATTGAAAAGGAGCGTTTAAGGAATAAATATAACACATTTTGAAATACTGTTGTACTAAAAAAGGTTACAGATATTTAAAAAAAAATCATTACATGAGTATTTAAATACAATTAATAAAATACCACCAATAGCATAGTTTATAATTTTTTCAAATGCTAAATGCCTATTATACAGTTAAATTCATATTACAAAATTGTCGATGTCGACTTTTTGGTTATGACAATAGGTCCACAAGGTTCAAGATAAGTGTTAATTTAGGACCACAGTCATGTTCAAAAAACTATGATTTGTTTTAGTATCAATGTTTGTAAAAATAAAAAATAAAACTGTGGTGTAATTAGGTATAAGAAACGATATGTCGGTAGTAACAGTCCATAAATGTATTTCGTAGGTATTACCAATTCTGTACTTAAAGGCAAATTACTTTTGGTAAACCTTTCCTTGGGAATAATGAAATCAAAGATATTGGAGCAATAGAAATACTGAAATTTGCAAATGACTCTGGTTCATTTAACGCACAAAGTTATTAAACTAAGTTAACTAAAACTATTACCAATTCTTAGGTAAGGTTGTTTTTAGTTTTTAAACTCATTGTGAAAGATTTAACCAAGTTAAAAAAAAAATTACATATATGATTCATTTTAATGATAATATTCTTAAGTCATAAGATATTCACTTAATTAATTTTTTTTTTTGATACCGATATTAATAAATGTCATTTGAGCTAGTCGTCAAAATATACCTACTTCTAAATTTATGTTTATTATTAAGTAACTAGTAAAAAAATAATAATTATAACCGCATCATCATAAAAGGGGATTATAGTTCAGAAATAATCACTATTCAGGATACATACCGGCGAGAAACCCTTAGTGCTAGAACTTGCTATGAAAATTCAAATGATAGGTGTAAACATTTTTTGTTTCAACTACTTCTGTATACGATAGATATTTAAATTTGTACAATTATAATATGCATATTTCAAAACTTACCTTCGTCGTGCACATGTATGATTATTTTTGAAAAACAATATTATTTGTGTACAGGTATTATTGCTTCGTCTTGTTGCATCAAGTGTTCAAGTTCGATAACGATAACCATACTAAGCATTGTTTTACAATCCCTAGTTTTAAAATGATCACATTATATAGCTTCATCGCGGTCATTCAAGTTTAAAAATAATGTTATTTATGTGTTTGAGTTGTTCCTTAGGTATACATGTTGACAAAATAATATATTTATTTTAGGTGTGTGCAATTGGTAACTAAGGGTAACCACAGAGATCATAAGATCTATTAAAAAAAAAAAAACTGTTTCAATTCAACAACATACGACGAATCGAAAATAAATAATATATCATACTAATAGGAATTTTTCTACACTAAATAATGAAAAAAAAATCAAGTTGATTTATTATAATCGATTGTATTTATAGATATTTGTGCAAGAATATATTCATTTTGTACTAGGTTTGTTTTATTTCCTTGTAATTTATGCAAACGGTTATTATTTTAATTTTTATGTGCCTTAGGTACTATAAAATAGTATGATATTTATTTTGGATCTTAAATGGGCTCAAATAAGTAGTAATGTTGATTTTTTTTAAACTGAGCACCAAATAAAATTATATTAAATTTCTACCTGTTCAGCTGTTCTATAAAAACACCTAATTAACACATTTTAAATCTCAACTAAGTTTTTTTTTAAATAACACAAAACGTATAAGACGAAAAATTGTGTTAAAAAACCTTTATAAATAAAATTAGAAGGACTAAATGTATGACCAATTTATGTTATAGGTTGCAAAGGTAATAAAGAAGTTCTAAGGCATAATTACAGCGAAAAAAAAACATAATTATATTTCATTGGAAATCATATATTTATAATCATAGTTTTGTCGAAATAGTAGTACATTTTATTTTGAATTTTGAATTTATATCAAATAAAACCTTACAAGCTGATACCTTATAAGATTTAACTTGTAAAATGTTGTAAGGGTTTTATTATATATATATTTGTTGATTTAAAATTCAAAATAAAATGTATTATTATTTCGACAATCATGATTACATTATGTTAGTTTCATTCATACTTTTTAGAATAAGTTTATCTTTTTTTTTTTTAATTTGAAGAAGTATCGAGTTTGAATGATGGTAACAAAAATAATATTATAATCATAACAATATCGGCATCTATAAATGTTTATAAGTTAATAATTACACCTTAGTAAGTGGTGTAATTTGTAAGTCAGTTACTGTAAAAGTAAATAATTCGCCGTACTCAGGACCATTCAATCCATTGTCTTTAAGCTTTCGGAGAACATCATTGTAGGCAGCTTTACTGAAACCAATAATTTTATATTGTCAACAATTTACCCGTTCCAATAAAAATTAAAACAGAAATCCTAAAAACCGACGATTGGAAAACTTTACCTAGCTAAAATTTACTTTATTTATTATAGCCCCCCGCAAACGTTGATTAAAATTATTAGTGATACGATGTGTTGACTGATTTTGAACTTGTAAAAAACAAAATGAATAAATACCAAGTCAATAATGTTTTTCCAACCGAAAGCGTTGATATGGTATAACAATACTCACGTGGGTTTTATAGTGAACAACAAATCTGTAAAGCAGAAAAGTTATTTTATTATAAGTACAACATACATATACCTATTATATTATGGTTTTACCTAACAATAGTAAAATGTCTGTGTTTTAATATTTTGTCATAGGTGTAGCAAAGGGTGGGCATCCCCCCCCTCCCCCATAAATTGGTTTAAGGTTAAATTTCATGTTTAGGTAAATTTTTTGAAAACAAATTGTATAGCAATAGAGTTATTAACTAAGTAAACAAAATTAAAGACTAAATGTTTTCAATCAAATATAAATCAATAATTGTTTTTTAATAAACTGTTATACTTGGTGTTGATCTTATTATATAATATTTTAATCTATATTAAAAAATTCCATACGTTACCTAAATTACCCTCACCCATCGGATTTGCACCATCTGCAAAGAAAATATAATTAAAATGTTATCTAACAAACCTAGGTATATTATTTATACTTTTACCTTTTTCTACAAACATGACACCGCCCATTCCTGGAATAAAAAAAAAAACATTATCAAATAAATTGTAATTATACGATTACCACACGACTACAATTCTAATTAATATTAAAATATTCGTATTGTATTATATTCCTTATTTAATTTTAATAAAATACATTAGATTTCAATTTCAACCAATAAAAATAAAAATACACAGTTTCAGAAAAAAACGTTGATACACTTTACCGCAATGCGGTGGGGAAAACCTTAGTTAAATTTTGTGAACATTTTTGTGCTCCATAAATAATATTCTTCAGTATAATCGCCCGTCTTAATTTTACGTTAATGAGAATGCGGTAACTATATATTTTAACTTTTAATCAGTTTTTATAGTATATAAATTCTGATCTAAAGTGTTAAGAACAAGACAGTTAAAATAAAAAAAAACAGCGTTGTAAAATATAATAATACAAGCTAAATTGAAAAACAAGTCATTATTTTTAAGTTACATTAACAACTCCGAAATATTCCTTGCTGTTATTTTTTACCTTATTTATATTATAGACAGCCTGATGTAAAACTGATATTTAAAAATCGTAGCACTCGACAGTCATACTCTATATATTAAGTACACTATGTATATTTTGTATGTATTATGCTAAAATGCATTTAAATGGATTGTTAGTCTGGTATTGATATTATAGAAAGACTTAGGGACATGGACACGTGAGGCATTAGCCCCATCAATTTGGGCTTGTGTAATATATTCGCCTAGGTATCGTTATTATAATAATACGACATTTACATAATATTATGAGTATATTTAAGATAAACATTAGTATAATTACTGTGATCACGTTGACCGTATACAATTATGTCATTTTTTAAGAACGAAGGTGTACCTAAAAAAAAAAAAAAAAAAATAACAACAATAAGTCATACATTGAGTAAGTATACACTGTAGGTGTATAATAATATATTTTAATCTGTGGATTCTGGTCGAACGATAAATACATACCAGTCGCAAACGTACAGGCAACACAGACAGATAAAACAATTAGGCTAAAACAGATGTTTGCCATAACGATGCGAATAACAGTATACTGCGGTGAAGGTTAAACGTGGAGAACAACTGTAGAATCGTGATTGAATGTAACGAATGAAATTATCCACTAAAATACCGAAGTCGGGTCCATAAAAATTTTTTTTGAAATTTCACCTGATCATACAGAACAAAAAATACCGATAATGATTCAAAAATAATAGGTACGTTTTGAAAATATATCTACCAACACAAATATAACATATTTGCAAACGATTTGCGCGGCCCTTCGGTATTTTATTTGCAGAATGGAGGCCAGACAAACGATAAATCGTATAGTAAATCGGTTAAATTGAATAAATATCGTGCACAGTCATTGACACAGACTATAATTAACATACCTAGTTTAGCTGTGTACCGAAAATTCATGACGAAATGTAAAAACAAACAAGGTAATAAATTAACACCCCCGAACCTATACTGATGCAACTGATCATTATTTATAACCAACAGTTTAAAATGTATTCTGTAAACTAACACTATCACCGCTTACAACAAAATTAATAGCAATTAATAATCATTGTAAAACGTATATTATACGTTTTTGTGTTTTTTTAATTGTTTAAAAAAACTGTTTTGTATGATATTGCTCTATTGTTACCTACATAGGTACATTATAGGGATGGCCAAATTTTTATTAAATTCAAAAATAAAGGTTGTTTTTAAATATTTGTGTACATTTCAGTTGGCATTGTAAAAAGGTGTTGTATTTAATGCAAAAACCCGAAACCTTGGTTTTTGTACAACACGGAAAATCCCAAAAAAAATTTAAATGCTAGTTTTAAATTTATATCTATTAATTATACATTAGTGCCTTATATTGTTATCGATATGCCGGTGTATTAGCCAAACAAGTGATAAGATATTTCCAAGGAGGTTCTAAATATTCCAACTGGCTTAGCAACCTGAATACGCGGGAAAAATATTTTAAATAAGTTGTCGGAAATAGCATGTCCGAATTACAATCCTAAACGGTTAAATAAAATGTCTTGGGGCAAGTCTTTGAAGTTTTTAGATCTGGGCAATTACTATATAATAATAACGTATCGATAAAAGTACATTTTTTATTTTGTTTTTTAATGGTATTATAAAAATCATTAAAAATGTTTAAAAATTGCTGTACAATAACCAATACGCATAAAAGCTATGTTTACCATAACTATAATTAAGCTCATAGTATTATGTAAATGTCATAGTATTGACTCGATTTATATAGCGGGGTCTATATAATACAGTACATGTAATTTTCAAGTAAAAGAATAATTAATATAATTTTTTTAAAAAAAACATACTTTTCTAAAAAAATTATGAAAAAAAAATTGAACTAAAAAGTAAAAAATAATTTTTTTACAAGAACAATTTACCAATCAATTGTAGCACATTTATTAAAACGTACCAGTTACTTTGAAAACAATAAAAAATAACTACAATTTTTAATAATGTTAAACATCTTAAATTTTTGACAAAAAACTTGTAAAAAAATTATTTCTTATTTTTAAGTCAATTATTTTTCTATAATTTTCTTAGAAAAGCATTTTATTTTTTTAATTAAATGTTTTATTTGTTAATTTTTTACTTTTTAGTCTTATTTAAATGTAGACATTTAATGATAGTGAATAGATTACTTAGTAGTTACAGTGCTTTAAATAGTTAAGGCATTTTTTTTCTTCAAAAAACATGTAATTTTAAAGGAAACGAGTCCCTCAATATTATGAGGGAACGTTGTATTTTTATTCGAACTGAGTGTCTGGATCAATTTTCAGCCTTCTATGACATTGGGAAGTGGGTTAAATTAACTGTATTATACATTATACAATGGTATATTAATCATAAATTCAATGTTGCTAAACACAAACAATATTGTCAATACCTAAAATGAAAATTGTATCAAACTGTAAAAAAAAAAAAAATTGTTTTAAGGGTAGTAAATGATATTTACTATAATATTATATGTATATATATATATATAATTTTTCCTATAGTATAATATAACTCTTTTTGTATCCTTTTAACATATAATAAAGACAAATTATCACAAATTAGAAGTACAACACAGTCGAAACTAACAAAACATAGTTTGTATTCACAATTAAAAAAAAAAAGTATGATTAAGTAATTTTATATTAAATCAAATAAACAAGAAGATTGTGATAATAGTAAAATAATATTAGTAGTAATAATTAATACCATACGAATACAGAGTAACATCATTAAAACAAAGAATATGTCCATAATCTTTTGATAGCTCTTTTGCCCGGTCAACCAATTTCCATTGTTTTTTATCCGTGTCATATCTATCGCAAAGAAGTTCTCCATCATTATTCACAAACAAGAATAGGTCATTTTGCTCGATGATGCCTGCATTTTAAAATTATAAATAAAATAACGTACAATATATAAATCGATATAAATATTATAATATACAGACTTGATTTTGCGTTATGTATTTTCACCCGCATGTTAGGCATTTTATTCCATTTGAAATTACGTAAGTCGAATTTATAAACCCGTTGTAACGCATTATTGCCACCGATGAGATAAATGACGTTTTCTATTCTAGATATGCCCATGTCGTAATTACTAATCGGCATAGGATCGAGTTTTTTCCAATGTTTCTTTTCAAAATCGTAGCACTCCACAGTTGCAAGAATGTCACCATTATATCCACCAAACTGCATAAAACAATAAAACTTGATTAAAACTCATATTGACTCAAGGTAAATGAATATTTTTCAATTATTTTAACACACAAATTTATAATACATAAGCGGAAACTTTTTAAGTAGCTAGACATGGTTATTTTGGTGAATTATTATTTACTTACAACGTACAATCGATTATTATAAATTGTAGCACTGCACGAGTCTCGAGCAGTTGGCATTGGTTCAGGAATCTTCATCCATTCTTTTGAATTTGTATCATAGTATTCCACGGAATCCAAATAATCCTTACCCGAGTAATCATAGCCTCCAACCTAAAAAAAAAAAAATACGTTTCTTGTAAAAACAAAGTGCGCTTGTTCACCTTGTCGTGTAAACTACAATCAAATTAAAACGCACGACATATATGTATTGCTTGTCGGTACAGACGGCAAAACCTCTTCGGTGTCGATGCAGTTGCGTCGTGGGAACCCATTGTTTTAACATTGAATTGAGATCTAGTTCATCCACAAGGTTGACCGAACCCGATTCTTCCCTACCGCCAATCGCTAGTATTATCCCATTTTCGGAGACCACCATCGTTGTTTCTTTGCGGGGAGGAGAGAAAAATAAACAATCGCTCGATTTCCATTTTAGGTCATCCTCGTTTCTAATATCCATATACTTCACACAGCAATCGCCACTGCTCGAATGACCGGTAATTGCAAAAATAATCTGAATACAAATTCATACAAATGTCAGGCAATAAAAATACAGAATATAAAAAAAAATTGAGTAATACATTTTCACTACATACATTTGACCCAACTGAAGTATTTCTTGCTGACGCACATGAAGGTTTTGTATCTAAGTTGATCGTTTCTTTTAACAAGTGAGTAGAACCTAAAACGGGTAATAATATAAAAACTGTGAATACAAGTTAGTACAACAATTCATAAAACAGCCAATTTTTTTTTTTTAAGACACACTACATATATATATAATAATAGGCTATTGTATTTACAAGTGATGGCCAACAAATGCATACTCTGATTGGACCAAAAATGTATACTTACTATCTTCGTCTATATTTGTCTTCATTGAACTAACGCAATTTGTAGCACTTAAAGTTTCATTAATATATTCAGAACACAATTCTTTTACATAGCTCAGTTCATACAAATTGGCAGCAATCAACAATTTCTAAAAAATTATAATGGTTATTTAACAATAGAGTAATTACAATATATGTTTGTTAAATTGAACATATTGTGTGTTTAATACCTTTACAGTACGCTCTTTAATATCAAGTTTAGTAGTGTAAGCAAATTTGACTATAATATCTAAAACTTCGAAATCCATTTCCTTCACAGGAATCTCATTTTCTTCGTTTGCTTTCAATGGTCCAATGAACATTTTATAAAACACACGGCTCGCAGAAGCTAACACAATTTTGTGGGCTGCAATTTTTAAGCCTTCATTACTGACTAAGGTTATATCACAAAATGTTTTTTCCCTAGAAAAAAATGTATCCATTTTAATGTAGTAATTTGCATTTAATAGTTATAAACATTAAATAATTATTCAATAAGATTAAACTATTGATAAACATTTTCTGAAATGCAATATTAAAATATGCAATGTACCGAAATGTCGGAACTAAAAATTTAAGTAATAAATGTCTGTGCGATTGTACTAATTAATACAAATTAATTTATAACTTACTGGAAGAATCGATAAAATTGTTTAAAGTGTTCTGCCATAATGACCTCCTTAGTTATTTTACTTGACATATTTGCAATTGGTTTGTTCAGTAATTGTAAAAATAGTCTTCTCTAAAACATATTATAAAAAAAATTAATTTTCCTATAAAAAAAAGTGGAGAAATTGAAGGTTTTTTATAATATATAATTTCTAATACTACAATATTATAAACATATCAGTTAGGTACTCAAAGCTGGGGCATAAATAATAACAATTGAAATACTTAAAACATGTAAATTTTATCAGTGTTAAAATTATGAGTCAAAAATAATATCAACTCCACAAATATTTCTTCGACAACGCCGGTATAATAAAGATTAGATAAGTATAGCTTTCCGGTTCTGATGCGTCATATACCACAAGATAATATTTATAGTTAATAGTAAACGGTGAGACGCTGAGGATGTGCAAAGTATCCCAAACCACCACTTTTCATTAATAGAGTTTTGTTATATAAAATGCATTATTACTTACAATTAAAGCACGATTGGAACAACTTGTATCGATTAATAACGTTATATTAACTACAAATAAAAAAACTTAATAAACTATACGTAAAGTAAATCGTATTGTTGTGGTCAGAGGTGCGGGAACCTATCCAGCCAAAATTGTTATTATTTGCTGTGATCAAAGTATGTATATTTATACCACTAAAAATAATATTTTCTGCTAAATTGTTAAAATTCTTATGACCCAGTGAACAAAAATTAAAATAATTTTTTAAATACATCAAAATAAACGTTTAACCTGTTAACAATGTCATTTAAATTTAAATAAACGAGAGTGTCGTTTATTCGAAACAAAATGTAAATTTACTAATATTTTTCCAACGTCATAGTCAATACTTACAAATTACACTAACTGTGCAACGACTTAATTGTTTAATTTTTCAGTTTTGTATAAAAAGTCAACTGTTTACGTCTAAAAAAGTCGACTGCGTAATTTAACAAGTTCGGTAATTCTTTTGAGTGCTGTCCAAAGCAAACTCCAACGGATAATAATCCAATGTCTAATGTCCAAATTATGATTTAAGTTATCGCTTCGCATTTAGCTGTATTAGCCACTGATATGATTTTATAAAGCCGTGATAAGATATTTCCAAGGAGGTTCCAACTCCCAAGTATTCGTGGTCCTTGGTTATTCTGCGTTTTCTGAAGGATATAAGACAACATTTTTTCAAATTTCAAATACCTAAATCAAGAAGTGCAAAATATTGAAAGCGAAGTGTCAAGTACGCCAAACATGATTATAATACCTAGTACTTATATTATGCATATAATTTAAACCGCGAAGGAAATCATTTTTGGCGGGAAAATATTATCACCTGTTGTACATGCGCGCACATTTTTATCAAATAGTAGGCAGTAGCCGGTAGCGTTTGCTTACAGTTCATAGGGCACAGTTCATAACGTTATATCTCGCCTCAAGTGACTACGATTTATTTGGAAATAAATGTCGTTTTGTGTTTACTTTACATAATTTTATATTTAAAAAAAATTGGATAACTAATGTGATTTCTTACCTGCTGTGTATTCATCTCTCCGTTCAGCCTTCACGTCTAGAGGGATTAGAGCCCTAACCAGCTTCCAGTGGTTTCGCCAGAGCTGTTTAATAGCAATTTACAAAGTAACATTATTATTGATACGTTTTATATACTTTAATAGATTAATTAGTAGTTCACAGTTAGTGGTTTTGCTATGGATCGTTATAGTTTAAACAAATTGAATTACGTACCGAGTTGAAGCGCTATCAACGGCTGTAGGTACAATAATTATTGATAATAGGTAAAACACCGTAGGTATCTATCAAAGTTGTTATTCTGAGCTCTTTTTACAATTAAATAAGAACAATATATTTTCGAAATACAATTGAAATTGTTGTCTTATAATTTCTCTAGTTTAACTATCCATAATGTGATATCTTTTTATCAAATTTGTTAACTTCACGTTTTTATATTTTACCAATAGAAGTACAGTACCAGTTGATGCGATAGCAAAAGCACATTTTTTTATAGTAGCAATGGTTTATTAAAGTTATTATCTCTTACTTATTTATCATTGTAAAGTTGTTATTATTATTTAGTATTCATTGTTTATACGGCTACAACTATATTTTCTTTATCAACAAACATAGTCAATGTTTGCCAAAAAAGAGAGCAGTTTCTAATTTAATTTTTTTTTTGTGCCAAAGGAAAATAGTATTTTACATTTTGAAAGAAAACTATTTTGACTATTATATTTGGATTAATTATTTGTGTTAGTTCAACTAGTATTTCATTTTTTAAAGAATATTCACTTTTTTTACTGGTTAAATTTTGACTGTTAGGATTATTTAATAATAAGTGGAGAATTGCTCAGAGATATGCAATTCTCTGGTAGAATCTCAAGGCTTTTTTTTAAACTATATTTTGCCAAAAAATCAGTCTCCGCTCAGGTTTCATTTAAATGTGTGATTGTAATGAGTCTTGAACTAAATTTTGAAAATATGCTTTATTTTTTAGAGATTAAGTAGTAAGAAAAGAATCAAAATTGAAATGGATAATTATAGCCACGTTACTGCGATCAAAATAGAGGAAGACGATGAGATTATGAAAGAGAATTTTACTGAAGCTTTAGTGTCAAAAGCGAAACAAAATGCCATTGAAAAATCATATAATAGCTATCCGACGCCCCACAACAATCCTCAAAATACAATCCATGGAGATGCATACAAGTAATGTGACAGTTTATTTATAACAAATAATATTATTACGATAAACATATGAATAGGCATTTCAAAACGAATTACTAGGCATTTTTGATTTTTCTTAAATAGATAAAAAAATATTTATTAACAGTTATATTTATCCTGCCTTTGTAACTTCATGTATCCTTAAGTTTCCTTCAGTCCGTAGGTAAGTTAGGTAGGAACATTAGTTATGTTTTCAAAATAATTTTGCATAAAACAAGATTTTTTTAGTTACACTAATGTAAAGTTGTATGGTTGCACACCTTGTATCATAAAACATTATTTTTATTTTATAAACATTATGTTTATTGCATCGTGTTGTTCTTAACATATTTTATGCAAATTATAATCTAGATTATTTAATAAAATTTTTTATTAAGAAACCGGTTGATATCTAAAATTAAACACTAAGCATATTATTTAACATTGTCCCAATTTTATTATCTTGCGGTCACTCTCACTTGACTAGTCTGCTAACATTTCAGAATGCTGGGCTGTGGTGCAATGTTGCTTGTACCATGGTTTCTTGTAGTCTTAAATTAAACATTACTATGTCCCTATTTACAACATACTTATATAGGTATATTAGGGTGGACCAAAAAAAATGTTCTTTGTTTTTTTTTGTTTTGTTCTTCTATTGGCGTTATGTACCTTGGGGGTAAAATAATATTTCCCTATTTCTTTCAGATTTTTAAAATTATTTTTAGATGTTGCAAGCATCAGTTTTCCAAAAAAATTTTTTAGTTTTTAATTTTTTTGAGGTATAAATATCAATTTTAAACAAATGTTGCTTTTATATAAAATCATCGTTAGAAAAAGAGACATAAACCAGTATTTTTTTTTTTTACAAAAAAAACTACTTTCCAACTAATTTAGGCCTTAGAATGTAAAATTTGCGAAAACATTAATATACATACCCTTAATATATATATTTATATATAAGTACATTATATACTAATCTAACAATTTTGCTTATAAATAAAATCACTATTAATTTGTTAGTTGAATTTTGTTGATTTTCAATGCAAAAGCGTTACCTTTGTAACGTGGCTGTTTAGCTAGTTGGCTAAGCTAGGCCGAAACGATAGTCAATAGGGTTAAATTAGTGGACCCGAAGACTGGACGGATGGCTAGGCCGTATCTACTCTTAAATATCCCTAAAGTCTCCTTTGTATATTTGCTATATCGCCTGAGGAGCTTAACAGGCGATCGTACCTCTAAATAACCTAACTCTCAAGTGTGCAACGCGTGTTTATTTTAAACATTTAATCTATATATTTTGTAGAATATAAGATATATTGATTAAATATAATTTGTAGAAAATCTACATTACTCTTGGTAAATATTTTATATTCTATATTTGAGTTTTAATATTTATGTATTTTTTTATTTTAGTGTAAGGGAAACAAGTATTGGAACGATAGTCAAATTTGAAGTAGATGAGGTAGCTGGATATCGTTTTGAGTCTGTAATTGAAATTGAAAAAAACCAGTTCATGCAAACGACGAATCACGATTTGGACGAATTGACATTTATCTGTGACATTTGTAATGAGTCATTTGCAACCAAAAGGAGAGTGGCTCGACATATAACTCAATCACATAATGTACACTCAGTTACTCAGAATATCACAGGAAAACAAGTTGTCAAAAATACATGCAGGTAAGTCAAATTGTTATTATTAAATACAAAAAATATTGTTAAAATACGTTCATTAAGTGTTATATTGTAGGTACTGTCTAATAGGTATCCAAAAATGTATATTTGATATATATATATTTATCTGAATATTCCTTTATATAACCCATTTGTCATTACCTCTAATCAATTGACTCAAATTTACTAAGCTGGACGTTTCCCAAAATCAGTACATTTACTTAATTCAAAATAGAATATATAATTATAATATAAAATTGTGAGAAGAATTCATATTTTTAAAATGTTGTTATTTATTGTTCGGCTATATTTGTTGTAGTGTAAATGATACGACTAATGCGGCGAATAAGGAAGTTGATTTTTTTTTTGAGTCTTGGATAAAGAAAGATAAAAAAAACCAAAAAGTACCGAAGAATATGAAGAAAAATATAGAAGAACGACGGTTATTCCAATGTGATTTATGTCAAAAGTCGTACAACACTAAAAAGCAAATAACTTTTCATTTAAAAAACTCTCACAAAAGTTCAATTACCGAACGCGCTCCCCGAAAAATCAACACTCTAAATCGCAATAAGTATACTGAGAGATTAATCAAAAATATAAGCCGACCCTACAAATGTGATGTGTGTTTTAAGAATTTCATTTTCAAATGCCAACTCACACTACATAAACGAATGCACACTGGCGAAAAACCCTACAAGTGTGCAATGTGCGTAAAGTCGTTTGCTCACAAATGTGACGTCTTAAAACACATACGCGTGCACACCGGGGAAAAGCCTTACAAATGTGGTTTGTGTCCTAGGGCATTTTCTGAAAATTCAAAACTCACAAAACACATACGCGTGCACACTGGAGAAAAGCCCTACAAATGTGAAGTGTGCCTAAAATCATTTTCTATAAAACACCATCTTACACGTCATACACGTGTGCACACTGGTGAAAAACCTCACCAATGTGATGTATGTTTAAAATCGTTTTCAAGAAAATTCGCCCTCACAACTCATGAACGTGTGCACACTGGAGAAAAGCCCTACAAATGTGCAGCGTGCGTAAAGTCGTTTGCTCAAAAATGCGACCTCACAAAACACGAACGCACGCACACTGGTAAAAAGCCTTACAAATGTGATTTGTGTCCTAGGGCATTTTCTGAAAAATCAAAACTCATCCAACACATACGCGTGCACACTGGAGAAAAGCCTTACAAATGTGCTGTGTGCTTCAGGTGTTTTTCTCGAAAAGCCCACCTCACAAATCATGAACGCTTGCACACCAGGGAAGAGCCCTACAAATGTGATATGTGTCTTAAGACATTTACTAAAAAATCATTACTCACACAGCACATACGCGTGCACACTGGAGAAAACCCCTACAAATGTACTGTGTGCCTCAGGTGTTTTCCTCGAAAAGCCCAACTCACATGTCATGAGCGCGTGCACACTGGCGGAAAGCCTTACAAGTGTACTGTGTGTTGTAAGTATTTTTCTAGACAAGCCAGTCTTGCACTACACAAACGCATGCACACTGGTGAAAATCTCTATAAATGTGATGTGTGTCTTAAGGCATTTGTTGGAAAATCAAATCTGACACAACACAAACGCGTGCATACTGGCGAAAAGCCCTACAAATGTGATGTATGCACAAAGTCATTTTCTGCAAAATGCTCCCTTACAACTCACAAACGCGTACACACCGGTGAAAAGCCCTACATTTGTACTGTATGCCTCAAGACATTTTCTCAAATATCAAACCTCATAACACACAAACGCGTGCACACTGATTACATAAGAGTATGATGTACCTATGTCTAAGGTATTTTTCTCATAAGTCAGCACTCACACAACACAAAGGCATGCCATAGTGAAAAGCTCAGTCAATCATTTATAAAAATAATCTAAGAAAAAATTGTTGTCTTGTTGTGAATCAACACATGTAGTTATATATTTTAATATAATAAAATATTTAAATGGTTTGTTTATTTTACTTTTTAACTACCAGATTGTAAGTGTAGAGCACTTGTAATTTAATAGTGTACGTGTAACTGCTAAAGTTATTATAAATATTGTTTAATTTTAATTGAAAAACTTTGACTAACCGATGATAAGTCGATTTAATGTTCAAAAAAAAAAGTTAGACTTATGACGTAATATTAAGTTGACTTGCCTCATTTTTTTAAGTGAACTTTTTGTGATTGATTGACATGTTTTATATTATTGATTTATTATTATTATTAAAAATCAGTTTTTTTTAAATAACTACATATTTCGTCGAATTTAATTTGTATTTTAACAGTAGCACTAAAAAAAAAGAGGAGTAATGACACCTGACATCTGTATTTTTAAAAAATATTTTTAATTTATACATATTTTTCATAACACTTGCTTGCAACTTTTCAGTTGAATGTTTAATGTTTACTCTGTACAAATAAATAAGTTATTTTTAATTTATAATAAGTAATGAAGTTAACACCAGTAGTGTATCTATGATTTTTTCATGGGGGGGATATACAGATTTTAACATCTATACCTATTCAATAAAAACAATAAACATATATTCATATCATTATAAATGCAAGTGTTGCATGTAAACAAAAATTTGGATTCTTAACTACAAAAAAAAGTCTAATTTTCTTGAGGACTGCGAAAGAATATTGAGTACTTCATCAGGTGTGACTGTTATATTTTTGTGTACTGACAGAACTCGGGGGGGAGGGATATAACTCCTATACCCCTCCCCCCTTAAATACGCCACTGGTTAACACTGTTATTATAGTAAATATGAGCGATGAACATTTCAAAAAAAAATTAAGGTCTTCTATTTCGGACCAATATATAATATATATAATTATTATGTATACTTAGAGCACTGATTGAAATACATTTTGATGACGGAAATATAATTGACGTTTTTTGCGCTATATTTTGTTGCAAATAATTACATTGTAGTGTAATAAAATGTCAAACACGAGTCCTCCGAAAACACTCGGACTTCCTGTATATTATTATAAGTAAATAATATATCCTAAATATGAATTATTAGGTATACACGCCGATTGTTCGGTTTCCATTCCATTATAATAATATATCATCGGCTGTTCGCCAGCATAATATTTCCATAATGATTTATCGGTACGATTTAATGCGATCGGTGTCGTTATGGTCGTTTGAACGATTAGGTAGGTACACACCGTTTAGGTCATTGAAATTGGGAAATTATTTATTTTAGAACCAACGACAGATCAGGCAAGTCCGTCATCACAGTAACATATTATTATTATAGCATAGGCAAAACTAATTCGAAATCTGAACAGTTATAAATTGTACAGCAACATGGTAGTATAATGAGTTATTATATTATAGTAATACAATTGATTGAGAAAATGTTAGTTATTGATATTACTGTTTTGTTAAGCATTTTTAAAGAGTGGAATTAAAAGAATTTTGGGTTCCGAGTTAATACTTAAAATATAGTAATATTAGAAAAAAATTGTTTGACAGCCTATTAATAAAAATGATGAAATATTGATGAATTAATTGAAACAGTTTGTCATTACTAATTTAGCAATTTCAATCATTTACACAATCTCCATCGGATTCTGAAAATTCTGAAATAAAACTTATGTTGGCTATTAAAATCACTGTTATTATACCAAGCCTCAGGCAATTGAAAAAAAGCAAAAGATTTCATAAGGTCAAGACGTTACGTTTGTCTCATGTAAAACGTTTGTAATATTAGGTATATAGGTAGCATATTATTATGTAGCAAAACGTTTTTATATCATAATATATGTATAGAGAGATTTATACTAACAATAAATGACCCATCTAACCGTGTGTTAGGTATAAAATAATAAATCCATTTTAGTGTGAAATTGTAGAGCTCCATTTTCTTATACATTTTAATGCTTGTTACGACGAAACAGGTGCAATAATATGCTAAATGTAAAATGCAAAGATCACGAGATGTATTTTAAGTCACGACTATTTTTTTATGGCTGAGGGTTATTTCAATGGAAGCGTAAGATCACTTTTTGTTTCAGTAAGATCAAAATCTGTCTCATTCAAATATTGTGTACTATGCTTTTATCGATTAATTTAATATAAAAATAGTTCCTCGACGAGGAGAAACATTTGAATCGTACGAAATGTTCAGTTAAGATAAGGAGTGGGTTGCTGTCGTAAAAGATAATATATTATTTGATATTTATATGATTCGCCTTGAAGAAAATTATATTGTTTTTAAATGTCAACGGGCAGAGGTCAATACAGATTTTTTATACGAACAGCGTGCTTTTTAAAATCAAGAGTGTGTTATTTTGTAACCTATTATTTTAGATTTGAAAATTGTTTAATAAATAAATTATAAGATGTATTTTTTATCGTCAGGTTTAAGGCAAGCATAGTGAAAGGTAGGAAGTGTATGATTTCTAAACAAACAATATTACATATGTAGTAAACAATATTTGTATTTAAAATAGCAATTATCATTATGTCAATTATTACTAACATTTTCAAAGACATGATTAAAAACAAATACTTTACCCGTCGCCAGATGGACCATACATTCTGTTAACGGAGAACTATTGTTATGGTTTATTAGTATTAATGGTTGTGGGGGAAAAATAGTAGGCATTTGATTGAAATGGAAATCAAATAAAATACTATTAATTATCCTTATTGACTATTGATTGTCTGAGTGTAATTAAATGACTGACATTTCATCAATAGCAATTATTACTTCTTTGTTGACCACAAAATATATATGTTATATGTATGTAATATATTGCATTTTAAAACGCTTTTTATTGGGATTTTTCGCTTTTGTACTGTATCTGTCTCGGGTTTAAAACGAACAAATGGGCGATAAAAAGCGACTATTTTTTTTTTTTTTTAAACTTACCTTCTCTTGTCGTTTGTGTAAAAGTGGCGGTTGTCTGCCATCATGATTAGTGTTGTTTTTTTTTACTCTCTAATTATTGTAGGCAGGGTCTTTTAAAAGGGGGGAATTTATGTCTGCTAATTCTGCGGCTAAAATGCCGGACAGCGGGTGTAAAATATTAACGGTAAAACTTTTTTTTACTCTTGACGATTAGTTTTTTTTTTATTTTCGTTTGAATTTATTTCTTTTCGTCCATTTCTTATGCCCAGTCTGCATCTGATGATATCAGCCACGCAAAATAAAGCTCGGGCAAGAACAATGTTATTTTTTCCCCATATCTCATGTAATCCGCATTCGCACCTTTAACGTTTTACATTAGTGTACTCATTACCATCGGGATGAGCAAATTTAGGTCCTAGTGTATTCCAAGATAGCACTGTGGGTAAAGCAGTTTTCCTTCTAGAATATTGTTATGATGGTGAACAAAAAAATACCTAATATGGACTAACGTACTAGTTACTACATTAAAACCATCTGCTTGCTGTAAAAATGTAATATAAGTAGTAATAAAAAAAAAAAAAATCAAACTTTCAGCTTCGCTTAAGTGAATTGTCAATTTTAAAAAATATATTCTTAATTAAGTGATTTAAACGTTACAAAATTAACGATTTTCGTCTTGTTCTTGTGTATATATTTTACTAACGTTTTCAATATCTTTAAAAAAAAAAAACGCAGCAGGTATTCTTTTATTTCTGTGAAGTCTTTGGATTTGAATGTGTGTGAATGAAACGTGTGCAGTATCAATTAGCCGGATGCCTACTCGGATAATATTATGCAAGACCGCCCTGGGTCTTCTTTCTCTTTCTCTATTTTGTACGTTTAAAATTATTGTAAAATGTATTTCGTATGATCAGTAAACACAGCACAATGTACACTTGGCCGATGTGTTGTTGTACGACCGACATGATCGGTTAGTATAGTCTCCTGTAATAGGTAAATAAAATATTATACTTATGCGTACCGTTTATGTCGCTGGCAACAATGCGCTTTTGATTTGGATATTGTTACAACGCGGACCCCGAGTGCTTTCAATACGGTAACGGTTTAAGACTTTCTTCTTGGTATTCTGGCCGTGTAGGTAAATGTAGGTATAATATTGTCTAATGACGATTTAACTCGCTAGCTAGTAGCTGCTTTATTTGTAATGCACTCGGGCGTTTATCGATTACAATGTAGGTTTATCCAGCTCTTTCGCAGAGTGCTTCCCGGACGGCGATCACGCGTGAGTAGGTAGAAACTTGTATGACTGGCATATTACACAAATTGAAAAAAATCAACGGCCGTTCGTCCATTGAATCTTAATAACATTACTCTATCCACAGGGGTGTACTAAAAGGGGTTTTATATTTTGCATATAGGCCAACTCTAAAAAAATGTTCAGTTCAAAAACACCAAACACTTCTAAAAACTAGTAGCCCATTGTTTTTCATCAGCCGGTGTCCATTTAAATGAAATTTGTAAAAAGAAAAATTATTTTTAAAATGTCGGATGGCAACACCTCGCTCTTATCTCATTTTTTGGCCAAATCAAGTTGGCCACACTGTTTTGTTTCTTCAAATTTTCGCGGTGAATCGACAGATTTATGATAACAAGTCAATAGATAACACTATAATTGACCGAAGGAATGGTTTTTTTTGCTCTCCATTAAAGTTGAGATCTTCAAGCGACGATATATTATGTGCTAATCCTTAACGAACGGCCAACTGAGACGTCTAACAAATTTATTGAGGGTGCAATTGACCTCTCCTCCTTATAGTTTCGCCTATGCTCATCCACTATCTCGACTTGGCCGTTGGACCGGATGATTCGGCATTTCGGAGTTTGAATCGTTTTGGACGTGAGTCGTGACGAAATACCACTGCAGACCTGGTAAGCCAATTAGCTCGAAGACGGCTCACACCATTGTTTACACACACACCCACGTCTAATTAAGGTAATTGACATTTTTGGTAATAACCACTATTATGGCGTTCCGTTTTGGCTGTTAAGCCGTTCGTTACGTGTATACGAAATCGAGACGGAATCATTATAATACTATGTATAATAATAATATTATGGTCGACCAAGATACGGCGAATCCCATTAGAGTTTACTTTGACGTCCCACAGCCGCAATAATAATATAACGGCTTATCCGCCTCGTATCGAACACACACACACTCTAATTTAGTCAATCTCACTCGACGTACGATCTTAATGCAGAAATTGTGTAAATTATCATCTCCAATGCAAATGAATGATCGGAAGTAGGTTTGTACGGATATGATACCTTCCAGTGTACGGTTTGTGGTCGACGGGTGTGCTTAAGTACACTTTGGCAAAAATTAGTTTTATCATAACGCAAGTGATAAGACAATTACAGCTATTCATATTATAATATGGTACTCGCGCAATTAAGTAAAATATTACTCAGTTATAACGCAACATATTAAGTTAATAGCAACCGCTAAACGATTGACCTAATTTTTATTGTTATTTTTTGTTTTTTTTTGCTCGAGTTAAATATTAAAAGTACACCTAATCATATTATATTCATATATTTTTTTTCTCGTCATTATCGTAACAAGCTAGTTATTTAAAACAATAGTGTAGTCTGAATTAACTTCTCATCAAATATTTGGCGATAGTCTAGACCACAGAGGGTCGCAATAGGTCAAATATTATGAAGTAAGCGAAAAGGCGAGCTGCAGTGTGACCGGAATGACGAAATTATATTTCTCTGGTACATAGTTTTAATTTGTTTCACTACTGCAACCGTGTGATACAAAACATATAGTATTTATCAGTTACAATCACAAGTATGTAAAATAAACTACATTGCTAACTAGTGATAACAATTGAAGTCGACGTCGGCCATTTTCGTGGGACTTGTGTGTGTATAAAATAATACATAATATTATGTCTGTGATTCTGTGCTATCAACTTAACGTGTAACTGTTATAAACATGTGATAAGGTTCTAATTCCCACAAAGATGGTGGAAAATGGTAACTTTAATTATCTCTATTAGCGGCATGTACACTTCTAAGCAATCTAGTTTATTAATAATATGTCTGTGGTTGTAATATTAGCACATTATCATATTATAGTATGAAATTTGAATTTATCTATTGATAAGGATTATACTGTGCAGTGTTGTAATTATAACAATATAAAAACAATATTTACTATTATTTAAAGTGGTCACACTGTCGCTTGCCTTCTTAATTACTTCGTTGCTGAGTACATGCAATTATGTTATAAAATGTTACAGCTATATATATTTTTTTTTACTCTATGGTCTGGACGTTCGCTCGGTTTTTGGGCAAACAATACAGATGTGGAATAATTTTATAAATTAGGATTTCGATTTCCGGCGTTTGAACCCGAAATATATTTTATAAAAGTCGGCAGTCGGACGTTTATTATAAAATATGAGACTGCAATTAGGCGCCACAAAAAAAAAAAAAAATAATATGCACTCCATTATAATATTATACGGGTATGTTTTCCGTTCCGGTGAGTTATTCCCTTGTTTTTCGGCTTAGACCGGAAACGGTTTAACCGAAACGCGTCCATTAATTATTATCAAACGCCGGCAATACTATATAATATATAGTAGGTACTTAATATGTTATATATATACAACGGGCAACATTAATTTATACCTCGGTTTGTTTGATTTAATTTCAATTCAATTTCTTTGTTTATCGTTTTAACCATAGACGTGCACATCGAGTAAAATAAGGAATAAGACCGGCATTTTGTAAATATTGCTTTGTTTCTTTTTATCATTATTAGTATCACTTTGAGATAAGAGATAAGTGATAAGAGATAATAGATAACATATCCATGATTTAATGTTTTTCCGTTAAGCGTATAAACGAGCTAGGGTTTTTGTTTTAACAAAAAAATGTTTATAGTTTAAAATTTATAACCACGCCTTTAAATTGAAAATGTTTTATAATTTCCCGACAACATATACTACACTAGATAAATGACCACCATATAAGTTATTCATATAATAACACTGCTACTAGCTACAGTGGAAAATCGTCTTTTGCTTTTAAAATATAAACTGCCATCGTAAAAATACATCCGTTCCTAACTGTTGTGTAAAGCCAAAGTTATGCAATAGAATTGGCCGAAAGACAAGTAGAATATAAAATAATAAAACGACAGGCGTTCGAACCGACATAACATAACCTTAAACCGTTTAATATTTTCTCCTGTTGTAGTAATAGTAGTAATAATAATAATAATAATAATAGTAATAATTGTTCCTTATATATTGCCGGTATAGCAATATATCTTGAGTGTATTTAATTTGTAATTTTAAGTTTAACTCTGGACTTGCGATAAAAATCAATGTTATTACCCATTTTTTTGAATTGGCAATTTGAAACTAACGTTGGTTGTTGTCGATTGGCATAATTTTTCTTTGCGTAGGACCAAGGCTTGTATCTCGACATAACATGGTTATTATAAACTTTTATTACTTTATGTGTAATACCGTACAAGAAATATAATACTCGCATCTTCTTTCGGGTTTTGTATTAAAATAATTATATTTATTATGACAGCACTGCAACAGGTTCGGCCCATTGCCTCGGTTCAACATTTACAATCCTCAGTCGAAAGCCAGATATCAAAATATATGTTCCCAACACTAAGTACCGTATCCAGAGATTCCAATCCAAAGTGCTAAGTACTATATTTGTATTTCTAATCACTCCATTCACAAATACTTAAAAATTTCCACCGTGGCTAGAACTGCCAACTGGGACTGTCATAATCCCCTCTCTCTGATCTCTCATCAATAACAGCTATTCTTGGTTACCCACAAAAAAAAAAGATTAGACGTCAATTGTGTCGTGACCGGCTAGTTCAATGGCAAACCAAAAAATATGTAAATAATATCATTAATTCTGTCGAAGTTCCTTCACTGAGATGCCTCTTCACTCTGTCAATCTTAGCTTTGTAAATATACTACATCAGCTTATTGTTCTGCATTGTAACAGAGACTGCATAGATAAAAATTAAACAAACAAGAATAAATGATTTAATATCTTTTTTGTAAATACTAACTTAGAATATATCAATACTCTTTCGTGTAACACGAAAACTCGATATCAACTTTTAATTTTAAAAATGTCAACTGCTACTTCTATTGTTATAATTAATACATTTAAAACTGCAATAAATAAAATGTTTTTTAATTTTATTTAAAATATATTGATATTTTAATTAACGCGAGAACTGTTTTTTTCGTTAAGCCAAAAAACATATTGATGCTTGAACGTTTATAGTTTAAGCTCAGAATAGTTTTTTTTCTTTGGTGGATTTAACACATGTTTTTTTTTTAAATTTAAATTAGGCGTAATTAAATATTATAATAATATTTAGGCCAACCCGTTTTATTTGTTGAAATATATTAATTTTACAGTGTTAAAATTGTATTTTTGAGGTAATACCGTGTGAGCTCAATGTGTTTTTTGGAGACCATTAAAACTAGTAACCGCGCTGTGCTCGTATTGGTTCCCGTTACGCAATGTTTGGGCACCGACTATCGATTGCGAGTCCTAGTAACGGCCGACGGTGTAAACAAAAACACGCATCACAAACGTGTAATAACTATAATAATATTATAGTCTGTCTAGAGTGGTGAACGCCGCGCCGTTTACGTTTATTAAACTGCGTTGTGCTACGTTGTGGACGCGCAACGCGTAGAACAATATGGACGACGGGTTACACGAGTTTCTGTTGGACAGCGGCGTGTTGAACGAGATGCACACGGTAATAGATTCGGTGGTCAAGTCGTCGGTGACGGCCGCCGACTTGGAGGACAGCGACGCCCGCGAGATCGCCGAGCGTCTGCTCGAGTTGAACGCCGACGACATCGACGGACGTCTGGACGCTTTGGTGCGGGACGCCAAGGTCCAGCTGATCGGCCAGTCGGCCGACGGACGGTGGCCCGATTTGCTGGACTTCGAGTCGGGCCCCAGGCAGACCGCGCGTAACCTGAGCGCGCTCTGCCGGTTGCCGTTCACGTACGACACGTACGCGGGCCCTTACTTCCAGAGACTCACCAAAGGGCTGGAGCAATGCGTCTCGGTGGACGCGCTCTTCGAGCCCGCGGCCCACGTGTACGCCAAACTGGTGGACGCCGCTCCGGACTGCGAGACGGCGGTCGAGAGTTTCGCTTCGCTGTGCGAGGCCGCGCATCTCAGGTGTCGCCGCCGACCCGCGCCGGACGCCGACAACACCATTACTGCGGTGTGTCTGATGCTCCGGTGTCTGGCCGTGGTGTGCCGCCGGGGCGCCAGTTGCAAGAGCGTCAAACCGGCCGTGGTGGAGTTCGTGGCCGCCGTGACCTACGACCACGGGCACGACAACGGCGGCGTGTACGGCATTCTGTGCCGGGCCGACCCGACAGCCCGGTGGTTCGATCACTTGTCCAGAAGTAGCCTTACCAGGACGGCGTTTTTCGAGTGTTTGCGCAGCGACCGGCGGTTCTTGAAAACGCTGGTGTCCGGCTTTTTCGGTTGGATGGCCGAACCGATAATACCCAAAACCACAGCCGACGGGAGGGGCGTGGACGCCACCAAGTACGCGGGTTGCGTGCACGCCGTGTACTTGTTGGCCAAGATGTACGCGTACAAGCCGGCCAGAGCTCTGTTTCCGGTCAAGGCGTCCAAGACGGCCCGAGTGCGACCGGCCGCCGTGGCCAACTGTTGTCTCGGCTTTTTGTCGGCCGTCCGCGACCACGGGACGTCCACGTTGGCCGTCGGCCTGCGCCGACTGGTCGCCGTGCTGGCGGCGTTTCACCCGGAAATCGTGCGGGCCGTCGCCGAGAACGGGTCCGAGCACGCGGCCGGCATACTAGCGGAAGTGGCGGCGCGCTGGCCGGAAGCGCTCAGCGCGTTGTTAGACCGCGGCGATGACGGCATCGACCAGCTGGACGGACTGTTCAAGAAAAAACACTGGCGGGTAGAAAGAACCGCGGAGGCGCTGACGACAATAGCGACGGCGATAAGCGGCCGCAGCGAAGGCGTTTGGTGGCTGGCGACGAGGAAGAGCAAGTTTCTGGAAGCCGTCGCCGACAAGCAAGCGGCGCGTCAGCTAATGCGTAATATACTGTGCACGCCGTTGGCTTCGTCCGTTTATGGCCTGCGCGCGGACGTCCCGACAGACGGTGTCGACTGGACGGACCCGGAACAAACGTTGGCGCTGAGCGTGATCTGCAGCACCGACCGGGGCAGGCGGTGGGCGATGCGAACGGGTCTACTGGATTCCGTCGACGGATTTGTGGAGGCTCGATGGACCGAGGCGACGGAAAACTTGTTCGAACCGGACGACGACGGCAAAACGATCGATTCAATTGTTCGCGTGGCTCAATCGATTTGTGCCACCACCGAAGGTAAGCAAATGTATTAAACAGCTGTTTAAATTATCAATTGGGAACGAAGTTTACCGTTATCGATCCCTTTAAAGCCAAATTTTTAAAGATTAAATTGAGGGGAAAAAGTATACATTTGTAAAAAATTAAGTTTATGACATCTGATTGGCAGCGATTTCTTTGAAAAGAAATGAATCGTTAAGGATAAGACACACGTCTTGTCTTTAACGAGTCGCCTTGTAACGATACCGGTTTGCCGTTTGCAGGTTTACAGTTCATATTGGCCGACGGTGGAAGTCAAGGGGCCGTCACGAGACTGTCGGAAATTTACTTGTTGACTTACGAGGACTTCGATAAGTACACTGCGTCGAGAGAAGTTCTGGTAGCGCTGTGGCTGCGTTTAATACAAGCTGCCACACACTCGTTTGTGTCGGAGGCTTTTGCGGAATCGCAGTTACGCTATCAAGTACGTTTAACGGTTGATTATTTATTGTTTTAATACATATTTTGTATCTTCTTGGCAAGCTCTTAGTCTAATGAGCGTAGAATCAACTTTCTTCTGGAAATTAAAAGCTCCATTACAACTTGAGACAAATGACAAACGGCCGAGGCTTGTTACGGGCGCAATGAACCCTCTTGATCGAACCCTTGTAATGTTTCTTGTCGCCGTCGTTGGGCACGTTAATCGTTTATGGCAAAACAATTGCATATTATTATTATTATTATGGTTATCGATTATGATACTCATTAAGTATCTCCGAAGGAATCGTCATTTTTCATAACGATCGTCTCGGCCTCGGGCCAACCTAACCAAACCTAAACGGCAAGCAGAGAAAGTCAATATTAAACGTTTAATATATTATGTTATTCTTCTTTTTCCTCTCCGGTTGTGCAATCATATTATTATTATTTGAACCGAGCGGTAGATAGATCACACACACACACACACACATGGTGACCTGCTCGGTCGGGTTCACCTGTCATAATCACATAATAATAATAACAATATTATTCACTGTAAAGCGTTTAATTAACGTTCGTTGTTTGCGTTTCGAACTAGGTTGTAATGGAAATTTCAAAACGTATACGATTTTTTTGACAACGTGATTATGTTTTCAGACATTTTCCCCATCACTCTAAGTGTGTGCAAGTAATGTTTCAAAAATAAAGAATAACACTCTCTTCTTGATTTATATTTTAACAACGCCTAAATCCGCCATAGGTTAATTAAGTTGCATTTCATTTTTAAAATAATAACGGGACAAACAATGTTGTCCGAACTCTAAGAAAAGACCTCTACATTTTTTTTTATATAATATATTTAATAACCCTAAAAAATGACATTTAAAAGTATTTCTTTTGACAGCTCTCACTGACGACTTTTCCAATACCTAGTGATGAGAGACAGACGATAAAGGATTAGGGATAACAGACAGCTTTTAACAAAATAAATATGATAAGAGATCAGTGTAAAGCACAGATATATAAATATAATGAACTAGATTGCCAAGTGTACGTCATGCCGCCAATAGAGATAATAAAAGTTACCATTTTCCGCCATCTTTGTGGGAATTAGAACCTTATAAAATCTTTATAACAATAATTATAAGTTATGTGGCACAGCACAGATTATTAAAATATTACTTTATACACACACACACACACACAAATCCCACATAAATGGCCGACGTTGAATTCTAGTGAGCAATCTAGTTTACTACATCTATATAAATCTGTGGTGAAGAGTGACAATTGATAACAGGTCCTGATAAGAGATAATTTACGTTTAGAAATAGAATTGCGTATTTGTATACTTCAATCATGTGGACACAGTCTAAAATGGTCACCCTTCTCGACCATGCCTTTACATAATATTATTTTGCTGACTAAAGCTCAACATATTTTATTGGTTTTTTTCCCCCTAACAGGACACCCTGTCGAAACTGTGTTCGGAGAGTCGCACCGAAGACGGCGCGGCCGTTGTCGACGAATCGACAGAGTTGATTCGTCGACTGCGGCGGAGGCCCGTCGACTGGCCCGTGGGCCGCGCACCGGATCGGACACGGACCGAGACGGCCGCGCCGCCGGCGTCGGAGGTCGGCCGACACGGCCGGGAGGTCGGCGGCGATTTGTCGCGGGTCGCGCGCGATACGATAACGCGAACCGAACGGATTACCGTGAGTGGTTGTGGCGATAACGTCGTTAACGACCAATTATCGATTATTATTATTATTATTATTATTATCATAACGACATAATAAGCCGTGGTGGTTTTTTTTTTACCGCAGGAACGCGAAACCGTCGAATCGATAATGGCTTACGGCAGGCTTCGTTTTGGGGAATCGTTCACGGACGGCCACGACGACGACGACGACGACGACGAAGAGCTATTATTGCCGCGACAGACCGGACCCGAGGTCGACGGAATACGTTCGGCGCTGAGGTTACAAAAAAACAAAAAAACGTCGTCGTCGCGGGTTGCGCCGCGTTACGACAACTCGTTGTAGTAGTGACGGCTGTGCATTTATTTTTTATTTTTTGCGTTCAGGTCGACCGTCGGTTTGCGGTTGCTGCCGGAAGAGCGCGACGAGGAGGCCGTGGAAAGGCGATTCCGACGGGTCTACGGTCGCGCGGCTAGGCGTCGGTGTCCAGGCCCAGCCGGGTCGTCGTTGGGTTACGCCGCCGTTTACGCTCTGTTCTTGGCGGCTCGAGGATCCGAAAAAGAGTCAGTCCCATTGTACCGTTGTTCATACAGGGTGATCCGCTTAGGTTAGGTTAGGTGTTTATAAGTATACAGGGTGATCCATCTGACGTCGGACACTAATTTTCCCGGAAAATATGAATATTTTGAGAAATAATTTTTCTCCTCTACTTTTAGCCGTATATATTTTACTATATTTTTCAATACTCAGAAAACGTTCACCTTTACCGCTTGTACTCAAAAGAAGTATGGACTTAAATTTTTTTCCATATGAGTACATAACATGTATTTAATTCCATTGTGTAGTCAAAAAATCGTTAGGGTTAAAGTTTTTTCATTGTCATCAATTCGTTCGTTTGCTATGACATTGTGGAGATTTGAATTTAAGGTCAATTTAAAAGAGGTTTTCTTGAAAAAAAAAAATAGTTTGTTGGCGCCAGAAAATATTATTTGTTTATATATATATATATATATATTGTCGGTCAGTGTAATGAAATGATACAATAATGGAATCCCGGTTGCTATCTGAACTGTATAAACAAAAATAAATTACCACAATAACTGTAAAGTGTCGGTAGATAAATTTGTGGCAAACGGGAAACCAATAAAATTGGGCGAGACCGTACTTTTCACTTCACTCAGTCGCAGAAAATAAAAATAAATAATTTAAATTAGCCGATAAATTGTCTAACCAATTTATTTTATAAATAAAATATATTATATTTTTTCTGGCCTTTTTTTGTAAATAATTTTCGTTCAAGTTTTGACAAGTTGACTGCCAGAACAACAATTTAGTGTCTGACGTTTTGAGTAAGTATCATATCAATACTAGCTTACCACATTTGGTATTCAAATAGTGCCTACTCAACTTGTTAGATCATTTTATGTTCATTTATAATTATTATTGCATGACGTAAGTGTTAGGATGTGTGTACCCGATAAAAATATATGTGATGCAATTTTTAATAAACCAAAATACAATACAAACCAAGCACACTGTCATAGTCCATCGTTACAATCATAAACCAATACCTTTTGGGGTTTGCTCGATGCTAATAAGTTTATTGTAAAATATATCAAGACATGAAACAATGCTGGAACTTTTTTTTAACGGTTATTCAATCATTTTTACATAAAAGCTTTTATACAATTTTTTTTTTTGGACAAAAGTTTTTTTACTAAAAGTAAGTTTATAGAAAAATGTTCTTTAAGGCATTATTATTATAACATATTTTCTTTTACTGAAAAGAGTCTTTTACTTTTGTTTATATAAAAACAATCTACAACTTTTAATTTTAAATAAAACATTTTAATCGTGGGATGTTTTTTACATCGATAATTTAAATAAAGTATAAACAAAATAGTTATCATTTCTATATAGTATATATAAAAGAATGTTGTTAAATTTCTCTCATGGTTTTATTATTTCCTTGCTTCGTCATGACATTATGTATTTTTTAGCAAACAGTTTTACTTTATTTTTAAACAGTATTGGGCCCAAATTCAGATAAATACAGTTGAAATAATTCAATCCAGTTTTCTGTTAAGTTTTAAAATAGAGAAATAAAGGAATTGTTTTTTCATCCCTTTTGGCGGAAAGGGTTAATGATATATTTTTTTTTTTTTAAGTTTTTGCCAGGTTTTTTTTTGTATTTTGTTAGCACTATAATATCTCATACAAGTAGTAACTGGACTATTTTTTTTTTGTTTAAGATGGAAAAACATAACTACTGCGTTGGGTTGAATTTTTTTTTAAATTTTTGATCTAATACAGAGCCGTTCGGGTAGTGTTTCGGATACATAAATATGAACTGTACCTACATAAGACACAAGACGTTGTTGAAGATGTTAATATATTATGAATAGCTTGTGGATCGTTTCAGGTGCCTCGAAGCGTGTGCAGTTTTAGCGAAAACCGTCGAATCGAGCAAAGGATTTTGGCCGCCGGCAGAGGACGAAGACGAGAAGTCGATTTCCGGGCATTTGCTCGAAGGGCTTTTGCAAAAAGAACAACCGGAAGTGTACAACGCGTTCAAGGTAGGTGCGAGACAGTGCAAGAGCTGTGTTCTTAACAAGTGCGCCACATCCAAAAACGGACTTGACTTAGGTTAGGTTAGGTTAGGTTTGGTTAGGTTTGGTTAGGTTTGGTTAGGTTTGGTTAGGTTTGGTTAGGTTAGGTTTGGTTAGGTTTGGTTAGATTTGGTTTGGTTAGGTTAGGTTAGGAGGCGCAATTTAGCTAAAACGAGAGGGGTTATAACGTTCCTAAGAACTTGGACAGGGCACCTGACCCCTAACCCAGAGGTGACATAAATAACATTTCACGAAGTAAGCAAAAAAGTGAGCTGCAGTATGACCAGAATAACGAAATTAAGAGAGAAATAATTTCTCTGGTAAATAATATTTTCAAAATTGTTCCTACTGCACCATCGTTGTGATGCGAAACATATGACTTATCCGTTATCATACTATCACGTTATCATATGAAATTTAAATTTGAATCTATTTATCTACATAATTGACAGGGGCGCCACATGTAGGGTACGACGGGGGCGATACTAATTACTATTAGAAACAGATTGCCAATGCGGTCTGCTTCGACGGCGGTAATGTTAATTTCGTCGTAATGTCGGCCAAAACGATTATAACGTTATATTATTTTTGATAATTATAGCATAATAACAGCTGTGGTGGCGATAAATTATTGTACAAGACGGATACGCGTTTTGCAACAGCCACTAATTTAACCGTGTAATAATATTACTATTCAAATCTAACGTGTTATTCAAATTTCAATAACGTTAACGCGTTCGTATTATGCATTATCGGTTTATATTATACTTAAGCCGATTTGACAAATCCATTGAATCGTGAATATATTATCTCTTATCACTTATATTTTGTCTCTTATCTCTTATCTCTAACTGGTAGTGAAAGAGTAACGCGAAAATGGTGACATGAAATTTCTTGTATCCAGTCCAATAGCATATCTAAGTTAAAAAAAAAAACCCCACAAATAAACACTTGCTTTGAACTATCGGACCAAGACTCCTAATTTGCTATTATAAAACTCTTGTATAAAGCCCACAATAATTAAAAACAGTTACTACAGTACTAGAAAACATACCTACCGAGAATTCTAGGCGATAATGAACAATTAAGAAAAAATTAATACCAATTATAAAAAAATAAGACAAATACAGTAGACTGTATTGTTGTGTAATGTTTTTGTTTTGTGATTATGTAATACAATAATTATTGCATAACAAATTTTACTACCGTTTTCCGGTATTAATTTAGACGTTTATTTATTTCCAAGAATAGCATAAACCAACAAGACTTTTACAGTTACCGATTTACACAGCTTTGTATTGTCAATATTATGTATTAGTAGTTTGAACAGATAAAATTGGGGAGACAGCTGTTGTTTTTCATTGTGATTTCTAGAGGGCGAGATGTTCGTCGGTAAGAGGTCGACGAAAGCTTAAAGGTCGTGGCATTGCGCTTATCTGGTTTTTGTGCCTTTGATAATTTATCGTTTGGACGGTTCACGGTGTACGACAGTGATTAAGACTGAGACGTGCAGGGGACTCGCGTGGCTTGTCACGTCCAACTAGTTAATTTAGTTAATGGGTTTTTGTTTTTCGTATCGAATTTCGGCGTGGGAGCACGAAAGCATATTATGATAGAAGAAAGTACTCCAAGACCAGACAGAGGAGGTCACATGCCGTCAACAATGCCGTAATCCTAGGACGACTCTTGAGCGATAATAATAATAATAATATTATTTTTTTTTTTCACTTTCGACTCGCCTTTGATTGTATTACATTGCAATCGTTATAAAACACACGCTGTTCCGCGCCCAAATCACCAATAAAACAAATATATTAACGCCTATGAGCATCAAGTACAGTACATATATTATGTGAATGAAATTATTAGAAACGGTTATATAATTAATAGATAGACGTGATGACGGGTGAGGTATGAAGAGAACAAAAAATAAAATAAATATAAAATACACAACTATATTGATAATTAATAATATATTATGTTTTTCAATCAAATCGTATTAACTTGTTGCCCTCTTTTGTCATCCTCTCGATTGGGTCGAATGAATCGACAAAGAAAATACAGTACTGGGACGAGACAAATATTGGCCAGCATGAAAATGAATCAGTTATACATTTTGAGCTAACTTAGAAGTGTATCCACCAAAATAAAGACCGTCCGAAGAAGCACGGCGGTAGCCGCATTGGTTAAACGATTTTCAAATAGGAATAGCAATTGTATTCAGCTAGAAAATTGACAACTTATACTTTGACTGGACAAAGATGCCTAAAATTAAGTATTTGTTTTCCAGAAGTACACTAATAGTATACAATGTCGGGCGTGTTTACAGATGTCGGGCGTTTCGTGGTGGCTCTTGTGTTCCGGATGGACGGTCGACTGTTTCTTGGGCCGTTTGCCATGGCCCGAAGTGTGTAGATGGCTCTGCCTGGTCGCCATGTACCCGGCCGAGTATAGGGCGTATTTTTTCATCTGTTTGGCCGCGGCGCAGAAACGTCGGTGGTTGGAGGCTTTCGGCCGGGACGGTTTTCGCGAAACCGTTATCCAGGTATGAAACTTTTTGAACTGCAGACAAATAGAGGGAAAACCCACAGCACAGTTATGGGGGAGGGGGTACGCGGAGACCCTTCGATAGCGTATTGCAGCGAAATAATTTCATGTCTAAAGCGTGGTCGCACATTGTTACAGGGCTCCGTGGACGATTTCCGTCTGACCGACCATGCGGATTACATGGAACGTTTGGCTGAGAAACACCACGATTTTTTGTCCAACAGACTCGGTGCCGAATTCGACAACACATCTGTCGACGACAAGCTGGCCGGACGGACATAGTCTTTGGCAATCCGTCGGGATTCCCGAGAAGGGTACCGGGGTTCGATAACGATATCATTTTTTTTATTGTTATCCAACCGAACAATATTAGTGCTCGAAGGAAATCGTTTGTGTTCAATCACAGTTATATAATATCAAACATTTAAATAAACACAGATCGCCTGTGACGGCTGCGACAGAGCACAGTGACTGCAAAAGTAAACGTTACACGAGTTGAGTAAATGATTGGGCAAACATCAATCGCGGTTTTTAACAGCGGCCAAGAGAACTTTTTTTTATGTCCATCGTCAGACTACAACGTTATCGTTATCGCTTTCCAACGTACAAACGGCATAGGCACTACTTGAGGTGTATTTGATATTTTACACGTTAGTTTTCTTTGTTGATTTTCGACCGGCTCGCGCACTTAATATACAGCTGTAGCCCGTTGATGTTAACACCGGAGTCTGGTAAATATTTATTTAGCCAACGCTACTATATTATTTTACTCGTGTTTCCCTTGTAATATTTGTGAGGGCAACGCATTTTGCCAAATTAACAAGTTTACTTTGTTCACTTGTTGGAAATCTAGTGTACACTCTTAAAAATAATAACCCGCGACAAGAATATAGTACTACGTTAAAATATTGTCGAGCTTAAATTTGTTATTTTATAAAATATATAATATCGTTCAGCGTCGAAACTAATGTTGTTGTTATTTTAGTTTTAAAATTACAATATTAATGTATTGTTTAATAGCGTGTATATCATGTCTTATATACCGACTAAAACGTTATCTAAACAATCATCTAGGTAATTCAATGGGAAACTATTTAAACATAATATTGTTTGAATAATTTGCAAATGTAGTTCTCAAGTCTGAAACTGCAGTTCATCAGCAAAATCCGTTCATCGGTATCAGAGTTCTGTGTGACTAAAGAAAATATTTAATTAAAAGCTTAGAATTTTATAAATAGTAAAAATATTAAATAGTTTATTTAATTCATATTTTGTATCTTTTCGACAAGTTCTTTCTGATGAGCTTGGAATCAACGTTTTATCTGTTATAGTTTAAAAGAAAATTAAGCGTTTAAAAGATGTAAGGCACAGGCTTTTTTCAAATTCAATTCATTATACCGCATGGTTATGAAATCCGATCAACCTGTATATTGTCTTATATTAAAGCTTAGACAAATATTAATTATCTTCTCATCACTAGCATGTAGCGTTTTGTGTTTTTTCCTATTCGCAATAAGCTCTTAAAGTTATCAACGTCAATTTTATTTCCTTTCAATTATTAAAGTTCAACAAAGTTAAAAACTGAGGCCTGTAAAATTTATCACTTTTAATGTTATTACAATATATTCCTGAACATCCATTTATTGGTCTATGACCATACCGATCCTGATACAGGGTGATCCATTAAAGGCAATACACTAGTTTTAACATGGATACGTTATTGGGCTGGATACAAGAAATTCACGTTCAGTTAGAGATAAGGGATAAGTGATCAATAGATATGTGATAAGAGATAAGAGACAATTGATAAAAAAATGAGTGATAAGATATAAGTGATAAGAGATAACATATCCATGATTAGAACGGAGAAAATAACTTGGTTTTTTTTCCCTTAAAATAATGGCGATATATGTACCTAATTATCCCAAACTGGTTGTCGGCCAATAGAAATGTTCAGCAAATCTTTCTTATTTCATCGAGTTTATCAATCGAGTAAGTCGGGCGTTATATTATATCTTTTCGGTATTACAGAAGCACGTGACGTTCTTCTGGGCGAGACGATTTTAGCCGTCGGCTCGGATATTATAACAATATTATCGTTATTCATTGTAACAATGCCGGCGCACGATCGTCATAAAAGCTGCTAGTGTACATTACACAGTGCATTATTGTGTACCTTACTGTGTGTGTGTGTGTTAGCTGTTGGACACTAATATTACGTGTGTTTGTCAACCGCAGTTTCTCCTTAGATCTCCCGGCACGTCTATAACGGCCACAACCGTATAGCTCGAGGTGGTATTTTTTTTTTCACCGAAATAAAAGTATAAAACAAATTACTGTTTATAAAAAAGGAAAAAAAAATGTATATATATACATAAAGTGCGCGTACACAGACACCGGTACATCTGTATTATACAGGGTGATCCGTTTAACGCAAGCGGTAACACTCATTTACTTTTTAACACACAATTGTTTAAGTAATTGTGCGTAAAAGGTGTAATATCATTATTTTATCTTCCTTGGCGACAAATTTTAAATTCTAATAACTTTAAAAGTGATTTTTCAAAACCGATTCTCCATAGCAGCAAGTCAACATTTTCGGCAAATTATTTTTAATTTAAAAATTCAATTAAATATGTGCGTTATCGTTTAAGTTTTAAAAATTCGACGGGGTTCTGGGAAAATACTAAAAAAATATACAATTGTTTAGTCTTAACTGTGTAAAATAACATAAACTAAACATTTTACCAAAAATAAAAACTATAAAAATGCAATTATTTCAAGAGATATTGAGAGTGTCTTGCGTTGAATGGGACAGTCTGTTGTTGGATACGGGATGTTAAAATATCAACTTAGATCATTCCCGTATTTATTTATTATCTATACACTATAGTATTTGAATTTAAGTTTTGACAACTTCACAAGTAATCGTTAACAATCAATAATAATATACATGTTACCATTTTAAAATCTCAAGTTCACAGTATAAGGATTTACACATTAAGGACGGGGTTGTATTGTAAATTGGTTGTATTTATAAAGATAAACTCAAATTTGAACCAACTAATGGCACCTACAAACGGCATGAAGAAAATGTACTGAAAATAGTCTAATATTTTTTTAAAACAGACCATATTACAGCTGTTTGCCAACCACGCTGTGTGCACGGACTACACTGAATTATAATAATAATATGCATATTATAATACTACCTATTATGATCTTGCTCTGCGTGTGAATCCGGGCTATAACGCCGGTCGTGTGTCGGATTATGGTGGGTAATTGCGGCAATGATGCAATAAGGTTTCGCATGCTTTATTATACAATATAATACGTGGACGATGATGATGGCAAAAAAAAAAAAAAAAAAATGTAAAAATGTAGATAATGATATTATCGTTATGGCCACAGAGCGTTTGGCGATTATCCGCCGTTTTGTACCGACTAACTGTGTACATATCCGTTTAATGGCCCGCTGCAGTGCTTATGCAGGACCGGTGAGCTATGCGAACGATCCGCCGACACAACGCCATACAGGGTGATGACACTCCGTTCATTAGTTTAACTGCGAACATCAAAAACCATAGACAGTATTTACCGGTACAGTTTAACCGAGCCAAACAGTTAGCAAAGTTCAGCCCAGTCCAAACCAGCACAGTAAGAAATTGCCAAAGTGGAGTCTAGTATCCACAGAAGCGTTTTCTCCAATGTAAATTTTATTACTACCTCTAAATCACATAGGTCTAGAAGAACTGAATAAGCTAATTCTATACAGCTAAATGCATGACAAAAGATTCTGTAAATAGGAACCATTCTCTAATCGTGTGGCTCCTTTATAAACCAACATAATAATAAAAGGGTAAGTATAACGGAGTTGGACCACCATTAGAGACCGTCTGGTTTAGAAGTATAAATAGCATTTGAAGGAAATAAGACAACTGGCAGTCGTTACCCCACATAATACCTAATGGATTCTTTCACGACTGTGTAAATTATAAGCCTGACTACCATTTAAACCAGGTAATTTTTTTTAGAAACGATGGCCGTCGAAAGACGGGGTACCTTTTTTATTTTAGATAGGATGCACAAGGAAAATTTGGTAACTAGGATAGGAGCTAAAAATTATACATTTTTTATCAATGCAATAGTAATCAAATGTTGCTTTGTATCCTAAAGAGGATTGGAAGCGGTCGGTTTAATAAGGAGCTTTATACAAGCAACGTTTGAGAAAAAGATGGTTTTAATCAATTTCGACCAATGCCAATTAAACTTTCGGTCGATTTGTATGAGGCTTCGAGGTGTTATTTAAATAATGGAATCGAAGAAAAAGTAGAAGTAGGAGAAAAAAAATAAGATCACCCACACTATTCATGCAGACTCATCAATACATGGATATGTCCTGCAGTCTAGCATTTCTAATATCTTATCTCTAATCCACTATCTCTATTAATTCACCTCCATAATGACGTCAGCACTGTGACACAAAACGTGACGGACAAATTTTCAGAATGACCTCCAGCCATAAGACATAATACCCATGTCAAAAATTGATACTCAAGTACTCATTGTACTGTATAACATATTAAACAAAAATGTTTCCAAAGAAGAATAAAAATTGAAAGAGCGTTAAAACAATCACCCGGTATATCAGATCTCTGGAAACCTTGGCCTTTTAATGGACTGCGATCAAGTATAATAATATGCCGGCTGGGATTAATCGTTTTGTGCAATATGTTGACCGTTTGCAGAGAACATCTCCGGCCTAGGTTTACAGGCGTTTCTGACCGCGATTACTTAAAACGTTTTCCGAAACAAACAACAGCAAAAAAAAAAAATGGTAATATAACATTAATGATAAACGACGGCGTGTATAAATTATTATAATAATAATATATTAGATATTATTATAATGGTCGGGTGTACTAAATAGCGGGTATTCAACGTTGACCCGTGATGCAACAGTTGGGGGACTCCATGGGTAGGACTCTATAGTATGTTTAACGATCGTTGTCTCGACCTCACACAATATGTTTAAGCCTCTGGTTTCCTTTGATATATTATAACGCATTAATAAAGAAAACCGACTGCAAGAGTAGTCGAATAACAAGTCGCAGAGATAATATGTTTACCATTATTATTATTAAACACTCTCGCCCGTCAAAGGCACGCCAAAACCCGACGGCACGATAATAATAATAATAATGTCTTATGTCTTGTGCAGTTCATCTTCGAACACACGCCATCGCCGATATTTTATCGTACTAAGCTAAGGAGCTTGTGCAAATAATAATGATGATAATGTTTTGTAAACAGAAATCCCAAACGAGGCCAATCCTCGAACCGCGTGTATTGTCGTCAAGACGTTTTCAACCAATCGTTTACATTTTTGTAGACTTAATAACGGCTTAATTTTTCCGACATAATAACAATATTTGCCCTTGAAACAAAATACTATATTGAAAGCAAAAGGAAAATACCTATATCCAATGCTCGTGTTTAAGGCGCTGTACAGCTGTAACCGATGTGACCCAATCGATATGTTTAGAAATATTAAGACTGTTTTTTAAAATTATTATTCTTTTGATATTTTTATGTCTTTGCTTTGGTACGCACACGGAAAATCGACAAGTTTTTTTAATTTCTTATCATAACGAAAATATCAGCTGATTTATCTGATAAGTGAAAGGGTGATAAGAGATTAGAGATGAGAGATCATTTCACATACTTTAGCGACTATTGGTTAGCACCGATATAAGCACCCGGTCCTTAAGTGTTATGACCCTATGAACTTAATATTTTCTTGACTTTTTTAAATTAACAATAACCCGCTGAACGATTTGAGTGGCCTAGTATAGTTAATAATTACTTTTAAAGTTTAAATTTAAATACTTCAGTGCACAGATGATAAATAAAATATATGGAAATTATCTAAGGAAACAAAAATAGTTACTAAAAATAACTGTTCAATATACATTTTTTAAAGGATATCCTGTTATTTTGAAAACCGATCATCGACCAGTCAGATTTTTCTGCAAATTATTCTAAATTTTAAAACCCAATTAAATAAAAGGCTAAATCAAAATCATTCTGTATAGCTAAATTTTTTTAAATAATATAATTTTCGACTGTTTATTTTTCGCTATTTTTTCGGTCTCTGGTTTTTGTGCTTGCTGTTAATTATGTAATTGGTTTAGTAGTCAGAACCGTCCGAATGTAACTGTACAAGGCGCCATGCGAGGAACGCATTTTATACTAATTGTAATTTTCACTTAAATAAATTAAGGAATAACAATTGCTCGATTTGTTGAACACGAGTCTAATAATTATCGTTTTGAATATTATGTGCAATTAGTTTCTACGGATTTAAAAATGGAAATATTTTAATTATAAAATAATATATTATATATTATACTCACAGTTTAGGCCCCTCTGTTGGGTGCAATACCTTTTTTTATCCGCTTGAATTTACTCATCGAAACAATACCTACACAAGACCTGTAACCCGAATAGTGTATATTTTATTTAAAACCGGTTATACCACCAAACGACCAGTTATCAATTCGGAGGAGAATTTTGTGTAATTTTAGATGATTTTTTTGTTTGTCATAAATAAAACAGGTATTTGTTGTGTATAAATTGCAACCGTTCCAGTCGCATAGCCTAAATAGGATTGCAAAACTATAATACCTAATGGAACTCATCGCGAACATCGGCAATTTTTTTTTGTGTCTTCAAATTTTTATCACCTTATTGCGTCTAATATGCATTTTACACCGCCTTATTACCGCGATTAAGGTGTGCGCGTAACGCGTTGGCGAACGGCGATAATTATTTTAGTTATTAAATTATAGTAATATATATATACTTATAAATATGTATAATAAAAGTAAAAGTTGGCACTCGACGGGTAAAAAAAAAAAAAACTATAAAACGGACATTTCAATTAAGTGCGCGTAACGTACTTGGGTAATTCATTGGTCTAATGTTATAAAAAAACAATATATATATATATATATATAATCCCATTTGTAAATGGAATAACAGCCTAAAAGCTGTAGAAAGTGGCGGGTCGGCTGTATACGGTCCAGTGAAAATCATTTAGTGCCCTTAAGCCTTAAGGGTCGACGTTGACAAGTGTCACGCAAAAAAGGGGACAGCGTTTTGGCAAAAAGACCAAGCCGTTTAATTAGCAAGGTAGGTATTAGAGTAGATGGATAAAAAACTATTTGGCGTTGGCAAAAATAAATAATAATAATTGTAAATACTGTAGTGATATGGTCGAACGTACCTTTTTTTTTTTTTTTTTCGATATAATTTATTCACACCAAAAAATGTAATAAATACACTTTGATGAGTCAATCGTTTTTAACTATTGGTATACCGGTTTTAGTTTTACTGTTGTTGGCGGTTTAAAGGCATTTGCATTGGTCAATATTATTATTACACAGGTACGGTTTAATGTCGATTCAGTTGTGTACGACATCCACAAATGCTCTATGAGTAGCTGTTGTTGACTACAAGTACAATATTATTGTGTCATTAAATTATGTTTTCACCTCGAATACTGTGGTATCGATTTGACTACCAATGGTTTGAAACGGTAACACGGTTAAACGGCCACGTGCAAAGTGTGGTAACAACAATAAGCGGTTTACATATTTTATTAAGTGTCGCTTAAAATCGTTTAACTACAAAACGTGCCCGTGTGTTTACAATATTGAGTTAATAAAATCATTTCTCGTGTATTGGCATGTGTTAAGTTTCACATTGTGTGTGCATTGGTATAACTGTACACATTCAATTCCAAGAACGCTTCTTCTAGAAGCTCAGAACGAAACTGTACAGAACCGACTATTCGGTTTGGTGGTGTAATTTATAATTTATCGAACAAGTAGAATAGATATTATTTTCTAAGTGTATGTACAAATTCGATTGTGTATAATGTAAGTTCACAATAATCACCGACTTTCACCGAGTCGGCCACTTGAATATTATTATAATGATGCGTCCGTCCTGAATGGAGACAAGCTATAATAATGTGATGTCTGCAAAAATAGACCATGAATTATGAACCGCTTAAGTTTTTTAAACAATTTTTTTAATTGTAACACATACAGCTCGAGCCGAGCCGAGCACTACAACTGTGCTGGTTTTTTTTTTGTTATGGTTATTCATAAACAATTTTTTATAGTTTGTCTTGAAAATATGATATTTACTGTCAATACTTGTCTATAACGCTCACTTATGTACTATTTTCGCCTGCCTGCTTCTAATAGCGGTACATAACGCGTTTGTATAATATTATTTTTCATGCTGGTTCTTAAACGATTAAATAATTTGTTCACAATCTACGATTTTTTTTTAGTTTGTTGGTTTTATAAGAGTTTATGCAACAAGACGTGTGTGTGTGTGTGTGTGTGGTCATTTGGTTTATACATATTATAAATGAATCATTAACGGCTCTTGCCTACTGCGACTACTAACGAGACTTATATATTATATTCGGTGTCCGGTAGTCGTGTAGTTAATTGTTAACGCTCGTTTAAATCGATCACTGCGGTATAAATGATAAATTATTATTAGTCGTTGATGGTAATATTTTTTTTTTTCACCCGGTAAAACTACTCAATTATAATTACCAGGCGTTATGATCGTATCGTTTGCATTGAAACGATAATATTACTATGCACCATAATATTATTATTATGTACCAGATACCAGTCGTTTTTCGATTATTCACTCGTATGCCACCAATGTTGTAAAACAACACTGTCCGCTTTGTTTCCTCCGACTAAGAAAAACTAATTTACTTATTTCCGACGGTTAAGCAACACTGCCATGTGTAGGAAAGCGAGCAGTCAACAGTGTTTATAACAAATAGCATGTAGTAATAGTACACGTGGGACCTAACATTGACAAAACAAACAAATATCGCAAGCCCTTTCCCCTAGAAACCCTTCTAGGGAATATAGATTTATTATAATAATCAAATAAGACATTATTCTTGTGGATACAAGTGATAAAAAATGTAGTAAACCCTTTTTTTATTATTAATATTAAAACAAAATATAAAACTCATTTTGACATAAACAATCGATTCCAAAGTATTCTCAACACAATGTAGGCATTTGAAAATATGAAAACTTGATTCAACCGGAACAGTCTGAAAAATTAGTAAATACATATTTTAAAGATACTTGTATAGTTGGACGGTAAAACATGATTACATACATTTGATTTTTTCTCAAAGCCATAGGAATGTTATCGGTTTCTTCGTGGAGAATATGTTTGCGGATCCCGTGGTAAAACACATTTATATATTGATTCCAATCAAAGTAGTGCATACTAAACGGAAATAATTGTTGGTCCTCCCGGCTCAGCGAACACCACGATTTTCGTGTATTGTTATTATTAAATTTCCACTCGTTCAGGGTAAATGGTCTAAGCAAGTGTATTAACTTCCCGACTTTGTCGTAGAGTTTCCAAAATCTAAAATAAGTCCAATACTAAAATTTAGTTACCGGCATTGGGCATACACTATAGATAATGCTTGGTTTTTTTTTTCCAAAATAAATTTAACTAAAACTAATTGAACACGTGTGTGTTCTAGAACCCCTGTACCCATATTTATCATTCAATAAAATATAATCTCGGTCTTTATGTCGATGACGGTCTTTATGTCGATTACATCTTTAGGTCCATTACACGAAATCGTAACACGAATTTCAGAATGACCCCCATCCCGAAAACATGTTAAAAAAAAATCTATTGTGATTATTGAGAAGCTAAACTTACTTCGGTTCGTTTAACGTCAAAATAAGTAAGAAATCAAAGACTATAGCGGGTATACGATGTAAAAGTACCCTCAATATGATTCCAAACCAATCTATGCGTGTAAGTAGCCAAACTCGCATACCACGTGGCACTACATGGCGGTGCAGCTTTGTAGGAATTAAACACTACAGTCATAAACTGTTGCCATACTAACGGGCTTTCAACAGACGACACAAAATTGAATATTTTCGGCTTCTCCGGGTATGACATTTTAAACCTAAAAAGTCAAAAATCAATTTTAAATTACGGATAATACAAATTATTACATCACCTATGATAGATGAACCCTCAGTAGTAATAATTACCTGTTCACTGTATCCCACATGGTCGATATCAAAGCATTCACTGTGTAGTCCGCGGGTATTAAATCTGTTATTTTATCTCTTCTGTTCGGGACTACTCTGAGAAATCCTACTATATATCCAGCAAGTATCCCTGTTGGGCCGTTCATGTTTTCCAAGTGCCCAGGGTCCGGTTCCAAATATGTGCTGCAAACTAAAAGAACAAATTCGGGAAAAATGTCTTAATTATATCGGTCTGAAAGGAGACATAAACCCGAATTACAGAGACTCTGTCAAAGGCCAAACATCCTCTCATATGTTAATTGTTTTTAACATTAATTATTTAATATCATATTGTTATTTTATGTTAATAATAATGTTGAATATTTTGAATTGTTATTCATAATTACTATACTATTATTATTACTATTTCATATATCTTTACTATTATTATTTAGTATTATTATATTATTATATCAAATTAAAAAATTCCTGCGTTTTCAATTTATCTTCTTCCTTTGATTTAACCACCACATAATAGCAATGTCATCACCGGACGAAATATTTATGACCAAAATGAGCTGTGTGTACTGTTGATTAGGTTGAAAAAAATTGAAACCATAGCTGAATAGGTGATATTTATTAAGTATAATTCTATAGATAAAATAATTTTTAACACCCACTGGTTTTATCATACTAACGCCATGTGGTAAGAGGATTCAGCGCTTCCATTTGTGTGGCCATGTTCAAAAGTTGTTCTGTTCCTTCAATGTTAATTTTAGTTGCAATTTCAATAGGTTCGTCGAATCTTATAGTGGCAGCACAATGAAAAATATAATTAACGTTTCTCACAATCCAGTCACGATCAACGGTCGATAAACCCAACGGTGATTCCGTCAAATCTCCAACAATAACGTTAATATAATTCATGAAGCCTGGCCTTTCTTTTCGTAACCGATCGAACAGCTGTAAGTTAAGCACCCGGACAAGTGTTTTTGTAAAACCGAAAATTTGGCTCGACTAAAATACCCTTAAGGTTAGGTTAGGTTTGATTTAGTTTGGTTAGGTTTGGTTAAGTTTGGTTAGGTTTGGTTAGGTTTGGTTAGGTTTGGTTAGGTTTGGTTAGGTTTGGTTAGGTTTGGTTAGGTTAGGTTAGGTAGGTAAACTAAAATTAAGGAGTGATTGTGCTAAAATAATTAATTACAAAACTACTATTGTCATTATGAGAACCGCCGTTATGCGTAAAAATTACAAAATTACAGTAGGTGGTAAAAACTTAATTTATTTTTATTATTTGTTATAAGTACAACTTGAATAGTTGAATGTGCGAACATTCATACTCATTTTACAATGACGGGGGTTTGTTTTTTTAATAATATTTTTTCATCGAAGAACTATTTGTATCGTTTTAAGGAGAGCGCTGAGGCAATTAAGAAAATATTATCATACAATGTAGACTGTATACTTACATTTTCGTTGTACATTTTTGTAGTCCTTTGTTCAGCCGTCAAACCCTTTTTACTTCTTACTATAATAGCAATATTTGTTTTTTCGCAGGACCGCAATAACTTTTCCGTAAGAAGTTTTCCTAGAAATCCTGTGCTTCCGGTTATTAAAACCGTACCGCCATTAAACATATCGACAATATTCGATCCCATTTTGTGATTTAAAAAAAAATAAAAACTTTTTTTATGTTATTTTAGTAGTGCTAGGGTTAAACAGCTACTACCCACGTTTTGAACACAATGAATACAACTCTCGTAGATATATAACATCCTCACTATAATATTCAAGGTTGGGTATTTTTAAGTTTTCTCACATCAATGCGGAACTGACATGGTATTGATTTTACAATGGTGTGAACTTTTTTTGAACCGATTCCTTCGAATAGCAATTATTGTTAAAGCAACAAATTATTATTATTATTTTTGTTTAAGATCCAATCAACATAATAAAAATAATAGTCGAGTATTACATGTTATGTCCTCATCGAGGTACACCTGAACGGATTCAGAACAATTATCGTTTAATTAGTATCACTTGACTTCTCCCAGGAAGGTAAACATGATCAAACTGTAAAAGGGGAGGATTTTAAACTCCTAAAATTTCGCCTACTCGATTACAATTAGCAAATCTATCAATCAGATATGACAGATTCAAATAATCATGAATCTGCCATAATCAAATTTAAGAGAAATTTTTTTTTTTCTGCAACGAACCTTTCTTTATTATAATTATTATTATGATTTCTGAACGATTTTCGTGCAGACGAAAGCAATTTGTTTCCAAACCGATCGACTTTCCCCGTTTTTTAGGTTTTAAACGTCGGACGAGCAACTACTATCGAATTTGGTATTTAACACTTACTTACTTACTTACTTAAATAATTGCATATTTACTCCTGACAAAAACGATTATGAAAATCGACCCAACTCAACATGTTCGGGCATAGCTCGTGACTTGAAAATCGCTCTTCGCATTGAAGTTTAACAGATAACCAGTTCGGCCGGAATTCGTGTCATATAGAAATCCAATTTGGCGTAACAGAAATTCTGTTGCTTTATTATTTGACGTACAAATAAATTGATTTGGCAAAAAAAGTGACATCCACATACAATCTAGTTTTGTTAAACAAATGATACTGCAAAAAAAAAGTGCATTACGGTATAGTTTATTACACGATATAGGTATTTTAAATAGCGGCAACCATATTTTGATTTCAATCAATAATACAGGTCAAACAAAAACGATATTAAAAACAAAACTGTTGGGCGATAAAAAAAAAATAGTAATAAAGGTGGCTAATTAATATTTATTAATGTTAAAAGGGTTTTATGCAATATATAAACCACTGGACTGGTGTAAAATTGAATGAAGCGTTTTGGATTACATACTGTTTTTGGTTTGGAATATTAACTGACAGTAATAAAATATCCAAAGTACATAATAATCAATCGTATGTAGTATGTATTGGAAAATCTAAATTAATTTTCCACAATAAATATCTCTATTTTGAAGAGCGTTCGGTTTTTTGGGATCATAAACGATATTAGTGTGTTTATTTATTACACTTGCTTTATTTTTTTAGTAATTTCCTTATGCGTAGGAGGATTTAAGGAGTGTAACTGTTTTCTATTTTTTTTTTGCCTAAACATAACAGGGATGACTGTGCAAATACACATAATAAATGAATTTTATTTGTTTTAAATGTATTCAAGTAGGAGGAAATATTATTATGACATTTTACAGCTATACAATAAAAACGATATAATACCGTTCATTGTCGGTAAGTATTATAGTTTTTCAAGGTTTTTTACCCGTCAAGTAGAAAACATCAAATAAATTTGCATCTTGCTCATTAAATACTTTTAGAGCTGATACTTAGATCCTATCCAGCGGCTATATTAACTGGGAATTAATAGGACGATAACAAATTTACTTGAATGCCACTAGTGTACATAAAAAATAAAAAATAGTAAAATGTAGTTATTTAGTTTTATTACAAAAGTTCAGTTTACATATTATAATGGGATCATTTGATGGCTGTTAACATACAACCTTGTAATGTATGCAAATCTATGCCTGTCCCTAAATGCAAAATACATGTTTTTAATTTTTGCATATATAATCGTGCCAATGTCGTTTCAACAATGTTAATTTAAATCGTCCCAACTATACATAATAGAGGTAGGTACTATGCTATGTCGACCAACATTATAAACACTAATGCGTTTGGCTTTGCATTGTTCTAGTGCGACTAAAACGATTTGAATAATGTATAATTTTACGTTTGAAGTTAAAAGCGTAAATATTTTTCATACTTTTTTCTATAAGTAAGTACCTAATGTATTTTATCATTGCTGTACAACTTCAGCAGAGTGTTTTCAGTGAAAGGTCTGGGCCGAACGGCAATATTCTTAGACCGCTAACGGAAATAACCTCGAGTTGGGGTCGAAAGAGGTCTTGGATCTGATAAAAACAAAAAACAAAAATACCCTCCGGCTACCAAACCGATCACTCTATCGCCGATATTGCATGGGAAATCGATTTTGCTATGTCCTTTTTCAGTATCACAAGCACGGGAGCAGCGCCCTTGTACGCGTCGTGTCGAACCGTAAAACATGTTAATAATAATTACAAGTATTTAAACTGAAAATAATTACTGGTGTAAAGATACTTTAAGAGTATGCACTGGCAGAGAGTGACAATCATAATCACCGAGTATACGTTTTATTGCGAGGAGGGATAGGGGGGGGGGGGTTAGAAATGGTGTAAGGCTTTTCAGTAAGATAAAAAAATTATACCATTGACAAAACATTAACGTTATATTTTTTCATTAGATTTGTTCACTCATTTATACGATTTATTCATTAGATTTATTTACCCTATTGGTTCACTCATTTATAAGTTTTATTTACTCGTTTCCTTAATCGATTCGCTCATTTATACGATTTATTTATTCATTGTTTTTATTTGTTCACTCATTCGTTGGATTTTATTTCTCGTTTACTCAATTTATTTACTTGTTTACTATATTTGTTTACTCGTTTGCTCAATTTAAATCTTAGATTCGTTTATTAGTTTATTATATTTATTTACTCTATTGGTTCACTCATTTATAAGTTTTATTTACTCGTTTCCTTAATCGATTCACTCATTTATACGATTTATTTATTCATTATTTTTATTTGTTCACTCATTCGTTGGATTTTATTACTCGTTAACTCAATTTATTTACTCGTTTACTCGATTTATTCATTAGATTTGTTTACTCATTTACTCGATTTATTCATTAGAATTATTGATTCTATTGGTTCACTCATTTATAAGTTTTATTTACTCGTTTCCCTAATTGATTCACTCATTTGTACGATTTATTTATTCATTAGATTTATTTACTGGTTTATTCACTTATTTTCTCAATTTATTTACACGTTTACTAGATTTGTTTACTCGTTTGCTCAATTTAAGTCTAAGATTGGTTTATTATATTTATTTACTCTTGTAATTTCGATTCTCTCTCTTGTTAAATCAAATCATTTACTCGTCTATTTGATTAATATACTTGATTTGATGAACAGTTAATTATACGTTAATTTTCTCAGTTACTCAACTAATTTACTCGCTTATTCGATTTATTTACTCAATTCATTCATTCGTTTACTCAATTTGTTTACTGGTTCCTGGACAAAGAGAACCATTTCAATTGTGTAAGATGTACAGTCAAGCTAAGGAGTGGGTGAGTGCCATAAAACATACTCATGTTGTACATATTTCTCCCCGGAGAAGAGGAAATGATTGTTTTTATTTATCATTTTTGTCGATCATTTCGAAGTTTAAAATTCTTATTGTACACACAAACATGAAACAACATACTTACTACTCATCTTGGAAAAAACGTTGAAATGAGAAAATGTCTTTGGTTTTAATTGAATTTATCATTATTTAGAAATCTCATTGATTTTATTTTGAATCTATTCTACTCGGCTTATTGTGAATTGACAAAAAACTGATTCGTTAAATACGTACTTAAAAACGGCACGACTACTCGATCGAATAAATTTAATTTTTAATAATTACCCAACGTAATAAAAGAAACGTTTACACTGTATGAAAAAATGAGTAATTAGAATTATTATTACTTTCAAAACGGTTGGCAAATCCATTACGTATAAAGAAGATTTGTGGGCTATTATAATATTATTAAATATTAATAATACATAACACAATAATGTACACACTGTGTTATGATAATATTATCATCAACCGTATTCTGATGGTCTTGAAAAATCGTTTAGTTGAGAAGGTATTGGTTTAATAATGACGATGATGTGTTTTTTTTTAAACTTTGAATGGTCACTATAATATTTTTTCCCTTGTTTGACCGGTTTACTCGTCTGGCATCAGCCATCAAGCTGATCATGTCAATTGATTTTAAATAATTGTATCCCATTGGTACTTTGGTGGGTCAAAAGTCGAAACAGCTTGACTAAAGGTAGATCCGACTGCGGTATGTGTACCTATAAGATTTACAAACTTGAAATTTTATTTTATTTTTTTAAAATTATTTTATATCTGTTCTCACGTTACGTCACGTGTGGTGTAACATACGACCTTGGCATTAAACAGCTAAACTTTTGAACATTATAATATGGCCCACCCTAGTCCGGTCAATGGATAGGCATGCAAATAACGTGCAAAGTCTTAAGCAGTAATCTCATAAACTTGAGTTTTGTCATTTTGGGCTTTTAGCATTTAAGATATTTTATCTATATGTGAGATTAAGAGGTTTGGACGGTAGTATCATCTTTGTAATGTCTTATTGGAGTTTTAAATGAAGATTTTTTTTTTTTTTTAATTTAGATACATATATAGGTATTAACATGCTACATCATCTCGGGTCGTTGGAAGTTCAACAATTGGGTACCTCTACCTACTGTAGATCAGCTACACACTACACCAGTCATTATTGTCGATAGTCCAACAGAGTACAACATGACCGGACAAGGGCGTTTTATAACGGAATATTATTGGTATTATTATCCGTGAATGCCGAAATGATAATTATGGAGAAATAATCGCATTAGCAGTACACACATAACGCCGTGGCCGCAAACAGTAACACATTTTCGATGAAAAAACAAAACAGTCAATTGGTAAACCCAAAACGTCGAAGGCGCTTGTCGTGGTGTTGTTG